GGTTGCGTCAATTCGGATGATGACAATCCCTAAGCAATGGCGGTTGTATGAACCCGGAACCCCGATTGGTTTCATGGTGGGGTCTTGGGCTCGGGCTTTGGGATCCGAACGAAACCAGTCCTCCGCGGCAGGCACCGGCGCGGAAGCGGAGACGGGCGGGGCGTCCAGCGCCAGCACGCTGGGCGGGCTCGAGCACGCCGACTTCCCCGGGGCCAGGAAAGTGGTCGTCCTGACTCGGGCGTGGCAAAAAACACACACACAAAACAGCAAGCAAAAATGAAAGACGGCGAAAACACATGGCAAAAAAACAAACAACAATTATCCCGGCAAGAGACCCCGAATAGTATTGCGTCCAACTTGACGACAGGTGGCCCAGAAGCATAGAAAAACGTTACGTAAACACTGACGCCTCTCCCACCTGATGAGATCGTAAACACGTCGGTGCCCCTGCTCAAGCGTAGATTCTGATGAGCAAGCTTAGCATCATGCTTCACAATCTCTCCTGTCAACTTCTCGCGCGCGTGATGCTGTGGCTTGATGTTGCGCGCGAAGCTGTGCGTGATGTTGCGCGTGATGTTGCGCGCGATGTCGCATGACGCTGCGCGCGATGCAGCGCATCATGCTGTGCATGATGTTCAATGAGCTTTTAAAACCAAAATGGCTGGTACCCACTTCAATCACCATCCAAACCCGCTTTTGGGGGCGCCCGCCCTGGCAACTAGAGGACATGTTCCTGGGTGGTAGATAAAAGTCCTGAACAGCTATCAAAATACAACAAGTGCATGGCTATCTTTTAACAAGTATCATAAAATGCAACGTGGTTATCTGTTCTTGGGCAAAGTCGATAGTATGGTCTATGTAGCACCCAGGGATGCAGCATGACACTGAACCATGGACACCTTTTCGGCTGCCAGGACTAAGATGTCCAATCTGAAATTGGTCGAAACCCGGTGGAAGAACTGGCTCAAAAGCGAAAGAACACCACAGGTGGGTGGAACAAAACCACGATTTGGTCGAAACCAACAAGCTGAAAATGCCCAAAACTTGTTGCTCAGCAGGGAATGTGGTTGAATGAACCCAGTTGCTTTGGTCCCCTTAAAGGAAACCACCCATTGGATGGTTTATTGGGGTTATTCCATCTCTCATTTTTGCTGAGCACAAGCAAAAAAACATGATACGCTTTGAGCGTCTTGATGACCCGCAGCGCGCAAAGCTCCACCTGGCCACGAGCGTCGAGCGTCCAGGGCGCGCGGCGCGAGTGCTGACCAATGGCCAAACCGAATTCAGATCTTCCCTTTGCAAATACGCCCCCTGGAAAGACAAAACATATGTCCACTAGTTATAGATTCCAGTTAAACCAACATGGGAAAATCAAAGGATATTTTTAGGCTTACTGAAAGAGTCTTACAGCTGTGCTTTGGAGCCCAATGCTTTGGTGGTGAAATGGGGTGGAAAATCCCATGCAAACCCTCCACAAGCTTTCCGGAGGTTCAGATCCAAATCCAAACCACCAATCCAAACAAACAATCCAGGGGTAGCTGAGCTATTGGCGAAGACTTGGATGTGCCAAGTACGATTGCCTCAGATATGGCCGCACGCCACATGGATGTCCATAACACCTGCTAGGCACTGAGTCCCGCCAATTGCACATGGAAGCAGATTAGAAACCATGAAACAAACATGTTCAGAGAAAGACAACGGAAGGCCCGTCAAGAAGCAAAAAACAAAAAAAACACATCGAAGGTTTGGGCTGTTTTTGGCTTTGGGTTGTCAAAATGGGGGAGTTCTGAGGGCTAGAATGAGTAACAATGTAGGCATGTTCTGTTGTTCAAACAAATCTAGGGCTTAAGGTTTTGAGGGTCTGGTATTGTTGGGTCTTTGGAATTGGACACTCAAAAAATGTGTGTTTTGGCGAAATTTGATTGAGGGTATCAACGTGCATGGCCAAACAATTGCACGAGCCAGAACCTTTCATTCCCATGTCCAAAATCTGCTTGGCGCTGCCAATAAAGCGGTTGGGGGGGTTGCAGGAGGGGGTTTTCAGATTTTCAGGGCTGACGGTTGCTCATCCGTGGGTCAACCGCTCCCGCCTCCTCCAGGGGGATGCTCGCCAGTCCCGGCTTGAAGACCTCCCCAAAATGTTCGCGAGTGGGGTGAAGATATGACTAGGTCCTCGAGTAGAGAGGTTACAACAAGGGTACCCTTTCTTCCTGTAGTCGATTTTAGTAGGGGAACCCTCCCAACCAAAAAAGAAACGGTAAAAGGGCACTACTGGGGGACCTAGATGAACATCGCGAACCTCGAAATGGTTGGTTGTCATTTGCCTTCAATCATCATCCCAAGGGTCTAAAAACTCCACAAACCTCAGGGGTGGGGAACAAAGAGCCCCAGTGGGGTCTGGGTCTAGTTGACCCGCCCATGCAAAATTTGCTAGCTGGGTAGTCAAAATGGGGAAACCCAAACAAAATAAGGTGGTTTCGGTTGGTTTGGCTTGAAACCGACGCGCTTTCTTTGGATGGTCCAAGCCAAGTCTGAGAAGACACAACCAACATACCAACAGTGGGATCCCCTCCCAAGGATTGCTTTGCGACCTAAGAGATTGCTTTACAGCGAAATGCCAAATCACAAACCCACAAGCCACAAACCAACGCGGCAAAAACCTAAGAAGGTAGCTAGCAACTAGAATTGATTAAGCTAAGTCACGATTAACAAGAAACAACACATGTTGCTTTCCCTTTAAACAATTGGTGCTTCTCGCAAAGCCAAGTCTGGCAAGAGAGGCAGATACCCCCGACCTTGTGCTGCAGCGTGCCGATCGGCCCGCCCATCGCCCGCAACTCGGGGACCTCCAAATCCACCGCCGCCCAGCCGGCGAGCGGAGCGAGGCTCCTCAGGGAATCTCGTCTGGTCATTGCAGCCAAGGAGTCAGGGAGAAGCGTCCGCTCCGCAAAAAGGGTCAAAAAAGATGGGTATGGCTCAAAAAACCGGTACCAAAATGGAACCCTGTAACTGGAAACATGGACCAAAACCTGCGTAGCCCTAGCTCTTTAATTTTGAGCCACTGCCACATGGCCATGGGTCAAAAGCACCCGCAGTGAACATCCGAATCCCCACTAAAATAGACTAAAATCGGTGGTGCACCTACCCCAAAATGGTTCCGTTGGTTTTGACCCACAGCCACATATCCATGTTGGGTCTGAGTCTTAGTTGGCCCGTGTGTGGACATGTAGATGGGAACTTATGTCCGGCCTGAAAGGCTACTAGGGGACATGCATGGGGACATGTTAGGTCCGAGACGACGAACAATTCCACTCTGCAACCGGCGACCCATGATGATCTACTGACGACAATTCTTTCAGACTAGTCTCTGTTGGGTCTGAGTCTTCATTGACGCTGGGGTGGACATTTACATGGAGACTTATGTCCTACCTGGGTATGCATTTGAATCGGAGACCAAAGGCTTCTATGGGACATACATGGGAACCGCCATCAAGGATTTTCCAAACACCACAATCCCATGTGTGGGGAGGGCAAACAAGGAAAACAAACAACGAATTGCCCGCAACAGCTATCCCCGGAATACACCCTTCCGGAACTCTGAACCCGAAACCGGGGTCTCGAAGCCGTTAGAAACCTAGCGGCCGGCTGCTTGGACATATGCATGTATATTATATAATATGCTAACCCCCCCCCTTCCAAACCTATCATACTGAACAAACCAGATAAACGACCGCACTGGGAGTGCCCTCAAGTTGCCTCGTTTCGATTCCACCCATTTCGACCTTTGACCAGATCCTCCCCAAGTCCTCCACGTTGAGAACGACTGGGCTATCCGTTTTCAGATCAGTTGCTGACAGTTTAACTCTTTTAGCGGGTTAAATGGAAGCCAAGCACTGAACCAACCAAAAACCTAAAATCCTGGAACCGGATGGCTGGGAACCATGTCCTGGGGCTAAGGGCCATGAAAAGCAAATCCCCAATTCCTTGATGTGGGCCTCAAATGGAGGATCAGCCAAAATCATGCCTTTTCAGGGCGGACGATCAGCAGTACAACCATGGGGTGCAATGGTCGAGGCCCGACCATAAAAATCAGCCCCGAAACACGTTCCGCGAAGAAGTGCGCTCGCCGCATGTGTTCTGACAAGGCAGTGGGTCAAAACCGGTGAACATCAAAATAGCTGGTACATGGGCCGCCCCAAAATGGAGGCATACGTTATGACCCATGGCCACAATGCCTGAGAGCTCTTTAAGTGTCTGATTCAACGCCGGCTCCGAAACAACAGCGAAACTTTGATGATGGCTTCTAGCCAGGTCGCTGCAATCATAGGTGACATTGTGGAAACAAAAATTGGCCTTGGGAAATTGGAAAAAACAACTCATCTAAACCAGTGCCATCTATTTTAAATGTCAAATTAAGCAAAAAGGATACCTATAGGGTTCGACGAAAGCTGCGGACCCCCCTTTCTCCCCTTGTATAAGTTGCATTCGCATTCTGAAACGGATCCCTTCCCTCTTCTGCTGAAAGCTTGATCCCAAGACAGTGAAACCCCCCCCAGATCCCCCCAGCAGTTTGCTTGCTACTCATACAGGGAATGGGTGTGGCGCTCTTGATTGGATGATTGTGCACACAAGTGAAGGGTTGCGCACCGTCTCCAATACATCATAATGAACACGTTCAGGCCCTTCAAGGGAAAGATCGGCTAAGGTCCTGCTTGCACACACCTACACTAAGTCGAGATAGTTCGTATTGCCCATGTTATTACATCCACGTAAAACCAAGCTTTCGAAGATCGTAGAGAAGCGGTCAACCTGAGATCAATTGGATGACCTGATTACCAAATGACCTGATAAGCTCGTGGACGTTCACAATGGCATTCTTATGTTCGTCCTTTTAACATCATCATCATGCCACCAAAAGCAAACTCAACTTGATCTACCGGAAACCAAAGGTTATGTTCACATCACCTAAACAAGGCACCCCAAAGGCCGTCAAATGGCGTGTTCAGTGGTGTGAAACATATCCCGAAATCTGTGATACCAAAGTAGTTGATTCCTACAACTACCGCCGTAGCACCTTAAGGGGGGCTATCACAAAGACTGGCCCTTCCAAGTCTCATGTTTGCACTTGGACCCCATATATATATATATGCATATGTATGTATATGTATATGTATATATATATATGTATATATGTATACATATATATATATGTAAAAATACATATATATATATATATGATATTATATATGTAATAATAAAAGAAGACAACAAACGGGGCCCCGCGTTTGCCGTGTCCTCAGCAGAAAGACTTCCAGGGTCTCCAGCGTGAGCAGCCGGGCCACTTCTTTGCAGAACCGCGGGAAGCGCAGGAGGAGGCAGTTCTGCAGGTCTCCCACCTGATGGCCCTGGTGGATGATTAAACCACCAGGTAAACCAGGGCCATCGCCATCCATTTTTTCGAGCAAAAGAACCAAACAGGTTACCTATGATCTGCCGTCGAAACTCCGAGATCGAAAGTTCGGGTCCCAAAAACGGACGGATGGCTTCTAGAGAGCGTCCCACAATCTCATGGGGGGGTTGGGAAGCTAAAAGCCACGAAACGTAACAAGGTCACGCCCAAATTTGAGAATCCCACCCGCCATGAGGTTTGTTTTTCGGTGATTAAAGAAAGGGCTTTCAGAGAGCCATGGTCGTGGACCAAAACTCTGTCAATGGGTCATGGACGGTCATGGATGTTGTCAAGGTTCCGTGACCCTGGTAGAAAAAGCATCGGAGCCTTTTTCGGGTGGACCCGCCCCTTCACACAGAAAAAGTGCGGTTTCCGGCCTGAAACAAATCCCTGGTGAAGCAAAGCAAACAGGGCACCCTTTTCATTCGTCATCCCCAGTTCAGACCACTTAGGACGCTTTCCCAGGACTGAGCAATGAACCGGCAGAAGCTATAGGGACATCCTTGTCTTGGAACAGGTTTCTGGAAAAGAACACTGGCCACTGCATATCGCTAGGATCATCCACAAGGATGTCCAACCAAGCGTCGCGCATGAAACGTCATGCCTCCACACATTTGGGTGTGTCGTTCTGTACAGCGGATAGTGTTAAAGGGAAATTAAAGAAAACAAAGGACACACCAATATTGGGTGTGTCATACTTTCAGGGGACGCCGCCAAACTGGCGGTTGTCCTATTGGTGTCTTCTTCAAACCACCAAAAAAAGAGGTACCCTCAAAACTTGGTTGTTGTGGACGCCTCTGCAAAAAGTTTAACTTCTTACGGGTCCAAATCGAAAAATCCCATCTGTTTGGACCCACATGTTAAAGTCCGAGGAACCCTTGCCACATAGCCCATAACCCCACGATGGTGGCTTTCCTGTTGGTTTCCCTTTGAAACCACCAGAAAACGCGGTATCCTCAAAACTTGGTTGCTGTGGACCCCTCTGCAAAAAGTTTAGCTTCTTATGGGCCCAATTCGGAAAATCCCGCCTTTTTCATCCGAAAACTGAAGTCCGAAGATCTGTTCTCCAATAGCCCATAACGTAAAATGGTGGCTTTCCTATTGGTTTCACTCTGAAACCACCAAAGCAGGGTACCAACAAACATCAACAACCAAATGCAACGAAATTTCCTGCACCACTTACCACCAAGCTACTCCTCTTGGAGATCCCGGGGTTTGAGGCCATTTACCCAACCCATAAAGAAACAAAGGCACCGCTCGAGCGCTGGACGGGGCACGCTGGACACCACCCCGTCGCAGTCCAGCCAAGGAGTTCCCCCCAGCTCCAGCGGTGCCAGCTCAAGGTTCAGCCCCAGGACCGTGAGGGACATGCCTCACGGAGCCGCCCACTGGCGCATCTACACCAAAAAAACACATATATGTTCAATCTGTTCAAGATTAAAACCTTTGGGATTGAAGTATTTATTTCAACACCCAATGCTTTTGTTTATTTGTGGTTTCTATCGAACAACTGGAGAATCATTTGTACCCTCCCATCACCTGAGATGGAACCCAAGAATATGAGGCCTCTCAAAAGAACAGCTGGGTGCGTGTCTCTAGGGGAATCATGTTTGGTTGGCGTCCTTTGGTTTCTCTTTTGAACCCCACCCTAAAAAGTTCATCAAAAACAGAGACGCTCCCAGATACCCGACCAAATTCATTAAGATGGAACCTGGCCAAGAAAAGGAAGGCTTTGGGATATGTTTGACAGGAGGCTAGTGTGGCCAATTCCCACAGCTCTGCTTCACAAGTCCGGGCCGTGGCAAACACTGGCATGGGCTGTGCTCAGGCTTGTCTCTTAAAAGTTTAACTGTTAGTGGGTGAGTTGGACAGTTAAATGGAAACCGCCGCTAAAATGGAAGCTGCCACGAAATGGCCGGGAAACTTTTAAATGGAAACCACCACGAAATCCTAACAATGACAAACGAAGACAAGTCAGAGGATGCCCGGGAACCAGCAAGTACCACAAGCCTTCCTTGCACTGCCCGGAAGGGCTCGCTTGGGAAATGTGATGAACCTTGGCACAAGACGGGCTTCACGGCCAGTGATTGACTCCAAGGCTGCAGATTCCGCCATGAACTGCCACCTAAAACCAAACCCTAGGAGCCCAAGACCTCATTATGTGAGGCCTTTGGGGGTTCAAGGCCCTCGTATTTGGGGTTTTGGGCTCATGGGGAATGGCAACAAACTCTAGGCCACTTGCTATGAATCACAGAGGGCCCTTGCTGAGTCCAACATGATCTAGGAAGGGCATCAGCTGAAGAGCTTCGGTCAAAGCGAGTCATCTTCTTGTGCTGTGGGCATGTGCTGAGATCTACAGGAGTCATAGCCCTGCACAAGGTGCAGAACCATGACACATCTGAACCCAAGAACAAACGCAATCACACGGCATCATACGGCTGTGGGTCAAAACTTCGTACCCCCAGTGAACATCCCAATCCCCACTAAAATGGGTTCTAAAATGGGTGGTGCACCTACCCCAAAATGGGATCCCATTCGTTTTGACCCACAGCCATATTGCCTATGCACCAAGAGTGTCTGCAATGCTTCAGGAAGACCCACAAGTGCAGCATTCAACTCCAGGTACATTCAAGCCAATACATGTTCCATTGACTCAAAACAATAGCTGCCAACTTCGGCCTATGACAATCAAGGGTGTCCCCTTCTTTTCGTGTGAAATTATGCCCGTATGATCCAGATTCTTCTTCGGATCAGTACAGTGTCCGGACGAGTCCCGGGTTTAAGTGTAAGATTGGCAGTGGGGCAAATGACTGGAACTCACAAACGTGAGCTCAGATCCCCTGTTAAAAGTGACTAACTTTTAGTGGGCTAAATGGAAAGCCTCACTAAACACTAAAAAGCTAAAAGGCTAAGGAACCGGATGGCTGGGAGCCACCAAGAAACCTTTGTTCCTCCCTCCCTCAAATCAAATCACAAACCCCTGGGGTTGAAACCACCATCAAAACAATCGGGGTTCATACAACCGCCATTGCTGACCTAAGGATTGTCATCATCCAACTTGGCGCAACCATTCTCTTCATGGGGGTTGTTTCCTAGGGAAACCTGAACTGTTCGGAATCTCCAAGTGGACCTTCATCATGGGCTTCCGCTCCTTTGACTTTCAATGGCATGCGATCGTGAACTTAGTTGTCCAGGCCAAGCTGCCAGACATCAGCAGCGCGCAGGCTTCTTGTTGGTCTCCTCCAGTGCCAACCCACTGGTCAAAACATGCTGATCAAAACGACATGGTTAAACAAACTCTTTCACTCGCTTCCTGGGTGGCTTCGCCACCAAGAAGTCCGCGCTTCTTGCTGGCCACTAAGCAATTTAGATGGTCTTCCCCGAAACAAGTGTTTGGAACTCAGGGACTGATCTGCCAACAGGGTAGGCGCTCCTCCAGTGAAGTTCAGCGCTGCGCGTGCCACATCCTTGGGCTTGCCTGTCAATGAAGAGATGTCCTCAGGGGAAACAAGCCACGATTTGGAGCCCCGAAATGGTGGCGTCCCTTATTTTCCAATCAAACCAACCCCAAACTGGCTAGCCTCAAAAAAGCAGGTTCCCATAAATTTGAGCGGGGCACCCAAAACCCATTTGACTGTTGGTTTTACTCACCATGGTTCTATAGGTTAAGAATTGTTTTTTTCCCCAACAGCTGAAAGCTTTGGGGTCTCAGCCCAGATAGGCTCCGGGGGGGTCCGGGGCGGCCCTGAGGTAAGGTTCCACCAGCGTTCCACCAGGGCTCCACCAGGGTTCCACCAGGGTTCCACGAGGGTTCCACGAGGTTCTGCGAGGGCTGCGGGGTGGTGGGAGCACTAAAAAGAGCACCACATGATGTTGGGGATATCACCTGAGCTTATTAATGATCAACAAAAAATGGAACCCGGGGAACATTCTCAAACAATGATCCTTACGAACCAAGCAGAACCAACCAAAAAAACGTTGGGGGCCAGGGCGCTGCTCGCTTGGCTTGGGAAGCGAAACCAGCGGCCATTGGGAAGTAAAACCCTGCATGTATATATGCACATAAGTATGTGCATATGTATGCATACATAAATGTATATGTGTATATGTGCAAAATAATAGTAGTAGTCAAAATACTGATGACAATGGTGATACTTCATACTACTAATAATAAACTGCATGTGGTGTGGATGGTTTGGCGCATTTGCTGTTCCTTCTCTCAGTGGACAGTGGATGACGGGCTGAACAAACCACCGCACGCTTCGCGGATACCTGGCTGGCAAAGGACCCAATATAACGTCAAGGGCCATGGCACCTTAGGTGGGGCTAAGCCTCCCAACCGAAGAGCCTACCAAAACAGGGGCCTGCGCATTGGAAAGGAATAAATCTGCCAACCATATGATGCAAATCCCAACACACGCCAAGTCTTGTGTTCTTCTGGCCTCAGCAACACAGGAAAGGCAACTCGCCTGTAAGCCCCATCCTCACTGATAAACAAGCAGGAACTCCCTTCCCAGAAATCCTTTCCCTTGCATCCACAAAGGGAACATGCATGGTGTAGCGACCCGCTTTTTGATGGGTAGAGCCTGCTTCCACACATTCAGATGTGGCCACGTCAAAAGCCTACCCCCAGTGAACATCCCAATCCCCACTAAAACAGGTTCTAAAATGGGTGGTGCACCTGCCCCAAAATGGTACTGTACCAAAACGGTTTTGACAAACAGCCATATTTTCCAACTCGCTTTGTCTTTGTTGCTAGTCGACGCCCCGTGTGTGTGTGCGTGCGCGTTGTTTGTTGTTGTTTTTGTTTAATGGGTAGAGCCTCCTTTTCACACATTCACATACGCAAATGGCCTGGGAGATGGTCCGCGCGTTCAGGTCATCCTCAATCTCCACAGACTTCCAAATCCCGCGAGCCAAGACCGCGCGGCCCATGGCCGAATCCCCGCCCCGAGCCAAGTGCCTGCGAGAGAAGCGTCACGGGTGACACCCCCGTCCCCGGCCGCCCTGCAACGACTCAGCTTTCTTGGCTGCTCCTGACCCCCCTGCAAACAGTTTTTCACTTTTCGGGCGGTTTCGTGGAAAACACCTTTGTGTCCCAGAAAATTAAAGTCTAACGATCCAACCCAACGGCAGTCACGCCTTGGAGCTTGGGGCTTTGGCTGTAGGAGAAAGCAGCTTTGGTGTTGGCTGGCCGAAGTAACCACTGAGTTTTCAGCTTGGGGAGGAAGTTAAGCTAAACAATTGTGTAATTTCGGTCCGGTTTCCCTCGGGTTACTTAGCTACAAGTCTTGGGTGAGCGGTTCATTGTGGGCAACGGACATGTCACCCAAAACAAAGGCACGCTGACCATAACCTGCACCTCTTTAGTATCATATCTCGGCTCCCCCATGTTCAGGTCCCTTTCTTGTAGTGTCATTTATCCTGGCGGCCTTCAAACATAGACATGGCCTGTTAAATCGATTCAGCCAATTTCCCGGAAGGTCGAGGCTTTGCTTGTCATATCTCGCAAGCAACATTCGTAGGTAAGCAAAGTGGGTGACAAGCCGAAGGGCAACAAACTCCTTTCCATTCAGCCCCTCACCGTTGCCGGGGTGTCTGATGCACTCAAATACACACGAAACTGGACTCAACCAAAGAGGCGAATGATAAATGTGGCCAACCCAACAGATTGGCATGGTTCGGCAGTGTTGACCGGTTAACCATTGCCCAAGTCTGCCGCGTATCTGAAGACAAAGCCAGGCCAAAACCACCCGGGACGTCGTCTAGCAACAAAAACAAAGCGAGTTGGACAATATGGCCATGGGTCAAAACCCCGTACCCCCAGTGAACATCCCAATCCCCACTAAAATAAACTAAAATGGGTGGCACACCTACCCCAAAATGGTGCCAACACGGTTTTGACCCACAGCCACATGGCGATGGACTCCATTGGCTTGCGGGATGATTCGCAAGCTTCAGGGAGCCAAGCCAGTGCATTGCAAGTGTCGTCCTTTTCCGGCCTACCCGCTGTACAAGTGTCGAGCAAGCCTTCAGTGAGACCTGCCAAAAGCCAGGCACTGGACAACCGTTTGTTTTTTGGGTGCGGATTTGTCGTTTTGCTTGTTGCTTGGTCGGTCGGTCGGTTGGTTGGTTGGTTGATTGCTTGGTCGGTTGGCTGGTTGGTTGCTTGGTTGGTTGGAAAATCGACACTTCCAGCTTAGGGGGGGGCCACTCAAAAAAGACGAGCCAGCCACATTCCACAATCTACAGCCTGAACTTTCGACAGCGGGTCTTACCGCTAAAAAATGAACATGCGGTGTGGTTAAAGATGCCTGGCAAATCACCAAAACACACTTGCTCGTAGACACTCGCCAAAGGAAACACGATCTTGCCCTTGGACAAGTCTCGTCATTCCAAGAACCCCACATCTAGACCTAGACATCTGCTGAGACATTTCCATCATGGTAGAAGGCAAACACGTCGCAAGCGTCACCATAATACGATCTAGCACAAAAGATTCCCACTAATCGAAAGGTTGTCGTAAATCTAGTCTCCAGCTGCCACTATAGGTATTTACCCAAGGTTGATTGGCAGTCTGTCAGTCTGCCTGCAGCAAAGCCCAACGCCCCTCCGTCAAACATCGCACTGCACAACCGCCCACATCTCATCGGGCTCATTGGATTCCCCTGCAAAAGTTCCAGTGTATATCCCACTGTTGGATCAAACCGAAGATGAGTTCCAACAAAAAGTGGCAGCACAACTGAGGTGAGAGCCTCCCTTACTCACTGAAAGGTAAGTTCCAACCATTCCAACCAAATTGCCGCTTGACCTCCGTCGGGAAAGGGAAACAAGGGCGCCCTTCTTTGGTGGTTGATTTTAAATAGGATCCCTTGAAGATCACAGTTGGGCAATCCCTTTGCCCAGCTCACAGTTGGGCAATCCTTTGCCCAGCTCACAGTTGGGCAATCCCTTTGCCCAGCTCACAGTTGGGCAATCCTTTGTCCAGCTCACAGTTGGGCAATCCCTTTGCCCAGCTCACAGTTGGGCAATCCTTTGCCCAGCTCACAGTTGGGTTGGGCAAATCCTTTGCCCAGCTCACAGTTGGGCAATCCCTTTGCCCAGCTCACAGTTGGGCAATCCTTTGCCCAGCTCACAGTTGGGCAATCCCTTTGCCCAGCTCACAGTTGGGCAATCCTTTGCCCAGCTCACAGTTGGGCAATCCCTTTGCCCAGCTCACAGTTGGGCAATCCTTTGCCCAGCTCACAGTTGGGCAATCCCTTTGCCCAGCTCACAGTTGGGCAATCCTTTGCCCAGCTCACAGTTGGGCAATCCCTTTGCCCAGCTCACAGTTGGGCAATCCTTTGCCCAGCTCACAGTTGGGCAATCCCTTTGCCCAGCTCACAGTTGGGCAAGCTCACAGTTGGGCAACAGTTGGGCAATCCCTTTGCCCAGCTTTCAGCTTTGGGCAATCCCTTTGCCCACTCACAGTTGGGCAATCCTTTGCCCAGCTCACAGTTGGGCAATCCCTTTGCCCAGCTCACAGTTGGGCAATCCCTTTGCCCAGCTCACAGTTGGGCAATCCCTTTGCCCAGCTCACAGTTGGGCAATCCCTTTGCCCAGCTCACAGTTGGGCAATCCCTTTGCCCAGCTCACAGTTGGGCAATCCCTTTGCCCAGCTCACAGTTGGGCAATCCCTTTGCCCAGCTCACAGTTGGGCAATCCCTTTGCCCAGCTCACAGTTGGGCAATCCTTTGCCCAGCTCACAGTTGGGCAATCCCTTTGCCCAGCTCACAGTTGGGCAATCCTTTGCCCAGCTCACAGTTGGGCAATCCCTTTGCCCAGCTCACAGTTGGGCAGTCTTTGCCCAGCTCACAGTTGGGCAATCCCTTTGCACAGTTGGGCAATCCCTTTGCCAGCTCACAGTTGGGCAATCCCTTTGCCCAGCTCACAGTTGGGCAATCCCTTTGCCCAGCTCACAGCTCACAGTTGGGCAATCCCTTTGCCCAGCTCACAGTGGGCAATCCTTTGCCCAGCTCACAGTTGGGCAATCCCTTTGCCCAGCTCACAGTTGGGCAATCCCTTTGCCCAGCTCACAGTTGGGCAATCCCTTTGCCCAGCTCACAGTTGGGCAATCCCTTTGCAGCCAGCTCACAGTTGGGCAATCCCTTTGCCCAGCTCACAGTTGGGCAATCCCTTTGCCCAGCTCACAGTTGGGCAATCCTTTGCCCAGCTCACAGTTGGGCAATCCCTTTGCCCAGCTCACAGTTGGGCAATCCCTTTGCCCAGCTCACAGTTGGGCAATCCCTTTGCCCAGCTCACAGTTGGGCAATCCCTTTGCCCAGCTCACAGTTGGGCAATCCTTTGCCCAGCTCACAGTTGGGCAATCCCTTTGCCCAGCTCACAGTTGGGCAATCCTTTGCCCAGCTCACAGTTGGGCAATCCCTTTGCCCAGCTCACAGTTGGGCAATCCTTTGCCCAGCTGATTTAGAAGAGAGTCGCAAAAGAAGGTTGTTTTTGGATGTATTCGTCGAGGAACCCAGAAGGGAAACCCTACCAATGTGCTCAATTATCTGTTCCGTTTCTTTGTAGTTCCTCAATTATCTGTTCTGTTTCTTTGTATCTCAGAAAGAAAAAAGAAAGAAAAAAAGGAACCGCGCCACTGGAATCCAGGGTGCCAACCTCTTGTTCAAGTTCTTTGCCTCGCTTGCTAAAACCACCTCGTTTGGGCTTCCCATACGATCCGGACGCTGCGACATGCTTTGTCCAATCCTCGGTCGGTTTGGTTGTTTTGCTGTCCTCAGATCCCTAAAAACCTGGAACACAGTATTTGCTTAAAACTAGAAGACTAAACACCTAATACCTACGTGCTTGTTGTTTCTTTTGTTTTTGTTTACAAAACAAGAAAAAACAACCAACACCGAACCGAGAAACTGGTTTTGGGCCCATTCCACCCATACGATTTTCTCGCGCCTATGGCTCCGGAGACTTCTCCTGGCGATCTGATCGCGCAACTCGGCCGAGGGCGGTTTCTGGCGATCGGTGCGCTAGGGAATGTCAGGCGTTCGTAGAATGAACCCAGGCTTTGGCTTTGATCCCCTTGAAGAAAACCACCAATTGGATGGTTTACAAGGGTCATTGTCGATAGGGAATGTGATGAACCCAATTGCTTGGGTCCCCAAATGAAGGGCTGGATGGTTTGTTCAGGGTCATTCCTTTTCTCCATCCTGAGCACCAGCCAGTTTTCTCCAGCCGCAGCAAGCAGTATTTTCTGTGGGTGTTGGAAGCAGTTGGGCGTGGAACTCTGGAAGTGGGGTGCTGCAAAGCCCCCGAAACGGATCCACCGGCGGTTGCAGGGGATCGCCGGCCAAGGTGCGGGGAGTCCAGCGGGCTTCCCCACTTTCGTCGACTGAATTTGCCATCCACCGGGGATCGCTCAATGCACCTCCCCAAAGTACTGTGGTTCTCCCAAACGCGTTCTGGGGAGAATGGATGTTTGCTTGAGGCTGAATGCATGCTAGGTTGTACATTCAACGCTCATAAAACGGCAAACGGCTGACAAACTCGGCGATCGTCGCAAGCAAACGGGAAGGTTTCCATGGGGAAGGATGAGCGGCAGGAAATGGATACACCTCCAAAAACTCAGCATATCAAGCTTGCTTGATTGATGTTCGTCGTCCGCAATGGTTAGGGTACACTACCTGGCAAATAGATGGCACATTTACGACGTATATTTTTAGGTAGATGGCACGGTGTGATTGCTTCAAAGGCAATGTAGTTCAAACACCAGGGCCTTCTCTGAAAATGTGTTGGATGGACTCTGGTTTGGCCAACTTGTCCGAGAGCTGGAATCAAACACAAAGGCCACTGAACAAATCGTCCATCATCTCCTATTATCTGCGTTCCCCAAAGGACACAAATTCTAGGAGGTTGAAAAAAGGGTGCCCTTTTTCTGTAGTCTATTTCACTTCGGGAACCCTCCCCCAAAAATAGGTAAACATGGCACTACTGGGGGACCTAGAATGTAGCTCGACGGCTTCCCTGCCGTGTGAAACACGGGTAGGCGAGTGCCTGTCAGCGAACAACAATATCTTTCAGACTCTTGTTGCCTGATCAGAGTTTGTGGGTCCAAATTGTGCCAGCATGGGTTGTTCAACTCTTGCGAACTGCTTGAGGTTCTTCCATGTGCTTAAGTCCCCTGGACAAACAAAAACATTTCCGTTAGTGGTAGAGTCCCTTTTTGAACCAAGAGGGGAAATACAACATATTCTCCAGCAAATGGAAGGGATCAGTAGAACTCGTTTCTCCGCATCTCCATCTCCTGTTTGGAATCCGCGGGCTGACTCCAATCAGAAGGTAACAACAAGTTGCAAAGGGATTGCAGCCTACAAGCATGCTCGGGACAAAATAAATCGGCACTCATGGAAGCGGTGAGCTCCAGTTTCTGACCACCCTGGGCTTACACAGGGAAATGGCCAAACATCGTCCCATCAAGTGTCAATTGCTCAGGTGCAATCCCGAGTGATTAGGGTGTATCTTTAAACATCACAGAAGAAAAATAAACGATTTCCTATAAGAAGCCCTTACACGGATGGCGTCCTGCCAGTCCTTTTCAAGTGGCCTCGTGAACTGAAATCAACATATTGTATTGGCACTGATTTTGATCCAACAGAAAAACATATTAAGATCATCCGGTATTGGTATGCTCAAGTCCCTACGTATTTGCAACGCCTTGACACACTATGGGGGGCTCCTTGGTTTCCAAGTTGCAATTTGCCCGGAATCACCCACTTGAGATGGGCCAACAGAAAGCCCCTGCGTGCTGCAGTTGCTTAGCAAATGGTTCAAACCCAAATGGCTATGGGTCAAAACCCCGTACCCCCAGTGAACATCCCAATCCCCACCAAAATCGCGTAAAATGGGTGGTGCACCAATCCCCCAAAATGAGATCCCAAATCGGTTTTAACCCACGACCAAATAACTCAAACTCCAAAAACTCAAGAAATAAACCCCCATTCCTACTTGACACTCCCCTCGGTCCTCTGCCGGCGCAAATCGGACAGCAGAGTTCACCTCACGGTAGAAAACGAGATCTGAGAAAGGGGCTGGTTGGTTCTTTAGGGCTGAAATGTACCTGGGCATGGGTCAAAATTGAACCACCAAACGACCGCAGGCTTTAGTCCTTAGTTCCATTTTCTAGGGTTCCATTTTGGGTACCAATTTTTGACTCACAACCTGATGTTCCATGATCATTGGTGAAGAACCTATCAAGCAGGGGTTCGTGCGCGCTGACATGTTGGATCTGCGGTCCCAACAACTCGCCAACCTGAAGTCGAGAACCCCCCCGAGAACAAACCAATCTTCATCACTTCGCCAATGCCGACCCTGGGCAAGCAATCAAGCTGATTGTTTGCTTGTTTGTTTGATTGACTCTCTCTTTGCTTGCTTGTTTGCGTGTTTTTGCTTCTTTGCTTGCTACTTCTTTGTACATTTCTTTGTTCACACTGCGATCATCATGACCCAAAAAAACGCGGGGCAAGCGAAAACCGAAGGGTGAAGCTCCCCATCCCCGGAGCCTTTGAGCTCGGCGACTCCTGGCAAGGCTGAGGTTCAGGGAGTGCTCCCTGTCAGCCCATCAGCCCTTCCCCCGCCCGTGGTTTGAGAAGGCACGGCCAATACCTAGATCCCCAGCAAGGCCTCTGTATTTTCCAGCCACTTTGACCAAATTATGGGCTACTGGCGGGTAAAGTGGCGGAAACAAAGTGGCTACTTGGGGTTCCAGGAAAACCTGTCCAAAGTCATTGGATCCCACATCCCAGCTGGGCTGTTCAACGAGGCTTGGCCAATCTGATTTTCCATCATCCCTACAGGGAAGCCACTACAAAGGGGGCCAAATCTTTGCGAAACCGCTTGGGCAAGGAATGGCAAGGATCTTTGCGGAGTACCTTTGAACAGCCCAGCTGATCACCCCTCTGCCTGTTCACAGCTCTTATGACTTCCGGCTTTCGCGGAAAACCCTGGCGCTTTATGTGGCCCAGTGGGAAAAGCAAGCCCTGCATAGGACGCTTCAGAAGCCTTGACCTCGGATTAATGAATGGATTGGGCAAAATAAGCCCCGACCAACATGGTCTTCCCAAAGTTGCAAGTGCAAACTCCGATTGACAAGAAGCTGCACCAAAGCTGTCTTCTTCAGTTTGCAATTCCCAAGCTGGGCATGAAACTGAGACGCCTCTAACAGATAGTATCCTGCTGAAACATGTTTGTTGGATGGCCTTTCCCAAGCCAATAATTCAGAAAACGGATTCTGCAACCTTTAATGGCCAATGAAACAATTGAGCAAATAACCAGACCCTTCTTCGGTTGTGTTTTCAAAAGTGGGTCATCCCATTACTATTGTATCACACTTGGGGGATGCAGCTAAAAAGATTCCACATTACATGTATCTGGACTGTATCCCCAGCACCCAAACTCGCATTTGTTGTATCCGGACCGTTCCCACAACCATAGTCCAGCCTAAACCAACCCCGAGCCCACCTTACCAAGCCACGCTCCCGTGCCTCATCCTTGGGCTTCTTCAACTTCGCCTCGCTGAGTTTGGAGCTGTCAAACATCGTGACCCTAAAGCACATGAACAAAAAAGTCGGCGCCTGGGAGAATTTGGTTCCTGGACTCCAACTTCCCTCAAAGATGGGTTATTGCCCCCCAAACTATGGGGATACATCCCATTTTAAAGGGTAGTTTGAGGGTCTAGGTTGTGGCAAATGGCAGAAATAGGGGGACACAGTGAATGCGACAGGAGTAAGTACAACAAAGCCGTGGGAAATCTAGTCCTCCAAAGCTGTTCCAAAACAGCAACACCCCGGACTGTCAATGTAGGTACGTGTCAACGTGTCAAAACAGGCGGGGACCCACCAAATTGTGCTTCTCCTTTTGGTTTCCCTTTAAACCCACCCCCCAAAAAAGAACCCTCAAAAGTAAGGAACCTGGGCTGGCAAAGACGCATGTTTGTTTGTGCGAACATGTTTTTACGAGAGCGGCTGCAATATGACCACTGACCCTCTCTCTCTCTCCCTGCCATGGGCTACCAGCCCGATGCGTCAAAAGGGACCCCTCCATTGTTCAATGGTGACCTGGGATCTGTTTCTTCCTGGCATGGGCAACAAGCCCGGGTATGCGGACCCCTCCATTGTTCAATGGTGGCTTCCTTAGCTTCACGCTAAACCCATCCCCAGTGACTGACTTCCGAGCTCACGCGGCCTTCATCAGGATGTTGTCAAAGGATCGACGCCTTCCGCCCTCTTCTGGCGCAGCCTCACGTGCTCTTGACAATAGGCACAGGCCGATTGGGGCACACTGCACCCAACGAAGGGTCCAAGTTAAACCATCCCTCAAGAAGTCAGTAGCCGGCGAGACATCCGAGACACTGTTTATTGCACTGACTCAAGTTGGATCCTTTCCAAGCCTTCTGTTGGTTGCAACACGATGCAAAACAATAATGCAACCTCAGAAAGTCAGAAGCCAGAAAGCCCTGTCAGGTCGCAATCAAAAATGACACAATAATGGCAAACGAGCCTTGAATGTATCCCAAGAAGTCATTGTGCCTCAAGTTAAGATATAGAGTGCAACTGCTGCAGGAGAACATGTTCTTTACAGGCCTCAACTCACGAGTCCCACAACGGCGTACAGCTTCCCAAGCCTTCAAGGACATAGACGCCCTGCGTGCGAACCTGGTTTCGGGCGGATTCTTTTCGATTGTGGCTTGCACAAACAGTGCCATGGCAAAGGGCAGCTTGAAATCAACACCTACTGGAACCACAAAACATGGCCTCAACATCCTGTTTTCCACAACCATGCTCCCCGTATTATAACCTGTACTACTTTGTTAGCCTGCGCCACGGCAAGCTGAACCTCACTTGCAGCTGAATGAGGGCCAGTCAGTGTGTGCAACTTGCAAGTTGCGGCAAAACGCCCTCAATCCTGACGCAAGCAACTGCAGCGCGGCCAACGTGCACAAATCAACCGCAACATGAGTCTCTGTAGGGGCAAGTTTTGAGTTGTCTTGCGCAAAGCAGCCACCTATCGAGTCCGCAGGTCCACAGATCCACATTTAGCGCTCCGTGGCATGGAACGCAAACCATGAGCCGAATCAAAAAGGTTGATTGACGATCAACTGTTCGCAAGTTTGATTGTCAAACAAGAACTTGACTTCTATCCAAAACAAGGTACATATCAAATTTGTCGTTTTGATGGTGGCATGTTTGCAACCATCAAGGGCTCCAGTGAACTGTTGCGGAAACAAACAAAAATCCTCCAGAGGTTTGTTTGGCTTTCCCATCTCATAGCCATGAGAAAGAAGCCGCGTTTAGTTCACTTCAACAGATCCAAAACAGAGAAAGCCGCAGCCGGAGGTCGTGATGAAAGGCCCGCCGTTGATAGTCAAGCGCTGAAAAGCAGTCTCACCCCTGATCCCTGAGCCCGCCTTGGATTTGCTGCGTCCTCGTCTGGCGACTCGCCTTAGAGAACGGAAAGCGAAGGGATCAACACCTGCTGACCCAAGCCATCAGCCCGAGACGAGTGGTGCGATAGGTAGGGAATGTGGTTGAATGAGCCCAGGCTTTGGTCCCTTCAAGGAAGAACCACCAGTTGGATGGTTTTTCTTGCGGTCAGTCCATTTCTTATTCCCTGCATCTCTCGCACCAGCAAGACTAACCCAGAGGGAGCAAACAAGTTGCTTCAGATTACTGGCTTGCCATCCCGTACCTGCGTGGCGCACATGGAGCCCCGTTTCGTTCCCAAATACTCTTGGACAGCTGACGATCACGTGCAGCCTAGCTCGCCTTCAAAACGAGCTCCTTAAGGGCTTTATGAAGCTGCGCTCATCATCTCATGTCATCCTGCTGAGAAGTTGTCTCATGTACTATGTTCCTCAGTCTACTGCCAAAACCTCCGTGATTCTTCATTCAACTGCCCAAAAACCAAACACCTGACTCCGGTTTGTGCTGCTTCGGCCCTTTCATCCTCGGCGCAGAACATCCACAATCGGGGCTGTGGGAAATGATTACTTCTGTGATACAACTAAAAGGGTCTCCCAAAGACTAAACCCCCCATATAAAGAGGGGAATCCCTTGTATCGCAGAAGTGGGGGATAAACCCCTTGATCCCACAACCCTGTCCACCATTAAATCTACAAAAGATGAACTCAAGAAAGAAAGCATCCCACAACTGCTTTCAATGGGAAATGCTCTGAACTCAGCCGGTGGCATCCTTTTGGCCAAGCATCATCCATGATGCAGGTCCTCCAGTAGACAGGTTAGAATAAGGGTACCCTTTCTTCTGTAGGCTATTTTAGTAGGGGAACCCTCCCCCCAACAAAAAAAAGAAGAAGGGCACTACTGGAAGACCTAGGCCTATATTTGCCCCAGAACTTGCTGTGGGCCCCAAGTTGATCGCGTCTCACCGCGCTTTTGCCCCGTTGCGACCACCGCTCCGGCCTGGACCGATGACTCCGCGCTGACCCGTCATGGCCTGAGTCGGCTTCAATATACAAGTCTGCCTGGGTCAAAAGCCAAATCGTACCCCCAGTGAACATCCCAATCCCCACTAAATTAGGCTAAAATGGGTGGTGCACCTACCCCAAAATGGTACAATTGGTTTTGACCCGCAGCCAAGTCATAACCCCAATTCGTTGGATCCACTCGTCGCCAACTTGGTCTCCCAAGATGAAAGCAAGCTTCTTGTGGCTCCAAGAGTCTGTTGTCATCTTCCCAAAGTTGTTTGGTCGGCGCAGTTTCTAGTTGGGGGAAAAACAAAAGCACGACCAGTGGAGGACCATGCATCGAGACACGCTTGCCGCGCGGCCTCGACTTTCGACGTGGAACTCGGGATCGCTATTTGGATGTTCAACCTATGGTAAGTGGGATATAAGACCAGGGTTGTTGCTGGGATGAATGGGCTTGGCCGACTGATATCACAATTCGCATCTACACAGGGACCTGCCAAATAGTGTATAGTACCCTCTCTCCTACTAACATCACTGGGATCCCTCCAAGAGGAAAATGAACTTCCAGGTGCCTCCCCACAGGTGCCATGTTAGTGGGCGGAAGGGTATTTGGTTTGCTTTTTGTTAGCGCTGGTGTTTATTCGGGCTGGCAACAGCCCAAAATCACCTAGGGGCTGGAGCCTTCCGGGTGGGGTATTCTGCATCCCCAGCATCACCGGCCTCACTTGGACCTGGGATTTACTAATCCTTTCCACATCTTTTAATTTCTTTTACACATCTATTTATTAATCTTAGGAATGGAAAGGATTAGGAAATAATAAAATAAAAGAAGCATTCCATGAAAGAAGAAACCAACTAAGAAGACAAATATCCTTTCCTTCCCATTCATTCACTTGTCACCCAACCTCTGTTCCAAGTTCATGCATTCCCTTCTATTCCTTCTCCTTGACTCGTCCTCAGGTCTAACTGGTGGGCGAGAGGAAAAAAGGAAAGGTGATGGACAAGTGATAGAAAAGGCCTGTGATCGGAGTTGCTGACAGTTGGGAGTTTGATTGGGTTTTTTTAGGGTGAGTTTTTAAGCTGCCTGAGATCTGCATGAGGGCATTGGGTGGTTTGGGGTTCGCTTGGACTCGGCAATGAGTTGCTAAACCAGCCGCACACCTACCCAAACCCACCCCAACACAGCCCAAAACTCACCCAACAGTCGTGGGTCTTTGTGGGTAATGCCTATGTAACGGTGTTGTTTTTTGAATATAGGGCTGGGCCGCCTGGTTGGTTGGTTGGTTGGTTGGTTGGTTGGTTGGTTGGTTGGTTGGTTGGTTGGTTGGTTGGTTGGTTGGTTGGTTGGTTGGTTGGTTGGTTGGTTGGTTGGTTGGTTGGTTGGTTGGTTGGTTGGTTGGTTGGTTGGTTGGTTGGTTGGTTGGTTGGTTGGTTGGTTGGTTGGTTGGTTGGTTGGTTGGTTTGTTGGTTGGTTGGTTGGTTGATTGATTGATTGATTGATCTGGCTGGCTGGCTGGCTGGCTGGCTGACCTTCGTTAGTTGCCCGCATCCCCAGCATCACCAGCCTCACCTGAGCCTAGGGCTGCCAAGTTGATTAGATTTGGTAGCTTTTGGGAGTTTAAGGCCTGATGCACCTCATGCGCCCGGCAGCAAGCCGGCCGGGCGAAACTCCAAGCCTTCGTTTCACACCATCCGCTTTGTGAGGGAGGATCACTTCCAAGTGAATCTACATGGGTCTCTTTATTTGGAGTTGGTACCCCCGTTCGTGGTTTTTGAAGGGAAACCAAAAAGAACACTGAAGCCATCTTGGGGGTCCCCCCCAAAACAGGCACACATCGCCCATCGCCAACAAGAAGGGAGCCACCACAACCCGAACCCGCAAGCCTGTGAGCCAAAGAACTCGGATGAACATCAAGCTCCCAGTTCGCTGCCTACAATTATGGGGGCTGCGGGAAGGGGGGTCCCTCCCCCGCTCCCCAGCTTCCCCCCAGCCCGTGTGGTGCAAATGACCCAATGACATCAAGCAACATTATCCCACACATTCAAATGGCAGCCGCCCTTCTCAATAGAGAAAAACAACCGCCATTCTGGGACTGATAAACGCCTGGTGAAAAATGCATATATAAAGTTGGCATGCATATTCTATTCTGTGGTTCACTTGAGCCGACTCTAAATTGCACACATCCAGGTACGAATGCTTCTGTCTTCCTAAGAAACCGCCAAAATATGGTGCCAGCTCTCTGCAAACAGGGTTTCCTCATTTCCCCATACATCTCACCAAAAGGAACTCATTTGGCTGTGGGTCAAAACCCTGTACCCGTGGTGAACGTCAAAATAGGTGGCAAATGAATGTTCATCTGCTCCAAAATGGAGCCATAGGTTATGCCCCATGACCATTTCTTTGGCTCCAAAAGGTGATGTCCAAACCCAGAAGAAATGGAGGGATCGGTCACCACAAAGGTTCCCGCCTCTGCCATCAAACGGCCAAAGCCTTGCTTGGCTGCGCCTGCCGAACCCAAGGCGGGGTACAATACCCAAACACGCTGCCAGAAATTTCAGGGGGAACCTAACATGCGTTTCCGTGGAGCCTGCGTGTCTGTCTCAGAAAAAGTGAAAAAGGAGCAGTGTTCTTTTTTGGTGTCCTTCAACCAACCAGAGCGGGCCCCATGTATCCAAGGCTGAGGCAACGCCCCGCTTCTCTTACTATCTGTTGGCAATTAGCCTGTGCCAAAAGAGTAAACCATGCTGAGTCACGTCTTCAAGTCAACCCGTTGCAATGTATTGTTTGGTCATGCTCCTGAACGCCTGGGAAGAATAGTATGCGACGCTAAGGGCGGGAGGCTGCGAGCTGTGAATGAGACAAAAGACATGTGGAAGCTTGAAGCCTTGAAATTGGGGGGTGTTGCACCGCCTTTTTTTTTTGGGGGGGGGGGGGGCACACCGACCTGGGCCTCGCAGAAACAGTTCCTTACTCCTGCCATGGCAGGAGTTCTGGACGATCCCTTTTCTGGGATGGCTTCAACCAAGGCCGTGATCGAGCTGAGATCCCTAAAAGGGTTGTTGTGGGGTGCCTGGGCAGTGGGCCTAAGGGGCAGTGGGGTGCCTGAGATCCCTCAAGGCCTAAAGGCTTCATTCGGCAAGAAGGGAAGTGAGCGAGTGGCCGTGGGCCCATTTACTAGAGTTGTTGTTTATGAGATGGACAAAATCACATGGCTGCCGTTCATAAAGGACATATGGCTCAGCGTGAACATCGGGGACCTTTCGTCGACACATGTTGAATTGGTTGCCTTTATGTTGGTAGGCAGCAAGGGCTTTCCCCAGTCTTGGCTGAGGCCCATCATGCACATTCAGGATCAATGCAACTGGAAGTGAAATGGACCAAAACTGGAGGCATGTAGGTCAGCCATGACTAGCATACTGAATGCAACTATCCGACTGCGCGTGCAAGAAATGGTACGACCGGCCACTGGTCAAAACAGTTCCTCAACCCAACGGTCGTCAGAAGACCAACTACAAATCTCCACCAGGATCTCCCCCCAACCCAGGTGCACGGAAGGCTGGTCAAAATCAGAATCCTCGGTTCCTGAGTCGACCCCGGCCATGTTGCAGGGGAACCCTATGCTCACTAAGGGAGCTTCATGCATCACAGGGTGCAGATAGCCACATGGCTGTGGGTCAAAACCAATGGTACCATTTGGGGGTAAGTGCACCACCCATTTTAGTCTATTTTAGCGGGGATTGGGATGTTCACTGGGGTACGGGATTTTGACCAATGGCCACATTGATAACAAGGGGCAGCAAAGGGTTGGGCTGTGGAGGCCATGGCATGTGGTCGCCGAGGTCAAGACAAGGTGGGACAAGCAGATGGTCTTGCTGGGAGCATGACGGGACCAGCACACACGCAGGTGAGTCGTGCCATCCGCACCAGGCCCAGCAAATAGCTGTATGCTGCACTGGACCCTTGGGACGCAGGGCCATGGAGGCGGCGTGGATGCTGGCGAAGCATGGGTGGAATAAGGCATTCCTGGCTATGGCCCTGACTAGCTCTGAGACGGTGGCATCAGCCCGCCCATCGTTCAGGCAGGATCTGATGCAGCAGGCCTTTTGTGCGCCGTTGAGCCCTGGAGCGGGCGTAGCAACGGATGGTGCAGTAGGAATCACCCGCCCATCTGTTTTGCCATGGCTTTCTCCAAAAAACCGCTGGAGGGGTGGGTGGATGGCTTCACAGCGCATGTGAGGCCCATACTTTTCTTGAACGTTTGATGGCTGGTATTTGTACTACGCACTTCATCCGGATCGTCACTCGTCGCTTGCCCTGCATTTGAAGGTAAATTTCGCGCCTTCTTGCAGATGGGAGGGATTAACGGAGCGGCCCTTGATCGATCAAGCCCTTCGAAAGGATGATGCAACATGGAGTCTAGGCTGACGATGTAATTTTGCCTTGTCTCGTAGGAAGCGCAGGCTGGGCGGCTGCGGTCAGTTTTGTTTGTGGTGCACCGGGGCCGGGGGGGGGTGGTGGTGGTTGGGCCACGTGGCTGGTGGAAACTCCCTACGTGGGTCATTTTGCAATGCATGGGTGGATCTACTAATGATGCCCTCCCCTGGTAGCCCCCAGTAGGTCTTTACACCACGGCCGGCAGAAAGGAATTTCTCAAAACAGTGGACCGCCTGTTGGTTGGCATCAAACGAAAGCCAAAAGAAAACCACCCTGTTAACGGACCCTATTTGGAGAAACACCGATAAATCAACAGGCCACTTGGGTCATTCGCTCACCCCGCCGCGGGCCGCCGTTTGCCGTTTCTGCCTTCCGGAGAGCCACCAGGCACAAGCAAAGCGCCGCCTTCGATCGCTCCGAGATATCGTGTCGAAGGAGGGACAGAACAACCAAACACATCGAAATGAACAAACCGAACAGAAAACATTCAAAACAAAAAGCACGACAGGAAACTGGATAAGCCCAGGATCTTGCTCCTGGTCTCTGCGGACCTTGTGCATTGGGTGTATTTATCCACAAAGGCTTCCTTTGCGATTCATGTCTTCAAGCTCCTCGCTTGCGAACATCACGTTGAAGATTGTTCGGGTCTTCTGTAACAAAACGGCATTCGCTTGCTGACCGAGGGCCAATGATGCAATCCTAAAAGTCGAAAGGGAGAGAAACTTAGTAGCCAAATGGCTTTGTTGTTTTTTCTTGGGGGGGGGGTACTCCTTTTCGTGTGCTTTGAAGGGAAACCAGAAGGACAACCACCATGATGTTTGCGGGTCCTATCAAAGACAGACCCAAATCTGTCAAATGGAACCTCACGGCTACTGGGCAAGCAAATTTATTGATGTGGCAGCCTGGAAAAGCGAGAGGTGCACGCGCCCAGAGTGACAACCAATGGAATCGCCGAACTCAAAAACCGTAGCAACCAAATTTCACAACTCACATGAAAAGGCCAGTAAATGCAACCAGCCAGCCAGAACTTCTGAAACCCAGACCATGAACACTGCTGCTTTCCCATGTTGGGGGGAAATCGAATTCCAGGCACGCGAAAGGGTCCAATCAAAAGAAACTCCATCCGTTCTGTCCACGTCGCCGGATACTTGCGCCTCAGCTAAGTCCGAACATCCAAGCAAAATGCAACAAAGCCTAAGTCTAGTTCCCGATTCCCGGCATTTCCAGAACGAGGCCTATGGGATGAAACTGGACTCACTGAGGCCGGGTTGTCTGAGACCCCCGGAGCAAAAGATCGTTCGCCTTTTGCACATGCTCAAAGGAAAAGCCGTTTGTAAACCCGAAAGGGTGTGTCTTCAAATAAAAGACCCGCAAAATGGCGGTGTTTCCTTTGGTTTCCAACCTCACCCCCACCCCAAAAAGGGTAGCCTCAAAAAGACGAGCCACCCAAAAGGTGCTTTCGGGCCACGTCGTCGACCGGCCAAAACCGTCTTAGTCAGGCGCTGGTGTAGGTCGTCGCGCGCTCGCTCGGCTTATCGTCGGGCACAGGCGGCATAGGGCTGGGCCCACGCGATGCCACGGGCTCCGCCTCGAAAGAGCAAACGGAAAGCTGGGTATGGGTCAGCAAGTTCAACTGGGTATGGGTATGGGTTTAGTTGTTTGCTTGCCCATGCAACTCTTACATGTATCCATAGGGCAACCCAGTTTGGGTACCGATTTCTGAACCACAGCCAACTAGAGAACGTGGCTTCATCCCCCCTACCTCAATGGGGGAGTGGTGGGTCCAGGACCCAATTCCAATCTTCTGGTCTTTCCCACCAAAGGGAGAATGGAACCATAAATGGAATTGCAGGGGTCAACCCCCATCCCCGATTCCATTTTCAAGGGGTTCAGGATGTGGCCTCCGGGTACATCGACAAATATGGCGACTACTTGGCATCCAGACAATACCGCACCAACAAGCATGGCTCGGGGTGTGGATCCCGCTTAAGACGAACCCTTTCCCGTTGAAAAAGGAGTCTGTGCACTTTCATGTGTGGCGGAAGAGTGGCGTTTTGAAAGTCCGCAGGAAGACTTTGCTTTTGGGCGTGGTTCGCTTGCGTTTCCATATCTGGGAATGTCTCTAAATTGGGGAACCCTGCCTGCAGGTCTACAACTTGCCCTTCTCAACCGCCAATTGGAGCCCAGCAAAAACAGGGTTGAGGTGCACATTAAGTCCGGCCTCGGTCGAGGCAGGACATGGGAATTTCCAAAGATTCTGAGGGTAGCTCCCCATGCATTTCAGGGATCCTCTGCCAGAAACCACCAGAAACTCTCAGGGAAACGGCTGGTTGAAACAAATAATGGTTGACAAGAATGAGGAGTCGACCTCTAGGAAAAATGACACCCCCGAGCAAATCTCAGGGTGCATCTCCGAGTAACAGTATATAGACCAATATTGGTCAAACTTTTGCGTGTTAAAATAAACAATTTCTGCTTATTACAACGCCCCCCGAAACAAGCCAAATGGATAAACAACAATGTGGTTGCTGCAGAAATTCTTCCGTGGATCCTCCCAAAGTGGCAGTTTCAATGGTAACCATGAAGGGGAAATCCAGCCAACTTCGCAGTTTCAATAAAACCCACCAACTTCTGGTTTGAGGAACTCCAGTGACCCCTCTGCTCGTCCGCACCTAGCTGGAACCCCAAGTAGCCACTTGTTTCCAGCCACTTTACCCACTAGTAGCCCATAATTTGGTCAAAGTAGCTGGACAATAAAGGCAACTGGGGATCTAGGTAGCCTAGGTCCTCCAGTAGAGAGGCTAGAAAAAGTTGGTACCTACTTTTTTCCAGTAGTCTATTTTAGTAGGGGAACCCTCCCCCGAAAAAGGGGTGAGAAAGGGCACCTAGCTGGGGGATCTAGGTAGCGGTTTTTTTCTCCCCGAAGCGACAGCCTGAGCTCCCGGGCCACCCGCACCTTCTTGATGGCGCTGAGAAATTTCGAGGCGCTCCTAAGGCTTCGAGACTTTTGGTCCGTTTCGTTCCTGAGGGCCTTTGGGGGGCAACAATCTAAGTACCTTAAAAGGTACCAAGGGAATTTGTGGGTAGGGTGTTAGGTTGTTCCCCTTGCACGAAACGCCGCTGCACAGGCCGCTTGCCTCTATTACCCCGCACGAGATGTTCTAGGTCCTCCAGTAGAGAGGTTAGAATAAGTTGGTACCAACTTTTTTTCTGTAGTCTATTTTTAGTAGGGGAACCCTCCCCCCAAAAAAGGGGTGAGAAAGGGCACCTAGCTGGGGGACCTAGTGTTTGGTGAGCAGGTAGTATGATGTCTCACGAGCTCAGGTTGCTGCCGCCACGGACATGTTTGTCCAGCTTGCTGCAAGTTCGCTCGAACTTCACATGGCTCCACCCGGGTTCCAGCTTCTTTTTCCCCGCCAATCCCCTACGGTAACCAAGAAGTGCTTGGGACCTGGGCGGCTCAAATTCCGGCCATGGCCCGGTGGAAAAAGTCAAAGGGAAAACCTATCCCGGTGCTGCCAGTTCCCACCGGAGTAGGTAACCAGTGGAAACTGTCATGGAAAACCTAGAGGTAAGGATCCCAGGTCACCTACAGTGGCTTGCCTGGAAGCACTGGGTATGTTGACACACACCTTCATCATGACACTGCTGTTTGATATTGCGTGGATTGCTGCTTGGTTTCTTGATGCGAGGTCCTCAGGCCGGATTTTCACGGGGCACTTCGCGCGATACGACAGAAGGAAGCGCCAGGTAAAGCTTGAAACAGGTGGTTTAAGCCGGGTGATGAAGCAATGGGTTTGCTGCAGTTTGCCTCCCTGCATTGCTCCCCCCATGTGCCTAATGAACCATAGACTACTGCACACTTTGACCAAACCTCACAGAGGTTCAAGCCACACAAACCCTGAATGGATGACACCCTCGTAATGCTAGTGCGAAGCAAAGTTTGTGCGTCCCAGCATATCTCGCCAAATATCTAAATAAAATGGTTGGTGCCCTTCCAGTTGCTTTATTCAGCTTCCTTCTAGTTTGGTACGGTTGGATTTGTGAAACCTGGTTTAGAGGATAGATGGGGAACCACTCCCTAAGCGCCAAACCACTAATCCACACCACTAACCAGAGGAAGCTGATTTAAAGCCAAGACAAACACAAAAGCAAACTAGGTCCTCCAGTACGGGTACCCTTTTTTCTGTAGTCTATTTTAGATGGGGAACCCTCCCCCACAAAAGTTGGGGGACCTAGCAAAGCAAGCCTGTTTTGCAACAACGATGCGCCCAGATAAAGCGTACCCCGATACCCTACCCGGGACCCGCGCCTGCCCACCACCTGCGCGTTGCTCTCGGTGACGAGGCCGGCTCTCTTGGCCTGAGGACACGAATTGACGCGGGCCAAAAGGCCAAGATGGACCGGTTGGCCGCCTTAACTCGGATTGTTTGCTTATAAGCCCAGCAGACTGCCAATTTTGGCGATAAGTTTGTGTGTAAACCCAGCAAACTTGCCCTGCATCCGGGCATACAAGTCAGTAAAGATATGGTATCTGGCCTCTCCAAGACCCAAACCCCAGTGGTGGGGGCCCCTTCAAACAAGCTCTAAGGCAAGCTCAAGCCAAGACTCCAAAAGAGTCAAATGATTCTTTTGGGGCAAGATTAGTAAGCTCACTCAGTCAATCCCCTAAACGCCCAGAGGGTCTACCCCCAAAAGGCCTGAAACAATGAGGACTTGGGCTCCTAGGGATCCTTGTTCTAGGGCCTTCCCTTATCTTCAAACCGCTTCGCTCAACGACTTCTCCGATGGAAAGCTGGACCGCTGGACCTGTTCGGACTGCGACAGAAAAACCGCCGAAGATGGTTGTGCCAAAAAAATCCCGATGTGGACACCGAGAAAACGCCACCTGACACCTGAAACGACCTTTGAAAACCACCCTTTGTGGCATCTCTGAAAAAGAATGCCCTAAAAACAGATGTGTTCGGGGTAGTGGACCGAGTACATACGTCTTTTCTGGAATCTCCGGGGTTCGAATCGACGTGTTGCAAGGCGAAGTGGTGCTCACACGTTTCTGTGTTGATCAAGTCCACGTTGCAACCGGTGACCCGACCGGTGAAGGAATTGGGCACAAAGAAAGAGGGAGCATCTGTTGCCATCTGTTTGGCTTTCGGCACCCTCCGAACAAAAGAGGAGAGGACAATTCATTCGGTGGAATCCAGTCAAATGGGGCCATCTGGGAAAAAAATTAAAAATGTTCAGCATCCCCCACAAGCTTTTTCCCTGTCCAAAGTCCCCTTGGTTCTGTCCAACAAGCAGCGCTTGGGGCGTGTTGTTCTTTCTTGAGTTCCCTTGCAACCAACCTGAACATCTAAGATGGTTTCCAGTAAAAGCCACTATGCCAGGGTAACTTGGGCTATATACCAACTTTATATAGTGGCTTAGGGTTCCACTCTTTGACTACCCCAAGATAGACTTATCCCAGGGGTTCTCCTTTTGGGGGGGAATGAACCAACCATGGGTTTAAGTCTATCTTGGGGCAGTCACAAAGTGGAATCCTGTAGTGGCTATATAGTGGCTTATGCCACTAAGCCCATGGGCTCGCTTCTCTCTTTGGTTTGGAAACGCGGCAAACACCTGCGAGACATATCGCCTGCTCCGCCAGCTCGGTCTCTCTGGCCGCCCGGAGGAAGGAGAGCACCTCGATTCGAGCCCGAAAAAAGTTGACCAGGTCCTCCAGATTTGAGAGGACCTGAATAAAAGGGTACCAACTTTCTGTAGTCTAATTTTAGTAGGGCATAAGTTGGTACCATTTTTTTTTAGTAGTCTATTTATTAGTATTTTAGTAGGGGAACCCTCCCAACCAAAAAAGGGGTCAAACAGGGCACTACTGGGGGACCAGGTTGACATTTCAGGTGTGGGTTTTGGAGGTAAGGTTTTTGCAAAAGGACTCCTCCCCCCACCCCGGTGGTTTGATTAGAAGGCACACCCACTAGGAACTGTCCAAAGTCATTGGACTGTTTCACCTGAACTTTGGGACATGTTTCACCTGAGCTGGAGAACGCCATCTTGCCAAATCATGTCCAATTCTCATGAGCGGCTTGAGAATACCCGGTGCTTTCCAGTCGTGGCAAGCCACTATAGGTGACCAAGCGAAACCAGCCAGGGAAAACCTAGAGGTGAGGACCCCTGAAAACTGGAAGCCCTGGGATGGGTGTTGGAGGGAATGCTTACCACCGATATGAGCGGGTCGTTTTGGAGTTCGCTGTCTGGGCTTGTTTTTAAATGGACACCAAGAGGAAAATCACCATTTCATCATATTATGTAAAGTCCCCTTAAACAACACACACACACACTAACATACGTTTGTAAGGCAGTTTTGGTGTTTTTACACAATAAACTGAACACGCAACAAAGCAGAATAATTTCAAAGCCTTTTCTTACCACCCACATGTCAGTCATAATCAAAGCCCGGTACTAAAATCGTCGACCCAGAACCATGTAAAGAATTAAGAAGGCGGCCGCAGCCTTTGATGTTTGGGATTGTCCCTTACTAGCCTTCATCTACCCGGGTTTTGATTGTGGCTCATGTGTCCATAAAAAAAGTCTGAGAAGTGGGCACCAGAACAACCAATCACCTGAAAAAGGGTGTGGGACCTGGAGTCATGGTTCCGAGTCTATGGCAACATCTCCCGAGAAGGTAGCCGCTGGAAAAGCGACTACAAACTGGGATCCTATGCCCCTTCGACATCTTCCCACCAAGAGGAACTCAGCCAAACCTTGTCCAAGAGGTCTTGTTTAAACTGACTGTGAAAATGAGGACACCTGCAAACATGTCGTTCACGAAGGGACTTGGGTCCCCCCTCCCCCAGGTGGAAATTGCCTACCCGCCTCCCAACTGACAACCCGACTGTGGACACCAGCGCGATCGCTGCACTGTGGGAAACCTTCTGAACCGGATCCTTTCTAGAGGCATCTCCTTGTCCAGGGCTCTTGACAACACAAGTTCCATAAAAGACCAACAAATAAATGGCTGGTCAATCAGAACACGATGAAACCCAAAGAAGGCAAGTTGGCTCAAAAAGCTTCAACCAAACGAGTTTCATTTGGCAACTGGGCTACACTCAGAAACCAGGCAGGAAAGGAGGCCCGAAATCTCAAAGAAGGTGTCCTAAAAAAGTCCCGGCCAAGTCTTGCAAAGATGGAGCCTCTGGCTTCACATAAGACCAAGGGCAAACGGGGAACAACTTGGTACATGGCAAAGCCAACCGTGTGTGTGTGTGTGTGTGTGTGTGTGTTTGCGTGTTTGTGTGTGTTGTGTGTTTGTGTGTTTGTGTGCTTGTGTGTTTGTGTGTTTGTGTGCTTGTGTGCTTGTGTGCTTGTGTGTTTGTGTGTGTGTGTGTGTTTTGTTGCTTGCTTGTTTGTTTGGCGTGTTGGCTTATTTGTGTGTTTGTCTGTATATGGTTGTTTGTTTGTTTGTTTGCTTGCTTGCTTGCTTGCTTGCTTGTTTGTTTGTTTGTTTGTTTGTTTGTTTGTTTGTTTGATTGTTTTTTTTGATTGCTTGATTCTTTGTTTGTTTGTGTTGGTTTCTTTGATTGTTTGTTTGCTGGTCTGTCTGTTTGTTTGCTCGTGTGTTTGTTTGTGCGGGGCTGTGTGTGCTTTCTGGGGTACCCTTTCCACCTTGCGAAAACGGCTTAGCAAAAACGAAAACTCCTCACGTTGCGCAAGGGCCCCGACATGCGCGAAACGCTTCGCGATCTCCCGCTGCCTCTCCTGGCTGTTTGCCAGTGAGTGTCTTGGAGGTCGGTACGTTTTTCAGCTTGGTTTCCAATTGCAGACATACCCAAATCATTCGATTTTGCGGAAACCCACTTTGCAATGCAAGCTATGGCCAGTCATTTGACGGGTTTGATAGTTTTGACACCTTCGACTCCTGTCGTTGAATCACAGTTCTATTTTGAAGCCAATCAAAACTTTTCATGACCAGCCCTGCTAACCAGAAACAAACTGGAGTTTTAACCATGGGGCATCTTATCTCAGCGGGGCGTTGAAGGTAACCCACGCATCCTCCTCAGCGCCCGGGATCAAGGCGTTGCGGCGGTTGTTGGAGCCCTGCATCTCCTGCCATGTCCTGGCGAAACGAAACCGAGAAGCGCGAAACTTTCCAGGGGATGGCACGCGCGCGAAACCGAGACCGAGCTGGTGCCCTCCGAAGAAGAAACGAAGCCAAACGAGATCAGAACACAGCAAGAATCAACATAGCACAAATCAAGAAATCACAGGATCTGTGGAATAAAAATGCCAAAGAACTCAAACATGCAACAGCAGGAAACCGCAGCAAACGCGCCGAAGCGCCGCAGAGACCCGATTTCAACTCGTGGTTTCTGGGCTCAAGCGACACCAGCACCTGGGTGAAGGACTTGATCATACCGACTCATGACTCTGCAGGCAGCAAGTTCAAAAACAAAAGGGTGCTTCTCAAAACCGAGAAACCCCTAAAATGGGTTGTTTCCTGTTGGCTTCTCTTTAGAACCACCAAAAAAGTGGTCCCCCATTTCGAGAAACATTAAATCAAGAGATATTAAGAGGCCCCCAAATCAGTTGCTCGCAAAACTGCCGGACTTGTGAATCTACCAAGATGGCGAAACAAACGGCCGTGAGACCCTTGAAACCCAGTGAAAGGATTTATACCCAAATGGCCGGGAGGAATCCTCGGCACAGCACGTTGCATGACGAAACTGGTGACTGGCACATCTCTGGCCCTGTAGATCTGAGTTGGGAAGCTTTAGGTCCAGCACTGCGTGGGAGATGTTGCCTAAGGCCTAAAATGTGGCGGAAGCTCTTTGACCTTCTTTGACATCAGGAACCGGGTCATTTTGGACTCACCCAATGGCTGGGCCGGATTCGAAGATGTTTGGACCAAGGTTGCTCAGCAATACTCATCTGAGCCACAAATAAATTGTCATTGTGCCCCTCTTTGCCATTTGATCTTGGTGAGAAAACACAATTTCCTGTTGGTATCCTGGTGAGTGTGCCCCATGTCATCCCATTAATATTGGCCGGTGCTCCTCCAGGTGTCGCTTTATTTCGTCCACATGGTCTCGTTTCACACCCCGCTTCCGTTCCCCGTTCAGCTCGCCTGCGCATGGCATTCACCTGCACGGCGGACAAGCTCGGGAAGGGCAGGGCATTTCAGCAAAACTTGTGGCTATGTCAAAACAAGAATGTAGACCACCAATGGTGGTGTCCTTTTGGCTTTTCTTCTGATGAAGATTAGAAAGGGTACCCTCAAAAAACACCACCTACTGATGACTACTACTACTACTACTACTACTACTACTACTACTACTACTACTACTACTACTACTACTACTACTACTACTACTACTACTGTAGTACCAAACAAAAATGGGGGGGGAATGAATCGTGCTAGCTGTCTGGTTTTGTCGGATACCCAAATGGGACATATATTCGGATCGTGGCTTCATATCGTGGCTTCGTAAGTACTTCTGCAATTTGCGCTTGGCGGTGTTGATTGGCACAATACGTTGTGCATAGGCTCCGTGAAGTTTGAAACATGTTGAGATAAACAACTATTCGGCCCAAGATCGATTGTGAGCCCCCGGATTCTGCTATTCTGTGGAAGTGGTACACGCTTGCAATCCTGCGGCACGCGCTTGTTGCGGCGGAAACAAGCCCCAATGTAGTGGGAGCTTTCTAAGCCCGCGTGGTTCGAGCCGAAAGCATCGCTATCAACTTGAGCTGGTACCCCTTCGTAAAACCTTTTGGGGTGTCTTTTCTTGCGAAAATGGGAGGGAACCGCAGTTTTGAGGGGTCCCCCAACAATGACACATCCTGGGAGTGCTTCCCGAAAGTTGGTCGCCAGCTTTTGGGCTCAAAAGAAAGCTTATTTTTTCGACCAACTATCGATGCCCCTCTACATTCCCCAAACATCGAAGTGTTGAATGCTAAATTCGCAATTAGCTGCTTTTTTTCTTCTTTCGTTACTAACATGTATGTTCTACTATTAGTAGCTCGTTTGTCGTTATTAGGTGACCCACTCAATGCTACAATCGCCTTTGTTTGCTCATCAAGGGAAACACAACTCCCGTGGAGTGGCAAAAGGCTTACAACTCTCGACAACGCAAGCCTAGTGGTCGCGGTCGATCTCCTTGGAAGGTACTATTTCCGCTTGGTTTAAAGGGCAACCCAAAGAACAACCGCCATTTGGGCGAAGCCCCCTATTTGAAGACGTACTTACCATCACTTAGCAAGGGGGAGGACACGGGACGCCAACCGATTCTTATGTGCGAACTGATTCTTACTCCAACAAAACACACGTACCGAAACCATCCATCCAAATTCGCTCAGGAAGCGCCTGGGCTTGCTTCTTCTTGATGTCCCCCTTGATCTCCTGCGACATGAGATGACATGAGTTATGGGAATGCCAGGCCTGCCGGCCAAAGGAAAAAGGTGAAAAAGAAGCTGAGGCATAGCCATGGCCATTTTTTCCAAGGGTCCCCTCAAAGGACATGGGACGTTTAGCGCGGTTTTTGGGGTGTTGTGGGATGTTCTGCAAGTTCCGTGTTTGTTCCCAAATGGAGCATGGACTGCTACCAATGTTCACCGAACAAGTGTGCAACAACGAGATAACCCCGGCAGCAGGTTGTTGGCCGCAAGTAGATGCAGAGTCTTGCGAGTGCATATAATCATTCCAACCGTTGGTACGGTAGCAACATACTTTGCTTTTTGCAGCTTTGGCTGAGAAATGTATCGATCCTGCTCCCTTACCGTTGCCGTGCTGCAGGGAATTTTAGTTTGTTTACTCCGGGAGCAAAAGGCGATTCTCGAGTTCCCGAGTTCTTCACATACCAGTCAAGGAACACTCGATAAGCAAAAGGAAACCGTTTGATTTAAGCAACCCCTTGGTGAAACATGGCGCAAGCTGGAATCGGTCAGACACCAATTGCCTTGGGCGATATGCGCAGAAGGAGGCTGCAGCTTTGAAGAGTGCATCTTTTGGGGGGCAGATGTGAAGCACAAAGAACCCCCCAGCCCCGTCCGTTTCACATGTTAACGACATACCAGGCTTGGTGCCGGGTGAGCAACCCTCCCCGCCTTCACCTCTGCGCTGTCCACCTTCTTCTCAGCCACGACGTCCTGCAAAGCTTGCTTAAAACGCACCCGCTGTCTGATAGGGTCCGAATACTTTGTGACATTGCAAGGAGGATCCAAATGTGTGTTTCTCAACATGGGTGGCGGACCTTGTGGGTATTTAGAGGGAAACCAACGGAAAATCGACCATTTTGGGGTAACCCTAGTATGAGAAACACCGAATCACACATCTTAACCCTCAAAAAGCAAACCACATGACCTAATAAATGTCCACCCAGGAAACTCCTCTAAAAGTGAGTTAAGGCAATGTTTAGACGGGCGAAAAAGGGACACCTGCAACCTTTGTTACCCCAAAAAAGTGGGCCCTCCAAATGGAGAATGGAGCTTCCCGTCAAAATGCCGGCTTTTGCGGGTTCCACTTGCGCAGACTGCGGAGATCATAGGGAAACCTCGATCGGGCATCGTGTTTGTCAAGAAACGGAGGTGATTGCAAGCCGAGGTCCTCAAGTCCCGTTGACTGAACACGAGTCAGACTTGTTTGGCTTTGGAGGCGTGCTTTGATCTACCGCTCAAGTTGAACGTGAATTCGGACATGTCGGACATTTGTCTCAGATCCAGCTGAGTCGCCGGCGCTGTTGGAGCCCGCGGCTCGGGCTCTCTTGCGTCCATGCGGTGAACTGCCACAAACCCTTGGCCCAGGTGGATGGAGGAAATCCATCTCGCACCAGACTGAAACCCTGGGGAAAAAACCATGGCTTGCTGGCTATTTTACAGGGGAACAAGCATTGTTGCGGGATTACTTGGGGTAATACAAAAATCTGTCCATCCACAGTATGTAGCTAAATCCATCCTGCTCCCCCCCCCCCAAAAGGTGGTGACGGTAGCGAAATCCTTTTCAGTGGGTAACTAAGGGCAGCTAATACCCCCTACCTCAAGGGGGCAATGCCATTTATCTAGTCTTCCCTATGAAAGGGAAAATGGAACCATAAATGGTATTTCAGGGGTCACCCTCCTCCCCCAAGTCCACTTTTAAGGGGTGGCAATGGCAGCTAAACCCATCGTCAAAACTCAGCTTGTATGGCCTATGGTCATGGCTCCCTTCGTATCCATGACAATGCTTCAGGATCCTTGCCAGGTGAATGACCATTGTTTTCGCTCCAAGCAAAGGCGGTCGATTGACCATGGCACAGAGGGCAAAGCACAAGGTTTTTGGACATGCCAGGGGTTAAGAAGGTCAGCCACGGGTCCTTTTTTTCTCAAGGTGCTTTCTGACAGAGGGGTCATTGATGCCTCATTTGGTGGCGAACCAGCACGTCTGAACTGGAAGGGGAGCAACAATCCAAATTTTAGCAGTTTAAGTGGGGGTTTCAACCACTAAACCACAAAAAAAAACATGTTTCCAATGTTTCCCAACAACAAGCATGTTAGCTCCAAGAAAAGGGTTGGACCATGGCTGGCGCGCACGTCGCGTCCCTTGACCCCAGGGCCCCAGAAATTCCGAGTGAGTCCTTCTTGAGCAGCGCCACCACCCCGCCGGAGTCCATGGACTTCACTTTGCGGATCTTCTCTTCGATGGAGGCCAGCTCCTGTGACCGAGCGACTGAGAGGAAAATGCCCCCCCGAGAAACTGCCGGTCCATCGAGATTTCGCGAAGCCTTCGCTTCTTACGCCAAACAACATCGAGAATCCGGCTGGAAAGTTGCGCTCAACTGGACCCCAAGCTGGCGGTGTTTAAAGAGGGGGGGGCAGGAGGCAAGCTTTTCCAGAAACGCCACCTATTGCAAGGGGAAGAAGGGAGTCACATCCCTCTGACTCGGTCATTTTGAAGCGGCTTTTTGGGAGTTAGCACAGATGGAAACCTGAGCTTCCATGTTGGGATAGCGGAAAGTCGAACGTGGAGAAACACACAAAAAACCCGCCCAATAGATCGATGGATCCATCAGCGTTGAACCCCACTTCAGGGGTCACTGGATTTCCCTCAAAAGTTGCAAAAGACAGTTGATTTCCAGCGAAACGATCGCTACTTGCAGTCGAACACAGTGAAACTCAGGGATGCAACTCCCTGAGTTTCTAGGTTGATCCGAGTTCGCCCTTGTGTACTTTTTCGGACCCCCTAAACCCAACCACTAAACCAACGAACAAACCTCAAACCCAAGGAACCGGATGGCTGGGCTTGCCACCAAGCTTTGTATTGAGATGGCTGTTGTTTGGAGGCAACCTGTAAAGAAAGGGGGCAGGAGGTGGAAGAAGGGAAACCTTGCGGAACGCTTCACTAAGCAAACAACCAAACCCATGTGCTCCAGATATCCACAGTGGTTTGTGGATTCCTTGCTAAAAAGCCAAACTTTGGGTGGGATGAGGGATGCGAGTGTCAGAAATCCCTCCAAACTCTAAACATCTACAAGTCCAATGGGTCCAAGGGTAGAGCTGGGACCAGCCAAGCAAGCAACCCCTGCGAAACAAAGCGATCTTCACGAACCATACAACCCCCCGATGCGAGAAACTTCAAGACTCGTCCGGAGCGAACCCCCAGGACTCGGAGGCATCGCGGTTTGGCCAAAAGGGTCAAGTGGAACGCTTTGGACACATAGGTGTCCTTTTAGGGGAAATAGATGGATATCCCTGGTAGATGATTAAACCACCAGGTAAACCAGGAATCGCCGTCTATTTTTCTACCAAAACAACCAAAAAGGACACCTATGTTTGGACACTTGAGGTGAAGCGGCCGGCGCTGAGCCATTTCTACACGGCCATCTTTTTTACTCGGAATCCGGCCTTCCTTACCAATGAGATGGAAGACTTCATGGAGCCATCGTGGTGTTGCCTATGAAGGAAGCCATGAAATCACCAGGAAGCCATCTCCACTGCCATTTCATAGGCTTCCTTGACTTGCAACTAGCAGCAATTGTTCACAACATCGCCTTCCTTGCCACTAGACGGGTCGTGCAACATGGTATGTCAAATGAGAGTTCCCCAAAATCAGTGGTTCCTGCACCCTCTGAAAACCCCCAGACCGGCAAAGAAAGCCCCAAACAGGGACCCCAAAAGACGTACCCTTGCGGTTTGTTGACACATACCCATATTCTATGCGTGTGCTTTTCTTGAGGCTCGGCACCCTTTTGGGAGTGGTTTAAAGAAATCAAAGAGAGAACCTGTGATTTTGTGGGGCGAAATGTCCCTAGAACCCAGCAGTGGATGGACGAGCTCCGTTCGCACCGCGAAATGAAGCCGTGGTTGATCCGAGTCGGTCCTTCTCGTAGACGTCCTTCTCCTCATTCAGTTTCTGGACGTCCTTGATGAGGTCCTCATGTCCAACTCAGGTGCCACCAGTGACCCTGGTAGGGAACGGTTCGAGAAATGTTGCTACACTACTAAACCAACCAAACAAGAAGGAACAGGATAACTGAGAACCATCTTGGTTGACCATGTGCAGGGAACCTCGCAAAAGTCGAACAAGGTGGAACTCAACAACTAGAATATAGCGATCTGATGGCTATTGCGGCCCTTTGTCAGTGGCAAGCATTGTCCAAGTTGGGGAAAGGTCAAGCAGGATTCCTATTCCCGAATCCGAGAGCCCCAGCTTCATATCACATAGCACAACTCTTTTCACGCACAGGGGATCATCCGTGGCATGTTGCGAACCCCCAACCAGGCCGCTGTCAGCCCATCCTCTAGGCTTGCAATTATATGCCACCTATGTTGGCTTGAAAGCAGAATCAGAATGTACCACTTCCGGAAGTTCCTGATGACTTCTTGGACGCGGCAACTCACACAGCAACCTCAAGTGAAGCTTCCTTGTTGACTGCCATTGGTAGCTTGGGTGTAGGAGGCCGCTTCCATGAGTTTCAGTCCTTCCAGGACCCCCCCATCTCCAAAAGATCTGGAAACAAAGCAGGGATCCTTACAGTATACACCTGAACATTGCAACTTGTAAATGGTCGTTTCCCTTTATTTTGGTGGAAAAAGCAACATGTTTCAAATGATTTCAACATGTATCTTTGAATTAGCCCTGCAAAGAGTTGATCTTTTGGTAGCTTGGCTTGAAATGAACCGACCATGGACAACCAAAAAAGTTCAACTAAAGGGTCGGCTTTGGGCAACTGAGTATAGTCTACCCCAACTTCACGTCGCCCGGGCGTCTGACGTCATCTGGTCGCGAACCGCTGAGCCCGGGTCTTTCAGCCTCGTGGCATTCTGCTCCCGCACCTCCTGAGGCGAACGAAAGCCCAGAAGGGATGCTTGGCCGAGTGTCAAGTTTAGGTGTGACCCTAAACTTAGGAAACTTAGGTCCTAAGAAATGGCTTTCTAAGCTCTGCAAATGTTTTTGTTCAATTTTGAGTGACCCTAAATTCCTCAATTTGGGTTCGAAGAGTTGTCCCTGCAAGCTGACTTGAAGCCCAGTGTTCCAAGGCACCCAGGCGACTACGGAACATATCCAGGGGACAAATTGGCCAGCAACCCATGCGACCACGGACTTGTTAAAAAGAGTTCTGATCTCAATCTGAAAAAAGCTACAGTGATTCCGATGCCACAAATTGGGTGGCTTGACTTCTTTTGGCGAGTTGGTACCCGTTTCGTTGGTAGGTTCCTTCCACACGATCTCAGCTTTTGGTCCCCTAAGGGAAACGTCTCTTCTGGACCTGCATCCCGTCGCGTTGAACCCCCAGAGCTCGCTCAAAAATAGGCAGGTGAATGGAACCATGACAGCTGTTTTGAACACAGCGACCATGGCTCAAACTTTCTGATGGTTGGCATTTTCTGTGGGGACAAGGACGCCAACCATTTTTTCAGGATCCCCCTCCCATTTTGACAGATACCAAAGTAGAGAGATGATGTTTGCCGGCAAAGATGACAGACGTGAATCATCCCAGAGTCGGAATGAGACATCAGCAACGCTTCGCCTGAAATGGGGAACGCCGTCTTCCCAAGACAGGTTCAGATCTCATGAACAGCATACCGCCGAGAGCTGCCAGGCAAGCCACTATAGTAACCAGGGGAACCCCTCCATGGTTTAAACCTAGAGGCAAGGATCCGAAGGGTTACCTACTATAGTGGCGAAACGCCCGGAAGAACCGGGTGAACTTTGTTTTGGGGATTTTAAGAACCTCCGCCAGGTGAGGGAACAAGAATTCTAGGGAGACCTTCCATTTCCATTCTTTCCAGGGATGCTTCTTTTCTGGAAACCAAACAACACCCAGGGAAACAGATGCGGTTTTTGACAAGAAGGATGCTTGAAAATAATTTCGAAAAGGAATCAACCCCTAGAAGAATCTCAGCTCCCATGCCCCGCATGTCTTCGGAAAGATCCTCTCTTCCCGCAGCCCACGGAATGTGGACTCGAGCGGACTCCCCAACATGTCCTTTCCCTAAAGGGCGGTCTGGGTCGGTCCTTTTTGGCCGACTCCCCAAAAAGGTGGGTTCCTTTTGGTTCCCCTTTAAACCAAACAAAAAAGAAAGGGGTACCCGTAAAAATGATAGACATCTGCTGTACAAAAGAATGAATGAGTTGGTTTACCTAAGCCCGTGGAATCTGCTCATAACTCCGATCAGCTTCTGGGCAATTTTTACTCTCGTTCCCTCAAATGCAAATAAGGTACCCTTCCTCCCACATTGCCATGGCACCTGCGAGAGGGTACCTTGAAGATCAGTTTTCTCTTAGAGGGAGCCCTTATCAAGTGCCATGTTGGGGGGTGAGAAGAAATCTCCCAGTAAGGAACCTTCATCAAATGGGTATGGGTCAAAATGATCTCCGCAAACTACCGCAGGTTTTAGTTTATGTGTCCATTTACCAGGGCAACCCCCACAGCCAAATAAGCTGGTTGCAACTTCTGCAGCTGAGAAAACCGCCGCCCCCCCTCGTCCGCCCGCCTCGGCAGCCTCCTCCTCCTCTTCCGTGGCGGGCCGCGCACCTCTTGTGAAAGTGGATGGAACTGATCCAAGGCCAAGATGTATCTATGAGCTTCCTGACTTGAAGATAGATTGCACAATGGCCCCATGTTGGGGCCAAGGGATTTAAGCCATCTACTTTCATTCGAGTGGTTTGGATTGATGGTGCTAGGTGCTAGCTACTTTCTCTGTCATGAAGTTGGGATGCAAAATCCAAACCGCCGATGCAAACCACCTGAACAGCTGCACCCGACAAGTTTGGATGCAAGCCATCCCCTCAAACCCAGCGATTGATCAGCCACGCGGTGGCTTATCTTTCGTCAGGGGTTGCTCTGGGTCAAGAAACCCATGTAGCCAGGAAAGGCCAGTGAGTCACAAAGGTCAGTACTCAAATCTAGGAAAAATGCGAGAGGGCGGATATTCGCCCCTATTCGTGGTTGCGACTTTCCCTCGCCTACCTTCACTTACTTGGGTTTAGAGCAAGTGGCTCAACCACACAGCCCTGCATAACTTGTACTTTCACTTGGAAACTTGTTGGAGCCAACCCCAAAAAACATGTGCTAACAAACATGCGGAGCCATTCGCCTCTGAAAGAGGACATGGACTACAAATCATGGGCGAAATTGCAAAGGTCTAGGGTCCATTTGCCTCAAATCTCAGTCTTCATGGCCCCTGCAACTGCGACATATTTCATGGCTGTGGTTTGTTCATGTCCAGAATGTTTATTTGAATCAGGGCGAATGACCATGACTCACATCGCTACGCAAGCAGCGTATTGACAATGGCACACTTGATGACACCTCCGCTCCCAAATTTGTGTGCTGTGACGCTGGGCAAGAACATTCAACAGCACTTATCCTTAATAGAGTCTGTCATCGCTAAAACATGCAACCCCTCTGCACTTGATCCAGTCTAGTCACATTTCAAGCCCCTGCGCAGTGGACATGGTATATACGAGCTTGATCCCCTTCCATAACCCAATGGATTAAGGATTGCCATGGCTCGCCAGAGTCAAGACGTCCAAGCAACATGAAACTCCAGTCCCAATTCGGGACGCTCTCCTCCAAATTGTCCTGGAGGGGGTCACAAAAGGTTCAACGGTAACACAGCATGAAACTCAGGTCACAAAGACGAACGGGTCCAACACAAACATAGGATCAACTATTTACAGTAACATAAAAACAAACATGGGTGTTCCCGCAAATAGGCGTCCAACACAATGCACACAACGTTGGGGCCCCAACGAAGAAAAAAACACGAGTTGAACCACCCGATCAAATCAACTCTGGGCTCCTCACTCGCGCGGCGCGGCGAGGCCTCCACTACCGCAATTGGCGGCGTGAGTAGGTGGCCATGACACGGCCAAAACTTGGCCCAACCCTGGGGTAGAGGATACTGTCAGACTTTCACGTTTGGATCACAAACAAATTTGGAGAAACCACGCCCAAAAAAATGACTTTGGAGACAGAGAGCAACTTCCCCGGGTCCCCTGATTCCTGAATTTTCCTCGTGTTATCAGCACGGCTTGCTGGAAGATTCAGAGGGAGTGTCTCAAAGTCGGGGCACTGAACCTCCAAAGAGCTTGGAGTTTGGAACTTCCCTCTGAACAACCCCGCCCCCCAAAAAAAAACAAGAAAAGAAAAATCCAACTCCACGGAGGACACAGTTTCAAGCTTTGACCCCTTGTCGGAGCCCGAGTTTACGTTGGCCCGCCTTCAAGGGCGAAAAGGGGCCCCGTGGCTTTGACAACACCTTTGGGGTGTCTGGCTCTGCGTGACTCATTTCACGAAACGGAAACATGTGAGACCTCCAAAACAAATTTATCCATGATCAAGGGTATTGCGGTGCGAAATCGACACACACGCACACAACATCAAGGTGCAACTGTTTTGCATGCCGGCTTGACAGCTTTCAAATGCAAACAACATCCTAGATTTCCAGTTGGCAAAACGGTCAAACCCAAAACAAACCCAAAACAAACCCAAAACAAACCAAGTCAAACAGGGTGCGGTGCCGGTATGCAAGCGATGTGAACCTTCAGCATATCCAAACGTGGCCTTCAAAAGCGAGGGAACGGCTTGCTTGGCTTCAAAGAGAAGATGCCTCAAAGGGACCCTCCCCCAAAAAAGGGTGGGTTTTCCTGTTGGTGTCCTTTTAGGGGAAAATGGGTACGTCAAAAAGCCCCCTTCGAGATAGGCAACCTGAAAGGACCAGGTTGAGCATTGGGTTAAGCTGGCGCTGAAAAAGGCAGCAAAGCAAGTGCGCATTCAGAATCCAGTTTTTGCCGCTGTTCAAGGGGAATGAAAGGGATCCCTAGGGGAATGAAAGGGATCCCCATTGCGGTCCAGGGAGTATGGACAGTATGGACATTCGAGCGGTCCAAGCCTTCAGTTGATCAGTGAATGTAGACGGAAAAATATGGCATCAGTTGGCATGGATGAAACCCGACTTGAATACTGAGAACAAAGTCACCGGTTTCTCTGTGGAGCTGAGTGGAACGGGATGGCAAATTGGGCTACTGGGTAAGCAAACCCAGGCTTGAGAGACCCGCTAGGCGCAGACATGGAACTGCAGGTCTAAAGAATGATCAAGGGGTTGAGTACCTGGCAAAATGAAGCCATACCCTCAGGAGCCAGATGTCAATAATGATTTGACCCCTATGTGTCAAAACTGGGCACCCCGAAACTTGGCCAATAAGCAAACAGACCCAACCAAAAGTTGAGCATTCGGATGGGCGGGTTTGACTTCTTCACGCATGTCCAAGCTTCAGTAGCCATAGGGAAAAGGCTACACGTTGATGTAATCTCAGCACTCGGATCCCCTTCCGCGCCCTTCCGAACGCTTTTTGCTGGGCGGGGCGCCAGCGACTTCCGGGAGCCCCTGGACGTGGATCTTCTGCCTCGCGAAGAAAAAATCCCCCGGTGACCTCCCTGGGTTGCTGTAGAAAATAGAACAGCAGGGGGTTTGCCCACCAAGATATTAGGCATAAGATTATGGAAGCCTAATTTAGGGTAGGTCGCTTACTAATAGTGTCAATTAGTGTTGAATAGTGTTCGATAGCGTTGTGCTACGTAATTCTCACGTTGGAGATTATAACGGGTTTCTTTTCAATCCCGCAAAGTATGCTAAATCGAGGAATGTTCGGTTCGATATTCTAGCCGCCACAAGATTTGTAATTTCGCTACTACACCCAAGACAGGGTTTATTTTCCGAACCACCCACTACCACTGTCGAGCCCATAGCACGCCCAGAACAGGAAAACAAGAAACAACTCTATCGTAATGATGGCCAGAGAGGAATCCAGCACGCCAGCCACACCGAGCCACCCAAAGCTTCTTTTGCCCGCTTGATTTTCCGTGCCTTTTGCATCTCACACTTGCCAAAATCAGTCTTCGTTCCTACCATCTAGGCCCAGCAACTCTTTCAAAGATGGGTTAGATGGCTTGTATTCAGCCAACTTGTTTGCCCCTGCCGGCTCAGAAACGTTCACCGTTTCCGATGGCTTTTCCGATGGCTTTTCCGGTGGCTTTTCCTGGGCCCTCAAGTTGCTCCACGTAAAGACTTTGTCTTCTTTCATAGAAGGAAGGTGTGCCAGGCATTTGCCTTTCATCACTTTCTTCACATGGCCCTCCACGCAATCATAGAATTCCCTCTGGCGCTTGGGGCTGGTAACCAGCTCAGTACAAAACAAAACAAATCCAGCCTTTTGCACACACGCGCATGTCGACATACGCACGAGCACGAACACAAGCGCTGTGTCTTACACCAGTGGTTGACATGGACTACTCAAATGGCTTGCTCAAAGCTTTTGCTTAGGCCGCGGCCTTATCACCCACTGTGAAAGGGCATGAATATTCCTGAGCAGGTGTCACTCCAGCTGGAGGGACCTCTGGGCCGTGACCTGGCTGTGACGAACAGCCAAAATCTACTGATCACTGGCTTGTTCTCAGAAATCAAGCAATAACAATACAAGGTGTCGAAAAGTCTTCCCCGTGCCACTTCCAAAGATGCTGCTGGATGCGACACGTGCACCATGAGGCGCACATTTATATTCAATACCTGCGTCAGCACTTGCGGAAAACAGCTGGGACCATAGAGCTGGAGGATGCAAGAATCAGCTCTGCTTTGCTCGCCCACGGCTCCAGGTTCAAGCTGCAAGTGTTGCACCACATGGGCGCGGAGCCGCGCGGAGAACTGCTCACAGTAGCACGGCACAAGATAACTGAAATATCTCACCATGTTTGCGCACAGGTCGTTGTGCTTCAAGGGGTTAGCCACGCTGCGACCGCAAACCCCCGTGTTTGTCACCAAGTTTGCTTTGCGCGGGGCGCATCGCCAGCTCAGCACCCTACAGTGAATTCTTGCCCTGTGTTCAGATTGTCTCTTGAAGAAATGAAGGAGCCTTTTGACCGCCGCCTCGTTCGTGCCAATACTATCGCCTGTAAATGTGAATGATCTCAATCTTGCGCCCCTGCGTTGCCAATGCAGCAAGAATCTCTTCCAGCGGTAGGATCATGGAAGTGGCGACGCTGTCAGCGGATTTGGAAGGAAGTGCCATAAGCTCGCATCATCTAGCGAGCGATAGCCCTGGTCCCCCAGCCGGCAAACCGCTTGCTGGTCGTCCTGGAGCACATCGGAATATGTACGCAAACGCAAGTCTACTCCATCGTGTATATGGGTTATATAGACGATGGGCACGCTGGCACCGTGCGCTGTCACGGCTGAAGAAACTGAGGCAAGCCCGCGGGCTTGAAGGTCTTTCAACTTGTCGCAGAACGCGTCTCTAGCAGCTCCCACTGATGTGTGCGAAATGCTCCGTTCTTGACAGTCTTCGCAAAAACTGGCCAAGCTCTGCTGCGCAAAGGTAGTTGGAGATAAACACGTTCTGACAAGCCATGTGTCATGCAAACGCAGGCCACGCTTGGATGGCACCAATGCTTTTTGCACCCTTTTCAGCTTGCCGTTTAGATACTGCACGCGATGCTGAAGCTGCAGTCGCGACAAAAAACGACGCTTCATGCCGCACTGCCTCTGCCCTCCTCGTGCTGCCTGGTCCAAATCAAAATATGAATTCAGAGCAGTCAATAATGCGGTTGTCGCACGTCTGCTCGCCTCATGCTGCGGAGCAGCGTCTTCTAGCAATGCTTGCAGCTGCTGCAACTGCCCATGGACACGCGCAACAAAAAGTGATAACGAAGATATCGGCATCTAAAACCAATTTTGAGCTGGAACAGCACTACCGCACCAAGAGCCATGCTCACCAACACCAGCGGTTTTGCCGAATGCCTCATGGGTTCTCGTGGCTCTCATATAACCCTAACACAAACCCAAAATCTAAAAAAGGCTTCCATATTTTTACATCTAAAAGATACACCAAGGAAAGCTGTAAAGATTTATCCCCAGTGAGTCCATCTATCCATCTTTGAAAAACCCAGGGGGGCCTCCATTAAGGGAGATCTCCAATTGCAGGATTGCCTTAGATGTCTGTTGCTGGCTTTCCCGGGTTTTTCTAGGCCAAGGGAAGCCTCTAAAAGACATGCTGGTGACCTGCTTCATACAAGAGGCATAGAACCGGAAGCGACCGGGAGTTGGGCGACTTGATTCTGGGCGAATTACGATATTCCACAGGCCTAAAATAAAGGGTCTTCGAGTAAAGGTTGTTTATTCTGGGTGAGCTTGTTGTACCGTCATGATTTCGGTTCTGCTTTTGCAGTCCAAGTCAGAAACTCGGGTTGTTTCCCTCCAACGGCAAAACAATTATCAGGATACGCCACTGACCATTGTTCAAGTCGGCTCTCCTCCATCCCGACGCAGGATTGTGCCCATCCACAGTACTTATTTGTGTGGCCTCTTGGTTTTGTCCGACCAAACCTGAGCTCCATGGTCCTTTTGGCCCAGTCGGCCAAAAGGACAAGGGTCCCGCTATGGTTTGAACAAACCTCCTGGTTCCCAAAAGCGGGCCGTCTGGTTCTTACCCATTTTGCCTGCTGAAGCCCTAGCAAAGTCGCCCTCCCCGCAGCTGGAGGGAAAGCCAGCATCAAGCTGGACGACAAGTCCAACACCAAGCTGCTGTGACTGGATTTCATCTAGTTGATGGGTTCATGGTCGTTGTGATGTAAGTCAAGAATGTATGTCACTTACTGACTCTTTGATCGAGTTGAGGCATCTCTCATGCGGGATTCTGATGCTAAACATTCCAAAGCAATCCTCCAAAGTAACTATCACACACCGGGACCCTTTCATTCATGAGGAGCCTTCATGGGTGCAGCTAGGATCAACCCCGATGAACCTCATGCAAGCACCAAGTTCCCTCCGTGCTCAGACCCAAGGACCCACACGGCCCATCCGGTGGTAAGAAATGGGATGAACTTTGTAGCAAGTTGGTTCTATCCGAAAACAGTGGGCGAAGCCGGGTCCCCTGAGGTTTCCACACAAATGGGATGGATGACCCTCATGGAAAAGGACTTGAGATGCAACAAATGTCAGTTTCACTGGCCAACTTGCGGATGGACACCCGGCTGAAAGGCGCCAATCGGTTGACACAGTTCCGGATGAAGCCGGATCCAACAAGCCCCCCAAAGCCGCGAGGGAGACCCACTCTCTATGGCAGGACTTAAACCCGCAAAAAGTGGTCGCTGGTTCGGAGGAACATGGAATAATGCAAAAAAAGGCGGCAAAGGGAACATGCTGGAGAATAGAACACATGGAGAAAGAAGATGCAAACACATTACAAAAGTAAGCTACGTCTGGCAATGATCCAATTCCAAATCAACCCGGTGATTCGTTTTTGACTCGACAGGTACGTTTCCGCGTGGACCCGATAAAGCACTCAACTCCCCTGAGCGGCACCCCGTTGACTTTTGGTTCTACGAAGATGGGTACAAAGGGTTGCATAAACTTTGCTAGATTCTTCTCTATAACAAACCCCAATGGTTTCGCCCAGTGCTTCCAGGTCCAGATACCATAGTAGGGAAAACAGCTGGTTTTTGGAAAAGAACGATGGTTGAAAAGAATGGGGAATCAACCCCTAGAACTATAGTGTCTTGCCTGGATGCATTGGGAGGTAGTAGAGCACTGGCCAAAAGGGTGGGGTTTTGGCCGCCTGGGGAAATCGGCGATGCCGGGGACGCAGGTTCCGAGCGCGTCTGCACCATTTTGAGGCTTCTCCTGCCATCGAAGCGAATCCAACCGATGTGTGCCCCGCAAAAAAAAATAGCTTAAAGGCTTAAACCGAGGAGTGATTTATTGATTTGAGTAAAGAACCCCTGGTTTAAGTCTGTGGGAGATCCAATAAACAAAGTCTTCGATGCGCAAAGGCAGACATTGCTGGCACTCGAGGCCACACTTAAGTTTGGAGGCTGGAGGTTTGGCTTTATGTTCTCGTTGAGCAGGTCCCTCAGGACCCCCCGGCCCAATTTTCAAACAACTTGAACAACTGGAATACATGGAAAAAATACGAAGGTACCCATAGAAAACTCAAATCCAACAGTACTGAATCAAATCCATGAAAGCTCAAATTATATAGCTCCAGCAACACAAGATCAAATGGAAACTCAAATCCAACAATACTAAATCAAATGAATGGGAGGTCAAATCAATTTCAATTGAAGCTCCAGCTATACTAGATCACACGGAAAGTCAAATCCCACAAGTTAAACTAACTGGATACTCAATTCAACCTCTCAAAAGGAAGCTCCAGCAATACCAAATCAAAGGGAAACCCAAATCCAACAATACCAAGTCAACAATTGAAGAGGCTCAATCAATTTCAAACTCAAGCTCCAGCAATAACTCAAATTGAAAACAATCCTGGGTCTACATCACATTCTGCAGTTTGTTTGTTCTGCAGACTTGTTTCTTTTGTAAGTAGGACTCAACAGATGATTCAATCGCAAATGATTTCTGATCTCCAACCTGCGAAACAATGGCAATGCACAAACTTGGTGTCTACAGATCATGATGCCATCAATCATCGACAAAGCGTAAATTCCATAATGTTGACGTCGGATCAATAACCTCCCCCCCCCCCCCCTCCCGGATAAGGTTGAGAAGGCTTTGTCCTCCAAGAATCAGACTCTGGACTGACACAATCGGGGTTGTCTACTTTAGTAACTTTAGTATGCTACTTTTGAATTGGGAATGAGCTCCACAAGGATTCCAAAAGGAGCTTCGGTCCATACCTCACCTTGTGTGTTTGTAAGGTGTGTTACAAGGCATTTGCAGCGTAAACGCACCAAAAGCTTCAACTCGATCCGACACCCAGACCATGGGAACGAAGGGCCCCCTTGTTTCTCACTTGTTTTTAAAGGGGTAGCCCCTCAAGGAGCAAGGCACAAAGCACCCCACAAGGAAACAATACCGGCGCGAGAGCCACAACTGGCTTACACTGTATTCTCCCATCCGAAGAGGTCCCAGCCAAACCAAGTCCCCGGCGCATTTTTGCGTTCAGATTGTTTGAGAGGGGGCATGGTTCACTGTCTGTTTTAGAAGGCACAATCAACTCAACTAAGCCAGGCTCGGTGAAGAGTGGGCCTTCCCCCTTGCGTGCTTGGAAAGTTCTATGAAGCTGGACGTGGATTTTGGCTGAAGGGCCAGAAAGGGGAAGGTGGTGTCAAAAGAGGAAGTCTCTGAGTCCACTGCTCATCGGCGAATCGAATCTGGGCGTTGCAATTCACTAGTCGGAAATCAGGAATCCCTGATGAGAGACCTCCTAAGTGAGCTCGGAGCTCGCCCCAATTCGCTGAGCTGATTTGATTATAGTGAAGTATGGTCTAAGCAATTGGAATGGGGTTGGGGGGGTAGTAAAGAAAAAAACAACACAAATACCCATGAGAATGGCCTAAGCAAACAGAATCTGGGGTTGGTACAGTTGAAATCGAAACACCCTAGATGAGCATGTCCCAAAACATTGGTTGAACTAGACATGTTCATGATTCCCCTGCCTCTTCGATGGGCTGGGAGGGTCTCCTGGCGCTTGGTCAAGCGGTCGAAATACGTGGCGATTCGGTTCCGGTTTTGGTGATTCGGTGGTGTAAACCGACCTGGAACGGGTACCCTCAACAAACCCGAACCCATGTGCTCACTTCTCAACTTGGCGCACAACCTTTGTTTATGACCAAATAGCTCGTGAGGCGGGGTCTGACGGTATTTCTAGGGGTTGATTCCCAAGTATTTTCAACCATCGTCCTTTTCAAAAACCAGCTGTTTCCCCTGGGGTTCTGATAATTTTCTAAAAAGAAGGATCCCCGGAAAGAACAGGGAAGTGTCACCTGGAGTATTGCGTGTAGCTCCCCCTCAATCGTTTCAAATGTTTCGCTCGATGACACTCCCGGAGGTCCACAGGCTTCTGGCAAACCAAAATGCCGATTCTCGACAACCAATCCCAAACTTTCCACGAGCACTCGCCACCTGTTGTTTTTTGCGGCAGTTCACACACACATGATACTGATGGTGTTCCAGCTACAGCGTGGGCACTTGATGCATGTCCCCCGTGACATGCGGACCTCATGAGGATTGCTCCCTGATCTTGGGCACGTGTCAGTTAGCAGCTTTAAGTTCAAGCACTGGATCTGCAGGATGTTGTGGGCATATTGGCTGTACTTATGTGTAATCGCTTGGAACTGGCAAGACGTGAAATACCTGAAATAAAAGAACAGAACCTTCATGTCGCTATATAACCAAAGTGTGGCATGTATCTGCCAGGTCGTTATGAAACGTCTGCACACTGGTACAATTCACAAGCAAAACTCTTTGTAAAGGACATGCATCATAGCTAAGCTCGTTTCGCCTCCGAGCTTCGCCGAGCTGAGCAATTTGTCCAAAAACATGGCAGCCGGCTGTCTCGCCGCCGCGAAACTCTTGCAATTCTGAAAGTCGCGCGTCTTGCAATTCCAAGGGGATTGCGTTTTTTCTTGTTTCGTGATGCCTGGGGCGGGTGTTTTGGAAGAGCTTTTTTGTTGCGTCTCAGCCTGGAAGCAAGCTGTCTCCCTGTCAGTGATGTTAAAACCTGCACGGGCGCGCGTTTTTTCAGCCTTTGCAGCTTTCTGTATTCGCCGACAATGTCTTAGTCTTTGGCGACTTTTTCCCCGAACGTACGTACAGCATCATTGCCGAGATAGCGATAGGGCTCCAGACGTGCAGCTCCGCAGCTTGACTGCGTACTGACAAAGGAGTGGCCACAGCTGCGCGAGGAGGCCTCAAGGTCTGCGGAGTGGAGGGAGCAGCAGCTATGGGCGCGTCGAGAGTTGGTGGAGCTGCCGAGACTACACTCGCAGAAAAAGTGTGCACTGAGCGGCCAAAAGGAAAACAAACCTGCAGGAGCGAGATGCAAGCTGATGGGCCAGCGCACGAAGCTACAGCAAGGATAAGAGGGATGCGGACTCCGCTAGGGCAGAGAAGAGAAGGGGAAGCGCCCTTCAATCAAAGCGACGCCTTGAACAAACTGAACCAAAGGGTCAGCAGGGGAGAGGCAAGCTATGCGATGAAGATCCTACAGATACGCCACCGAAACAGAGAAAAAGCCTGCCAGCCGCAGATCAACGTTAGGAAGCGAACGCAAGCCACCGAGCCGGAGAAGCAGAAGGAAGGAAAGCATCCTGCGGTGCTTAACGTTGCGCGAGCGACAACGCACTTGCCGTGCTTAAATGCTCTAACACCAGCATGTGGGTTAAACCGGTTCGAAACACACAACATGGGCCGAAAGCTGCGAGAATTCGAGGCAGCGTCTAGCGAACGTTATCAGCACACACCCCCCCCAACCCCCCCCCCCAACCCCCGAAATCACTCGAAAGACGCAAAGTGATGACAGTTCCACGGCGGCGAACCAGCCGCTCTCCAAAAACATGGTGGACTGAGTCCTCCAAGCTTCAGAGATGGGCGGTCTTTCGCGGATCATGTGGCGAATTTGGGCCCCACTCGCCCTGATTGATCTGTGAAAGGGGGGTACCTCCCAGTCACAGGTGGACCTGCAGACTTGTAGCTGAGCGGCTATGGAAAAAGGACCCATCAGTGGAGGCTGTGTGGCTATCAGTAGCTATACCATGCTCGCAAACCGCAACGCCATGAAGCCAATTGTGCGGACCCGCCTCCAAGAAAAAGAAGAAAAAAAAGCGCGCTCCTCCAGTTGTGGCCGGCGAGACCGGGGTGGCTGGAAGGCTGGGCGTTCCGAGTGAAGTTGGCGCTTGCGATCTCGCCGTCGGAGTCTGCAGCTCCCTTGGGCGCCTAAGAGTCCGACCAGGCGACGTTTGACTACGCCCCCATGGAGAAATGAAACGATGGGAACACTTTATACAGGGGTCACTGGATTTCTCTTTGACCAGTTGATCATTGAACTGGGTGTCCATTGAAAAGATCGCCACTTTTGGAGGTTCCAAAAAGGGAAATGGAGGGATCCCTGTGAGAAATCCCTCGCTCTAAAACATTAAAGCCAAAGGTATGGCGAACCGCACCAAAAAGAAGGATCCCTGAAAGGAACGGGAAGGACACGGCTAGATTGATACCCGAAAAGCTGGTATGCTCAACTCGACCAACGCAACCGACGAAAAATTCCCGTGTCAATCCGGGCGCGTTCCCTCCAAAAGTGATGAAGCCCCAACCAAAGGAGACACTCCCCGGTCACTCAACCAAAATTGTATGTACCTGTCAACATTCGCCCAAAAATCGAAGCCCTTCAAGTTCAATCAGCGAACCAAACGTTGGCTCCACCGGATATTGTCGCAGCGCTTCCTGAAACAGTTGACACTTGGGGATTCCTTGGCTGCCCGCCCAAGAAGCGCTGGAGAAAAAAAAGGTTTTGGTTTTGTGTCAGTGTCAATTTCAGGCAGCCCCCCCCCCAAAAAAAAAAACAAGCTTTCTTGTAGTTGTCATTTGCACATGCAAACAACACTGACAAGGAAAAGGAACTCCCCCTCAAAAACACAACGCCAAGTCAATCTGCAGGGAAGTATTTGGTTGAACAGCGCCCCTCATTGGTTTGGTGGTCTTTTGAGGTGGCTTCCCATTTACCCTCCACACAAATCAGGGGTTCACATCCCGAAGCACCAATCCAAACCACCAAGTCCGGCAATCTGCTGGGGAGTACCCTCCCACCTGTTTCACACGGAGCCTGACGTTCGCGGGGTCCGGGTTTGGACCATTTTCCGTCTCAAGGGACCCCCGAACGTCAGGTTCCGTGCGAAATTGCGAGTGCATCTGGCTCAGTGAGTCCTTTCTTTCGAGTTGCCGCTTCAGCTCTTCGATGGCCTTCTGCAACTCCTGACCGCTCCAAATCAACAAATCACCAAATAAGATCTATACACAAACACATGTTTGTTTGACAAGAATACAAATATCCAAACAAGCACAATGTGAATCGCGTGCGTGTGATTGTGTTCCTGTTGCTTCATAGGAGTTGGGCTCTTGAGCTCCCAATTCGAGAGGGATTTGATATGTTGCTTACTGTCCTTGGCCCCCCCAGTATCCATGGCCAGAAAAATGCAGGACCATATAGGTCACCAAAACAGAACTCGACAAAAAAAAAAGAGCTGAGGCAGCACGCTTTGCCAGCGAAAGCAAAGAGTGTGGTACGTTGGTGATACCGTGCTTCCATTTACCGGCAGGAAACTGGGTGGATATCGGATGTTGCACAAATCGAGTATTGCAACCATAGGACCACTCGATTTTGGTGTCAACAAATTGACACTGAAATGGGAACCCAAGGTGGCGCAAATGTTTTACACCCTACCAAAATGATCCACTGGGCTCCTTGATTGGCAAAATCATTGCAATGGAATGCACCAGGCGAGGACACAACATCCTTCAGGCGAAAACCTAATCTGAGTTGACAAGGAACACAACTCAACGTTGTCGGCCTGCAGAAGGCCATCATTGCGGCCATAGGTTAACACGACCAAAGGCAAACAAATGCACAGAAAGGGAAGTACAATTGGAGATCCAGTGCCGTGTGGGTTGCGTTCTGCAGGAGGCAGGTCCCTAACGCCGGGACGGTGTTGGGGACAAACATGAAAAGATTTCAAACCCACCCCTTCTTCCCCGTAAGGCCTTTAGGACCCCTTTTTGGGTGGTGGAAACCAAAGGCACTTGCCATAGGCTTATAGGGGACCGATTCCTAGAAAGACCAATGAGGAACGCAGCGGTTGGGATCAGATCGCGACCACATTGAGAACCAAAGGCTGCACGGGCGATTTGCCATGCCCAAAGGTCGATTGCGAACTCGAAAGGAGGCCTACCTGGCTGACCAAAAGCAACAACGGGCCTTGGACTGGGTTTTTCAATAACACAACTGATAGAGCCGCACGCACTGGTTACGTGCAACCAGTTAGCCCTTAGCCCAGTTTCCGGAACCAGTCTTATGGCCGACGGCCAATTCGGCCACCTTGGTGCCATGTGCTCAAGGTTGCAACGGAAGTCGGATCGGTCCAACAGATCAATGCGAAGGCATGTGAACGACATGGCGTCTTGGGTGTGAAATCAGGGTTGTGGAAAAGAATGTGTTTTTTGCTAGGCATGAAATGTGAAGTCTCCTAAAAGCAAGCAATGCACCATCCCCTCGTGGCTCAGTTTCGCGAAGAGTGATGGACTGTTTAGCCCAGATAGGCTTGTGCCGCCCTCGCTGCGAGAGGCGTGAACCACGCCTCGAGCTCTTTTCGTGCAGCTTCGTTCTCCTGACGGGAGAAGTCAGGCCAAGCGGGTAGCCCAGGGATCTCCCATCCACAAATTGCCTTGGAGCCAACGACCGACAAAGTGGCTCAGATGGCCCAGAAGGGCACGTCACAAACCATTTGATAGCTAATACGGGGGGACCTGGTAGAAGTCAACCCCCATGTGAGTATAGCTCCAGCTGGTTGACCTGCTGACCTAGCCGAACACCCCAGTGCAGAAAAAATCAAGGAACGGCTTGGAAGACTCCTGCTTAGATGAGGGAAGAAGTCGAAACCCAGAAGTCTGTTCAAGTCTGTTAGACCAATGGACTCGCCTCCACCTCACTTCCTGAGTGGACAGGCCGAAAAAGCCTGAGCTCAGGACGTGAGATACTTGGACCAAACTCCAGCAAAACCAAAAAAACGTCAGATCCCCGTGATATGGAAAATACCTCTACGCACCGTCGGTTCAGAACATCGACGGCTCGGGTCCTGCAGCTGCTTCGCCAATCCCGAGGAGAGGTCCTGAACCTCCTGCGTCACCAAGAAAAGGATGCGGCCGTTGAGAGGGGGGGGTTGTCCGTCCGACTTCGGAGGGCTGTCTACATTGTTGAAGGGATTCGTGGCCATCCCTGCCAGCGATGTTTGTTTGGATTGTTTTTGTTGTGTTGTTAACACGTCTTTGAACCAAGGCACATATATGGGTGGTTGCCAAGAAATGTGGCCCCATGTTGGACACTGCCGCGATCTTGCGCCTGATTTTGCCAACCCCTCGGACTTTGAAACGTGCTGAGGCCCTTACGAACGGGCCCCAAGACGAGCAGGGCAGGATGTTGTCTCCTAGAGGTTTCACCAGAACTGCAGCAGTAATCTGCTCCTACGGCAAGGACCCCACAAACCATTTCTGGCGATAACTCGGGGGGCGTTTCTTTTGTTTGAGGACACCTTTTGTAGCGCAGTTTCAAAGCTAAACAAAAGGACACCCACCAATTGTTTGAAAGTCCCCTGATTTGAGACAAACCCAGAATTAGACATCGTTAGGCCAAGCGTGGGCGCCCTGTCATGTTGGCATCATGATGCTGGCCTCTGTCAACTTCAATGTGCCCATAAACCAAACAACACATGTTCAAAGCGAACTACAACTTCCATCAAGTATCGAGAGAATGATAACTATAGGATTAAATTTATAGGACATTCATGGGGATTTCCATCAAGTACCAACCAAGACACTTCAAATGGCATTCCAAAAGGGGAAATCGATGCGGGCGAACAATAAGCCCAGGCGGGTCCCAACAGCAACCCAGTGCTCCAAAGCTTTCGGCTGAAGACTTTGGGCCAAGTTGGGGCTGTCTCACATGGTGACCCAACACCAATCGAGGGAAGCTTGCCCTTTTAGGTCCTTGTTAAGGTGGCCTTTCATTCCCAGCCTGAGCTGCAAACTGGACAAGAAATCAAACTCGGCACAGAAACCGCTCCTCCAAGTTGATGATGCTAGACCTCCGACGAGCACCTTAGTGGTCAAACCAAGGAAGGTGGTGGGTCTGTCGTTGGACCTTACAAGGCTCCGTATGTGTCCCCGTCTCGTGTGAAAAACATAACCTTTTAGCGCCCCCTTTCGATCGAGTTTCCTTTTAGTGGCACATGCATGGTCTAGGAGGTTCTGCGGGGAGCCCATCCATATGGAGCCTCGCCAAGGGGTTGCAAGGAGAAAGGAAAAACACTCACAGCAAAACAAAAAAAGCACAAAAGGAGCATTCTCCGAGCTGTTTAACCCAACAGCAACATTTTTGCTATATGTTTTTGTGCGACTGCTTCGAGGCATAGTTGGCGAACGTGGCGCATGTGAAATGAGCGGGGGCTGAGTTTCATGACAATTGGCTTCGGTAAGGCGCGCCCGTCCAAAGGTGCCGGCGTTGGAAACGTGTCAAAGAGCTGGAAACATGTCAACAGCTTACACTGACAAATGTACTTGCTCCCAACTGCTATTGTTTTGGCTTATGCTCTTGCAAACGCAAGGAAAACTCCGAAGCAAAAAATAATAACGGACGCTGGCTTTTCCATGTTGTTTTATTCTTCCCCAACAGCTGAAAGCTTTGGGGTCTCAGCCCAGATAGGCTCCGGGGTGGTCCGGAGCGGCCCTGAGGTGACGTTCCAGGAGGGTTCCACCAGGGTTCCACCAGGGTTCCACCAGGGTTCCACGAGGTTCTAAAAAGAGCACCGCATGCTGGTGGGGATATCACCTGAGCGGTTTTTTAAACGAACAGGGGCGGCGGCTGCCCATAAATTGCTTTGCCCCCCAAACGCTTCAGTCATCGGAAAGGGCTTCCACGGCTAGATAGAGCTAGGGGCTCCCTAAAGCGAAGGTCACTGATCGGCAAAGTGACAAACACTCCGTGCATATTGATCTCTCTATACATCAAGCCTCGGAACATGTTGCGACTTTTGAATGGCAAGCAGAGCTGGAGACAAAAAAAACAGGAGTGCTTCTGCAAGTTATAGACAACAACACTTGTGCGACGACTCTTCTGCCTCAGTCATGGCACCAAATGCCTGAGACTGCGCCCAAACCCCGCAACGCCTTTCCAAGCGTGGCGCGGAACACTAAGCGAAACCTTGGGGCACGGATTGACTACACACGGCTTCGCAAATTCTTGTAGCACTTGCCAGATTGACACCAAACAAAAAACACATTTGCAAATATTGAAGCTAGAGTGTGGAAAAAACTGACTGCCACCTGAGAGCACAATTATGCTCGCGAGCTTTAGACCCGCGTGGTCGGGGGTGCTTATCGCTTGCCTGGACGCGAAACATTGTCCTTTTCCATGGCTGTTGCTCACTAACCAGTGAACTTGCTGCAAGCAACACGCATTAGTTTGCAGTGCGTTGTGGCACCTGCTACTGCTATTCCGGTGTGGCAGGGTTCGGGTTTCCTGTCTCCTCATAGATCCTTTCGTTTCCCTTCATTTCCCTTCATTTTGTTTCCATTGATTTTCCTCATTTCCATTTTTTTGTTCATGTCCGTTCGGGGCCCGAAAACACACTCAGCACCATTCACGCAAGCACGCTGGTTCGAAGAAAGGGAATCTAAGAGAAATTCAAGGAAATGAACGGAAAGAACGGAAAGGCAAAAAATAAAAGAAAACGAAAGGACCAGTAAATGAGTTGGACTGTGCGGGTCGCCTCGGCTCCGGGTCCCAGGATTCCGGGTCTAGACTACCAAAACAGCTGGCTGCCGTTGAACAGGACGAACCATGAAGAAACAAACAAGTAAAACACCCGTTGGGAATGTGTAGAACTTAGAACTACGTCCAAAACCTCAAATAAGAACTTGGTCCCCAAAGGACTCACCTCGTGCCTTGCGTTCGCTTCACCCCCAAAGCGGTGAGCTCGCCATAAAACAGGCAGAACATGTTGAACATGACAACTTGATTCGCTACCTCGTTTTGAAGTGAAATCCGTCCCACGTGCCACTGTTACAGGAAAACCCACAGAGACAACCTTTGCCTGTTGCTGCTTCATGTTGAAAATAAACTCACATGAGGAAGGGACACAAATAAGAGTCGTTGTTGCTGGTGGAAGTTGTCAACAGAAACAAATGAGAGGAGAAAATGGATCTTCTTGTCATGGTTTCACATTGGAAGGAAATCCATCTCAAGAACCATGATCTAACGGATAACAGTGCTGGTGCCATTTGCGATGATCTCGCGCAACCGAGCACATAAGCACTTGCCCACCAAAAACAACATAAAAGGAGCCAAGGGCACACAGAAAAGGGATGACCAGAGTTTCCCTTGGGGCTCCAGGCAATCCCGTCCTCAAAGGATACCGAACTAAAGGACAGTTGCCATGCGATGTCAATGAAAGTCCCCTGAGGGTCGTATGTTTTAAGCCGAAGGTAAGCTCAATTCCGGATGTCGAGTTCCCCAGAAGAATCTGTGAGTTCAAGACCTTGGCGCAACAAATGAACCGCAGACCTGGCCAACAACAAGGGACATTAGAACCATTGGCATGGGCTTGCAAACAAACTTTGTGTTTTTTTGCAGCACCCCGCTCAAACTGATCGGAACCACCAAACCCGGGGGGGAAACAAAAACAACACGATCCGGCCACTGTGAAGCTCAGGCGCGCAATCCAAGGGCGCTGGGGGATGCCGGGACGGAGCCGGCGCCGGAGGCGCTACTCGCACTCGAGCCTCCGCCTCACTTGGGATGTAAGGGTCATATATGTCCCAATCAAAACCCGGGCAAGTGGAGGTTAGTAAGGGACAATCCCAACGAGAAATGGTTGCGGCCGCCTTCTTAATTCTTTACATGGTTCTGGGTTAATCATTTGTGTACCGGGTTTTGATTATGACTCATATAAAATGAGTATTCGTGAGCGACGTACAAGAGAGTTGACACATTTGCACGCATCTCTATACTGCAAACCTGGACCTTCCGGGGGTCCAACATTTTAGGCGTTGGCCAAAAAACAATGGTGTGCAAAAATGATTTTAAGGCGGAAAAAAACGCCGGCGGTCATGTTTGTTTGCACTGCGGTCGGGAATGTTCGCCTGTTGGTCGGGAATTGTCACCTGTTGGTCGGGATTTGTTGCCTGTATATTCGGGGAGATTGCGCTTACCAGCCCCAAAAGCAATTCGTAGCGAAAAGGCGGAAACAGGAAGGTCCAGGTATAGATGTGCACTCTCTGGCTATGAATCTATGAGTTTAATAGGGAACTGCCTCCAAAGTTGGTAGAAATGACTCCCCACCTAATGACGTTTAGCTGGAACAATGGATGGTGCATGAGTAGAACCAACCGGAAACCAGTTCAAGCCATCTGGGCGTTTCTGAAACTTGCGGATTGCAGGCGGTTGGGGTCCTTTGGGATTCCCTTTGAAGCCCTCTGAAAGGGGTTCCCCCATGTTAACACAGACCAGTCAACCTCAAAGCTTGAAGAATTATGTTCAAGGTTCAGGTACGTCATGACAGGCAACGATATATATATATATACATATATATATATATATATTTGTATGCACATACATGTAGATCTAGGTTTGCAGATGTATTTTTGTTCCAGAAAATGAGCTTCGCGCTTTACATCAGCATGTGTATTACTTGCACTGTAATCAGAGTCCAGTTTTGCGGGAGTTTGGGAGAAAGCCAGGGGCGCCCTTTCGCCCATTCAGACACCAGCTTTAATTCCCCATTAAGCTGAAGATCGAACCCCATTTGGGTATGTCTGTTTTTAGCGCCCCCCCCCCATTTCGGTTGTCCCTTTGAATCCAACCGAAAATGGGTTCCCCAAAAGCATCACAGACCCATCGGGTCGCGAAAAAGGTTGCCGGTTTTTGGGGTTGTCCTCAAAAATGGCGTCATGTTGTACTGGTTTCTCGAAAGCGATGCCTAGAAGCCCTGACAGATAGTTGTTCATCTCGCGAAAGGACGAAAGGACTGCGGATGCGGAATGTCAGTGAGACTTTCAGGGCCGGCTTGGCAGAGTCCTTCTGTGAAACTAAAGCTTTCGATGGGTTGTACCCAAAGACGCTCCACCGGGAGCTTACCATAGGCTGTGTTTACCGTTTTTTTTGCTTTTTAAGGAAAATGTTGGGAAATTGTTCTCAAAGAAGATCTAGGTTTATATATACGCACACACACACACACACACACACACACACACACACACACGCTTGCCCGCCCGCACACGCACACACACACACAAACACAAACACACCAAACACACAAAAACAAGAAACTGAAACAGAAACATGGAAACACAGAAAAACAGAAACACAGATTACAAAAACACACACGCGAACACACACACACACACACATACACACACACACACATACACACATACACAAACACACATGCACACATACACAAACACACACATACACACACACATACACACATACACAAACACATACAGACATACACACACACACAAAGACACGAGCGCGAACACGCGAACACGCGAACACGCAAACACGCGAACACACGCACACGCACGCGAACACGTCCTCACGCACGCACGCAGACGCACGACGACCTCCAAAACACCGCAGCTCATAGAAGGGATTAAAACTATACTTTTCCGCTGGTGACTTTATTAAGTTAGTTTCATGGAAATCCAAACTTGTAAAAACGCTTGCTCGCCTGGGACGTCTGGGACGCCTTCGCCGCCTGAAGCCGTTGCTCCCGCTTCTGCCGTGCCGGTGGCGGCAACGGCGCCGCCGGCGCCGGTGCTGGGGCTGCCGGGGCTGCCGGGGCTGCCAGGGCCGCCGGGGCTGCCGGGGCTGCCGGGGCCGCTGCCTCCAGTGGCATTGAAGCCGCTGCCTTGGGTCAGGGCAGTCGTGGCTTTGCAGGATTTCGACAAAGGCAATGTGAGCTTGCTTGGCCAAATTGACGATTGAGGGCCTCTCATAAAGTTGGCATTTTGCTGGCTAGGGAGCATGAACAAAGCCCAAACGGGCGAAGCAGCACAACGGCTTAGTCTGGCAATGAAGGCATGGGCGTGCTTTTACACCTCTCTGGTCCCCGGCGCCCAACTGGTAGCTGCGTGGAAAGGAATCGAGTTCAATCCCTATTTGGACACGCAAGGGTCTTCTCAAAACAAAACGGTGCATCCCCTTTTTGGGTGGGTTTCAAGGGAGACGCAAGCAAGCGAGACATTTTTTCATGGATCTGTCTTGAATTCGTGTGGAAGCGCTTGGACTAACTTGCGCAGAGGAGCTCGTACAGAGCAGCTTGCATAACTTGCGCAGAACAAGTTACGCTGAACGACTTGCGCACAAAGCACACTTGTGCTTGGCTGCCCAACTTGCGCAGAGTAACTCGCGCAGAGCACCTGGCAAAAAGCGGCCAACTTTAAAACATGGCCCCCGGTGCCGGCGGCTCAAAGCACTAAGTCTAGCCTAAAAACTGACCCATCCAGGACCCCAAGCTTGCCGCTTGCCTTTTCGAGATGCCAGCTGCGCATGACTGGCTCGAGAACTGGTCAGTTGTCAGGCAAAAATGCACGGGACCGTGTCAAAGACCCTGTGAAAAGCAAGCCAATAAGGTTTCGAGTGATGGGGATGAGTTGGGTGACTCGTTGACATTCCACAGCGGTCGAACCTCCCGACTGCTTGGTGCCCGCGGCTCCCGGCGTATTTCGGACGCACGCACGGCCATGTGCTCCTTTACAGCTGAAAGTTGCAAGCCATGACACTTTGGGCCAGCACCTTTCATAGAGCTGCTGGATGTTTTATTTTTATTTCTCGGACAGATACATTCGGCACTCTGTTCCTCCGCCATGAAGGCGCTCGGGATCCAGCGAGCTGGGGCCAGCTCTCTTCTTCGCTTTGCACGTTTTGATCCAGACGCTCTGCAAGTCCCTGGTTTTACCGGCGGTTGGGCACGCTACAGCTGCTCTGCAGAATCTGCAGGAAGATTCAGGGTCTCTCACGCAGAATTGCGATGGCCCTCAGTATGGTCATTTTGTTCTGCTCCTTTCGCTGCTTATCGGGATTGACCCATTTCTCATTCGCACCTCTCGGACCGGCAAACCAACGGGAACTCATTCGTTAAATCTCAATACTATATTGGTGAAGATTGGTCAGGAATGCATATTAGTTGCTTTTATCTAGCAACTAACGATAAAAGCAACTGTTGTTGCTATTATCATATATTGTTTGGTTTTTATTCAGCGTCTCTTTGCGCCGAGCGGCTTCTTCCGAGCCACGCCATGGCCTCCGGCTCCGCCTCCAGGTCCGACTCCGCGGAGATGTCCGAGGCAGTGGCGGAGCCCACGCCGCCAAGCACCTGGACCGGACATGCCACGGAAAATGGCCGCGCACCCGGCAAAAAACATGGTGATTTCTGGTTGGGCTTTGGAGTTTCCGGTTGGATTGGTATTTCTAGCTGAACTAAATTCTAGAATTTCCAGTTGGATTTAGATACCTGGACTTTCAAAGTGGGCAATCACCATGGATATTTCGGGCACTTGGATTGGAAGACCTGTAGGGATCCCTCGGTGGCTTGCTCACCCCCAAGATCCTTTGGGCCGGGAGAGCCATACTGAACCCAAAAGGTGGGCTCAAGGATAAATATCTTAGCCCACATAGATCATTGATACCCACAGTAAATGGTTCGCACAAACAGATTGTACCCGTGGAAATGGCAGGTACAGATTGAAACCCACTCAAATCATTGATACCCATGGAATCACGGCTAGGCATTCATGTGAACCATTGATACCCATGCTAAAATGTGTAGCAATCATGGGCCCAATCATGGTAATACATCCAATTGAACCATTGACACCTATGGTGAATGAGCAGTAGTCATCATTATCATCCACATACCACATGTCATTCAGTAATTCGCTGGGAGGTTGTAAGTAACGACGGTTCACACCCATTGAAAGCAACAATACCGATAGACAGGCTTTGCATCAGGCTTATAAACCACGCTTACATCAGCTGGGGTTAATAATCATGATTCTGCGCATGCATACCACGGATATCGAGGTGAAGAGGAGAGAAGGCACGGTCACAACAATTGCAAACCATTTTCATTGATGGCAAGTGTTTACTTATCCTACTCAAGCCACTTGTGCATAAGTAGTGCGGGGATGTGATTAAATGGAACCACTCAGACACCTTCGAAGTGCTTCGTAGTCACAATGCAAAGAATTCATCCCCTCTTTAGTGGCAGCCACGGTTGCATCCCACTCAGACCGCTCATACCCCCAACAAGTGCTTCACCTCCAAAATTCAATATGCGTGCACCAGCTGGGATGTATGAACCCCTGTCTAGAAAGCGGTTGGATGCCCTTTCTGTGGATTTCGCCTGTCCTTCCCCGGGTTCGTCCTTTTTCAGGAACCTTTTGATACTCTTCTGACATCCTACAGGGGTAGATCCACAGATTCGCCACATCCCAACTGGTTTCTAGATACTGGGGATTTCTTTCAGCTACTGGCGCGAAGCGGACAATGTCTCGGCCCGACGAAAAACGGACAGCGCCAAGCCTCAAACCCAGCACTCCCACTCGCGCTGAGGTTTGTCGCAACTGGCAACGTGGGACTCCCAAAGCTGCCATTCGCACAACGCCTCACTCAGCCCATAACACTGAGCACCTTAGGGCCTTTCTTTGGCTGATTGATCAAAAGAGTTTCCCCTCCAATGAATGAAGGGGACTTTAAAACCCCTCCAACAAAGAAGGTCTAGCAAATGGAGGTTTGGGCAGAGAGCCATCTCCCAGAAAATGCCATGCTACCCATCCAAAGGCCATGTCGCAAACAGACTCAACACTTGGGTGAAAGCGGAATTTTGCTCTCATTCAGGCTAAACCTTGACATGTTCCGAGCATTCTGCCGTCTACTCTCACCCTGGCGTAGGCTTGAAACGTTCCCCTGTGGCTTCAAACTGCTTGACCAATCCTGAAATTTGGCAAAATGGGCAAACTGCACAAAGCAATGGCAAAGTCATGTCGTTTTGAAGGATGCGATGGTTGGAAACTGGAAACCATTCTGGAATCCAGTCACATCATCCCGCACCCCGTGCAGTAAGCCATGCCCGGCCAAAGACCATTCAACTTCAGTGACGAAAATACAGACGTTGGGAGATTGACTGGCAAATGCCTCTGACAAGTACCTTGCTGGTAGGCCATATTGCACAGGAGCATGCATCAAGCGCCCCAAAAGGACGACCCTCAAGGAATGTGGTTGCTCAACAGATGGAGCTTTCGACGTCCCTACTCATTCTCAACACTCTACGACCCAGCAGAGGGTTTCCATGGCCCGCAGGGATCAAACGTTTTTGTTGGATGCCTTGCATGCTGAATCCACACCAACACAGGGTGGAAGGAGAACTTCCTGCAAGGAAACTCCAGACCTGGATTTGTTTCGATCATGTCCTTCGAATCAGCCACAACTAAAAATGCTCAATGTGACTAGGTAGGCGGGAAGCCGATCCACAACTAAAATCATTGATGGACATGGCTAGCCAAGCCTAACCACGCAGACTTCCACAAATATGCCCACCAGAATCTGAATGGGCTTCTCAAAATCTGACTAGATCAAAAGGGATGCTGCTACTTCTGAGGGCCTTCTCGTGAACAGTTAACTACCATGATACAGCAGGTGTCTAAGACAAGCTCGTATACAAAGCAGACCGCTGTCTGCCTCGGTGATCTTCCATGAATCTCCAGTTGGGTTCAACGCTGGCCCGTCATGGTTACCCTAAAGTGCATAGGAAAATCGGTGGGTTCCCTGCTTTTTGCGGAACATGTTCGTCTGGCACTCTTCCCAGCACAAGAAAAGACCGTATCATACTGGATATGCTGACCGAAACTCATGTGAGTCATAATGATCAATTGATACTCAAGTGGTCTGCCCATGCTGTTGGAAGAATTACTACGGCGAATATCTGATATCCACACCTACATCTGGGTGCTGTCCCTTACCCTTCATCTGGGGTTGTGTGAAACATTTGGGACCCAAACAATTGGTGGACAACCCAATTTAGTCGCAATCAAGAACCGGTATACGATTGGTCTACCCAGCACCATGTAAAGAATCGAAAAGGCGGACGCACCCGTTTATGGCTGGGATTGGCCCATACTATACCCTCCAACTACGCAGGTTTCGATTGTGGGTCAATTTGGTTCCTTTGAAAACAGCCAACCAAGGGCACCCCGCCAAAGGTCCCACATCTACCCATGGGTTTTGATTGTGTAAACTCCACTTGGTTCGTTTGAAATCAGCCCAAAAGGCTACCCCGCCAAAGGTCACATCCACCCAGGCCCCATCAAGTCCATGTCAGCGCGGCTTCTCGTCATAGCAGGGCTCGCGGACGACTGCGAGAGGACGATCGCAAAGTGGAGAAGAGGTGAAAGTACACGGCAAGAAATACATATATGTGTATATATATATATATATATACATTTGTATGTGTATATATATATATATTTATAATAGTTCACATGAAGTGAAATCTGTGCAGCGTGTACTTTCACCTAAGACTTCTAGCTTTGTGTCTATATATACACACCATATTCATGGTACATGTATAATATATATATAATACATATATATATATATACACCAACTAGCCATCAGTTGGCTAACAGTACATGGCGAGATTCGGGAATGTGGGAGAACACTCAGCTCACTTCCTAAGCGGATTGGCCAGAAAAGTATGAACATTTTTCTCGGTTGCTTTTTGCTCCCCTGCTAAAAGTTGAACTTTTAGTGGTTGAATGGAAAACCCATTAGTTGGCAAACAGTTAAAGTCCTAACATCCGAGCAAAATGCACCTCTGTTTTATGTAATTACCACCAAAACGGACTTCCCACAATATTTCAAAACCAGCAACTCAGGAAGTGAATAAAATAAGAATCGGAGGTGTGTAGGCCCACGGTCAAATAAACAACTTGATGTTCAAAAAGGAGGAAACAACACTTTACCGGCTGCTTCGATAGGCAGGGAATGAGAAATGGAATGACCCCGAAAAGCCATCCATTTCCGATCTGGCATCGCAAATAATCCCCTTCCGGTTCATTCCCGACACCCTGGGTCATTCCCAGCTGAGCACCAGCAAGAACAGACTGGTGTTCAGTGCTTTGAAATGTCGAAGTTGCTATATACAACTGGTCATGCTGCTTACCGTTGGCCGCAAACAAAAGCGCAACGTCAATGACATAATGAGAGCCAAAACACGCCACACCACCACACGTTGTTTCGACATGCGGCTTGGCCTTTCTTAGTTGGTTCGCAGGGAAAGCGGGTGCCGGACAACTAACCTTTTGTTGTGGCCAAAGCCAAAAAGGCTGAAAACGGGCCCGACCCCCTCCTTTTAGGGGCGCAGGGCACATCGAAACTGGCTCGTTAGCTGTGTAGACCGACCACTCATTGTCATTCCACCCCCAAAGTCGAAGATGGCTTCCACCCAACCGAAGCTACCCCCAGGGGTTGAATGTAATATATGCAGGTACCTATATAGCCATATAATTAAAGGGTGTATATATCGCAATTTCCCCCGGGGGGGGGGGGTAGTTGACACCATCTAGCAAAAACCGTCTAGCCAAAAAGGAAGGTCTTCCGAACAAGCGCTATGTCTTTGTTCGCCTGTCCCCCGTGGTGCGTGCCCTCGAATGATGGCAAACAGTTCTCTTGGGGCCAAAATGCTTTCTGAAGGGGAACTCACTCAAAAATTGTCCAAAAGACTAAGAAACTTGATTCAAGATTCACCTGCCCAAAGATCATGTTGGCACCTCGACATAAAATGGCCCCAGCCTGTTTGTTGGATGGTCGAAATCCTGCACCTCTTGGAAACCATGGGAAACCATAACGTTTATTAATACTTACAGGGGAATCATCACAAACCAAAGTTTCTGAACGGTGTTGTCCATCCACGGAATCTTATTTGTCATCCCCTTTGGATGTCCATTTCCCGCAGGGCGCGTCCCGGCCTTGGCACTCACTGCTCTCAACTGCTTCAGCTTGTTCTTTGCCTCCTTCTCCTTGGACAAAAGTGGTTCGTTGGCTTGTTAATTCCGCGCAAAAAAACATATGCTTTCTGGGAAATGTAATAAATAGTAACATATTCTATATATATATATATATGAATTTCTCTAAAGTCCAACAAATCTCAAAGGCTCTAACTCTAAGGGTATTGCCTGAACCGCCAGGATTTGGACATCAACTGAAAAGCCAAAAGCTGTGGTTGAGCCTGCGGGAAAGCCGAGTTTGCCTTCAGAACGTTTAAAAAAAAAAAAAAAAACACACACACACTCTGGCACGCCACAAATCAATCCCCCACTTGAAGTCAGCGAGTAGGGCTAGAACAGCCCTCAGTCATTCTGTGGTATAGAATTGGAGATTCTGGGCTGCCCTCAAATCCCCCGCTAAAGGATTAACTGTTCGTTGGTTAAATGGAAGGCTACCACTAAACACTAACAGCCTAAAAGGCTGAGGGGACGGCTGGGAGCCACCACGGATTGGCTAACCAGTCTACAAAATCACCGCGCTGGTGAGGAGGCGGTTCTTGTCACCAGTGGGCGCGTTCTGTCTGAGTCCTGCCAATGTTCGAAATGACATGGACACTTATGTTGTTGGGAAAATGAACGAAATCAGCTTCAACAGGGCTCTCAACAAGGCTAGTAACAGGGGTGCAAACATACACCCACACACACACACACATATCACCCACTGTCCTTTTCTGTCACATAAGACACCGCCTACAAAATGACGGTTCCTGGCATTCAATGCTACAGAATGCATTGCCCTGACCCAGTGTCCCTAAGCGCAGCAAGTTGTGCTGGCGTTGCTGCATCGCATAACTTTATATAACATTAATCCCTCCCAGGTTGTCTAACCCATGTATAAAATAATGTCAAGGCATTTACAGGATACATATATATATATATAGTATAAACAGAATGCAAGACACATCCGAGCTTCAACCCGAGCAGAAACCCTGCTGCCACACAACCAAACTGGCCTGCATGACACAGCAGGGCCCAATCCCCTCAACATGGTGCTGAATAACACTGAGAGGAGACACTCTACACAATGTGGGCGCCTTTTGCTCAACCCAGTTTTGTGGTCCTACAAAATTGGGTTTCTAGAAAATGGGTGCATCCGACCTAAGGCGTGCCCCCCCTCCCCCCGTTCTCCATCTAAACAAGAACAGCAACATTTGAAGAAAGGTCACCTCACTTATTTGGTATATTATGTAGGGAAAATGTACAGGGGGATTCAAATCATGGGACCCCCCCTCCCCTTCACTCCCGCCAACCTCCCCACCACACATGTTCCCCAAAACTAGACCCTAATACCCTAATAAGTTGCTTGTACTTGCTACTTATTTATGCATTTATTTGGAGGAAACAGGTGCAAGGGGCAGGGTCTGGATCCTATTAGGAAGGCCCTTCAACTGGACACATCATTCACTGGAACGGGGAGGCGTTGCGTCACAGAAGTGGAAACAACCCGCTCATTCCCACAGCTGCTTGGTCGTTAGGATTCTAGCAGCCCAGTTCCTCAATGTGCCAGGTATGGTTGTGAAAAAATGAGCCTTTTTGGTCAAGGGGACTACCCTGGTATCACAGATGTTTGTTCCCTACGACAGAGTTCCCCTCTGTCCCCTTGCAATGGCCGAGGATGCCCCCGATCAGAAACCGCGGACTGTTCCTGCCTCCTGCGCCAATTGCGCAGCCTTGGCCTTCTGCCTCGCGCGTCGCGAGAAGACTGAAAGACCCAAACGGCGCAAGCGCCTCTGAGGAAATGAGAGTTGTCCAAAATGAGGTTCCCCCAAGAGGGCGTGGAACGGGCTAGTCCCCTGGTTTTTGTTGGTGCTTTTGTGAGGCCCATGAAATGAGAGACTACTGGCACTTTTGACCAATCCTCAAAGGGGAAGTTGGGAACAGCTGAATTTGGTTGCCGGTCAAAAAGCAAGCACTTCATGTGCCCCTGAAAAAGGGTGAATGTAATGGTCGGATAAGGGCACCACGACACAGCCTCAGCTTGAAGTGGAAAGCTGGAACACAAGAAAGCAGTATGACCCCTGATAAGCTTGACACAAAGCGGTATGTGTCTGCCTAGAGATGATGCGATGGCTTGACCCGCCAATCTGGGCGAATTGATTCGCCAACCAAACACAAGAAATCGCGTTCCCCACCTGAAACGGGACACCTATGCATCAAGGGTGTATTCATCCGTTCCCATAGATGAACTGTCCGGCCACCAAACTAATAAACAACAAGATGCCGATTGTTGGCGAGCTTTCAAGAAACCCACCGCAAGGTTGCTCCAAAAAAACATAACAAAGTACGGCGTAAATTTGGCCCATATTCCCTCCTGGGCTCCTTAGCTTCCTACGGCTCTGGGCGAGCATGCACCTCAAAAGGCAAGCAACAGGTGGTCTGCTTGCCGCACGGAATGGTGCGTGGTACTTCTGGTTGCTCGTGCTGCTGGTTGCTCATGTTCTAGATCGAGGTTTAACCAAGTTTCACCCTGGACAAATCCTCTTTCTGACTTGCCGAGTTGACTTAGGCCCTGCAACAACATCAAGGGAAGCCCAGCCCCAAAACTTGTTGCCCCAACTCATCTGAGAGCATTCAGGGCCACTAGGTGATCATGTCATGTCAGCCTAAAATAGCATCTGCAGCAATGCGACAGACTCCCTACGAACCACCCCAAACAAATATACGACGTAAAAACAGCCAACAAAATCCCAGACGCCCCAGTGACACCCAGGAGAAAATCAATGGAACGCTTTTTGGAGCCTGGACCGCTTCACCAAACGACCAGGATTGTCATGTTTTTGCTGGGCTGCTCAAAGCCCAACTGAGCAAAAGATGGAGTCAGACCCTTCGTATTTTACAAACAGAAAATCTGGTGACGACTCCGCCGGACAAACAACTACAACTCCCAAACCGGCGAAATCCAACATACAACAACAACAAAAAACGCTGATGGCTTTCGCCACCCTGTGTAGATACATGTTGAAAGTGTGATTTTACAACTAGCAAAACAGGTGACGACTCCGCTGGACAAACCACTACTAGGTCCTCCAGTGGAGAGGCTGGAATAAGGGTACCAACTTTTCTCTGTCTAGTTTAGGGGAACCGAATCTCCCAACCAAAGGGGAGAGAAAGGGAACCAACCGAAAGATCCGCTCACGTTCGATCCCTGAGACCCGGGCTGGTCCAGCTCCTTCTTCGCCGCCTCGATGGCGGCACTTGGGTCCTGGAGAGGACCCGTCAGCGTGAGCGTGTTGCACCCCCGACAGCGGTAAATCGCCACGAGATGAACTAGATTCGATCAAATTCAAGCCGCGGCGAAACCAACACCAGACTATGTGCCAAAAAACCGAATATCGATGATTCTTTTGTTGCCAAGGCCCCGCCTGTATTTTCTTTTTCAGGGGCTTTTGGTCATGGGATGCTTCGTAAGAACCCGCCAGCTGAAATCCTTTTCTCGCGCATGAAGGCCACCAGGTCACCATAGAAAAAAGAAGCCGCTTGCCAAGCGGCCCAAGTGCCCCGCCAAACCTGCTCTTCGTGGGAGATTGTGGTATCACAAATCCAAACAGGCTCTCAAAAACAACTAACATAGTCTAGGGGTAGGGCTGCACCAAAACAACTAGAAACTGGGCTCCGTCCCACGCCACTAAATCACTGCTAAAATGTGTGACAGGGCTGTAGTCTTCCCGCTGTATCATACTACGCGGCATTTGGTTGTTGGAGCAGCCTCAAAGCGAGTACTCCGCAAGCTGTGCATTTAAAAGATCCACATTCGGCTGTCAGAACTGTTCTCATAGCACACGTATCCCCTCAAACAGCTTGTGGTCACGGGCCGCTCATGTTCAACGCCCAGACTAGTGACTGGACTCAAGGTGCCCAATCGCAAGCCTCTAGCGCTTCCAGGCAAGCCACCGACCAGGCACTTTGAGAAGTCCCTTCAGTTTCCCCAGGGGAACTAAAACACAGAGCCCTTCCAACATACCTTGGCGGCCAAAGGACGAAAGTCTGACCCCTTTGCAAGGTGGTGGGGCAAACCGTGGCACAAACAGCAGCGAGAAAGCGAAAGCCACAAACAGTTGCCGCAAACAGAGCCACAGCCAAGCTGATCCACAAAATGCCACAGCTTGGCAATCCACCCAATGCTTAGAAATTGTATTTGATTGTTAACCACAAACTAGCTTAATGCTAACATTAGTGAAACATCCTACAAACACCTACAACCCTAGTACTATACAGTCGTTCTTTTGCTTGTGAACCAACCAACACATGTTTACTATAGCTGACATCAATCATGGGCATGGAACTGACAGTTGCGTCCTCCTGAGCATCGCCTGGAGAACCCCGTGCGGTGTTCGTTTCTCAAAATGGCGGGCCTCGGGGTTGGTAAATGAAAAGAGGGAAAAAGGAGACCAATATTTAGAGCACCCTCTTTCTTAGGAAACCCCACATGTGGTGGACCGCCTTTTGGTTTTGTAAAGGGGAACAAAAGAGGCTGTTTTTAAGGAACCATGTTTTGGGGATTCGTTTAGGAGAATGGGAATTTCATCCTTCCAATTACAGGACCTGCTTTAAGGAACCCCCCTCCCCCATATGCCAGGTGTTCCAGGTGCAAAATCAAAAGCTAAGTCCCCATACCTGATAAGTCGCGCTGCCTCTGACAATCAATGTCGACCAAAGGAATCAGCCTGGCGGATTCATAGGGGGGGTGGGGGATCAATCATCCTGGATTCCGATTCGGCAAAACACTGTACAAATGCAACAATACACCCAGCATCACCCAGTGATTCCCTTTCATAAACCCAATGGAGAAATGCTGGTTACCTACTATCTCCATACATCTTAAAGCCTGGCGTGCGCTGGTGTAACTCTGAGACCGGCGTTGACACAAAAGGCAAACAAAAGGCTTTGGCATGGGCTCCTGCACAAATATTGACATTGGGGGTTGAACAAAAGGTAACTTACATGGCATGACCACGGGTTGGACAACCACTAAAACAAATTGATTTATATATAGATATATCACACCAACAATGGGAAAATACACATGGTCATTTGGGGGCCGAACGGAATATTGATCAACCCGCACACGCAAAGTAACCATTGCAAGGTCCAGTTCTTTGTTCATGCTTGGCTTGGAATGTGTTGAGTGTAAAAGCGAATCCTGCAAGGCACTTGGAATTAGTCGAGCTGCATCAGTCCCTGCTGTGCTCCCTATCCTCTGCATCCTTCTGAACGCACCGGCCTCAACAACACGTTTTCCTGTATGGCACTTGAATGCGGAGTCCCTCACGTACCCTGTGGTTCGCTCGAGTTGCGGCGACCGTTTGAGCAATCCGCACACCATCAAAACGGCAACCATGCCCAGCACCCCCCAATGGCTGGCCAATTGCCGGCACATCGATTTTGGGCAAAACGATGTCACTTTATGTCTAAGTGATTGCAAAACAATTTGCTATCAAGTATCACTCATCTGTACTTAGTGCAATTTGTGCAATGATACAAGTGACCTTTCAAGGTCCTTTGGAATGGGGTTGCAGGGGAAAGGGGAGAGCAGCAAATTTGAGGTTTGGAGGGCAAGTTTGAGGTTGGGAGGGGTTCTTGAGGAGCGTGTCACGGCGTGTCACCAGCGTGTCGCCCCCCCCTCCCCCCCCCCCCCGCGCGTTGCATGTGCAATGATCATACATGCCAGCCCAACCCCTCAATTGGATCCCCTCTAGTATCCTGAAGTGACGTTTCAACAACAGTGACTTTTCACTGCACTTTGATGATGGCAAACAAATCTATGTGACTACAAAACCATTTTTAAGCAAGTGCTGGTCAATTGCCGGCACTTCACCCGGGACGCCAAATATCGGCCATCGGGGGGGGGCCTGGGCTGCCTTTGCTTCCTGCTTCTACTGACGCCTCGAGCAAGACACGAATGATTTCGGCAAAACCGCTTGCTTGCTTCAATGTGGCGTACACAATTGTGTGGACGTCTTCGTTTTGTCCGACGCTCATTCATACTAAGCCTTCTCGACTTTGTGCGCTTTATTATTATTTTTTGTGGGATATATGCCCCCTAGTCCCTCTTTCCAAAATACAACAGTCTAAGAAACCCTGTGACTGGGAGCCGGTTTGAGAAAGGCCTCAGAACTCCCCCACGCCTTTGAACCCAAGCCTCTCCCTGGCCGGCAGCCGAACACTGCGGGCGCCTTCAGAGTTTCCTCCTTCGGACTTCCTCAGCAGCAGGGACAACCCATACAGGTCCCTGTCGTAAACAGAGGCGAGGTGTTTTCAGCATGTTGCCTAACCCAAGAAGGAACTTGTCAAGTTGTTCCAGCTTAGGGATAAGGAAAAACAAAAAGAAGAGCTGAAACCAATCCCTGGCAAGAGCAAAACACTCCCTGCTCAGCTATCGCCAGGCGAATTGAATGGCAAGCCCCTTGGCTACCTGCATGCATGCATTGGGTTTGAGGGCCCAAAAACCCAAAAAATACATAAACGGCTTATTGTTGACCCCCCCTCATAGCAAAAGCAGGGGCACCCTGCACTGTGGGGGGCGGGGGGGGCAGCTTTTCTGCTCTCGAACAAGGCGAAGGGTGAAGGGTGCTACATATGCGGTGTTACGGCTTTATTCCCTTCATATTGCAATGAATCCAAGTACAAACCATGGTAGCCATAGTATGGTGCATGTGTTTGTTGTGTCTTTTTCTTTTTGTTAAGCAAAAGCACATGTTCCCTATACTCCAAGTTATGAATAATTAGCGACCGTATCACCATGCTCAAACATCCCTGCGACTCGACTCAGCCAAGCATCTGTCTGCCCTTCGTTCCTGAAGTCGTAAAGATCGCCTCGCGGCCCGGCCACGGTGGCCCACGCGAGTTAAAGGATTGGGCGACCGGTGCATGCCCGAAATACTGCAAGCAAACCAACCAGACTGCCCAGCGGGCAGTACAACGAATTCTCCTAGTAGAAGGCAGGTGGCCCGAAAGCATTTTTGCGGCGCTTGCGCTCGTGCTCTAGGAAAGTTGCTGCGCGCCAATGCTCTGCGCAAGTTGTTGCCACTGCTTTTCGCGAGTGCTCTGCGGGGGTGTGCTGCGGCTCAGCGTATGCGGTTCCTTGCAAGTGCTCGATGCAAGTTGCCGTTCTGCTCCATGACTGGAAAAACCTCGCTGCAATCGTTCCGCTGGCGTAGGAGCATTTTTGTGCCAGCCGAGCCTCCATTGTTGGATTCGCAAGGAAAACTGGCGATCGACGGACAAACCATTTGGCTTCCCGTTGAAAGGGGTTTAGGGTAGTTTAATCCTATGCTCAGCTACTGCTCCTCTCCCCTACATATGCGGCTGTTTGTCAAAATGTTGTCTCTTGCGGCTACATTGCTTCTAAGAGCACATGTGCAGATGGTGCATCAGGCGCACCAGCGAGCGGCTTTTTCAGTCGGAGCTAGGAGAGCTTGAGCTACTACTGTTACTATTGTTGTCACTAGCGCTGCCAGCGCTGCTCGTTGCTCCAACGACGCGTCATTGTCTTGGACGCTTCACAATAGAGGGCGCAGGCTCTCTCTGATATCTTGCGAGTTTCTTTTCAAGAATAGTGGCCTTGGGGATGGCGAGTCTGCAGGCTGATGCGGCTTGGGGATGTTGCTCAAAGGGTGCATGGCCATACCATGGGCCCACTGCTAGCACGAGCGCTAGCGCGAGCTAGCGCCAGGCCAGCGCGAAAAACTGCTTTGGATTTGGGCAGGAAAAAGTCAACACAGCACTCGTGCAATGGAATGGCCAGCGTGCTCCTGGACCATGATGCTGGAACCATACAGAATCTTCCGGGAACATACAGACTTTGAGCAAACGGAAACAACACAAGTTTCTCCATGAGCTAGCGCTGACAAGGGGATTTGCTTGAATCTCGTGCAGCCCCTGAAACAAAGACTCAATCAAAAGCCAGCGAGTTCCAAACACCCCTTCAAAGTCACAAGTACAGCATCTCTGACCGCTTGCCAATGTGTTTTGACGACATGTACACTCGCAGACAAACCCAACGACCCAATCTGAACAGCACTTGACGACACGCGCACTTGCTGCCCTAGCCAACTGAAGCCTGCGACAGCCTTCGGAAGCGAGAAAGACCCAGACTGACCTGGTTGTGGAGCCCAGGATTGAGTCTGCAAAAAATACTAGTATTCCAGAAGCTGCATCAAGGGATCCCCAAGTGAAGGACCTTTGCCATGGTGAGCTATTTTCAGAAGGAGCTGCCATACTCGTACCGAGCAAGCTATATCAGTGCAACTGCCAATGGGCAACTGCCGATGGGCGCTAGCTTGTTGAGAAGAGCATGAACCTCGCAGTTACGCCCAGCCCAACAGGTGAACTTTACAAAACCATTAATGTTCAAGATGACCAACCACCAGACATGTCCCATTCTCGCCTTCTTCTGGCGGATGGCCTCGATGGTGGCGGTGCCCGTCTCCAGCAGCAGCTCCATAGCCTCCACGAAACGGACATCCATCGAATGGACTCAGTGGAGTTCCAGGGGAAAGTAAGGGAATGGTGGTGCCTCTTGTCTTGGCTGGAATTTGGCCCCCAGCAGAAAACTATATGTTTTGCCTGGCTAGTGGAAAACAAAGGGGGCCCAACAAAAGCATTTCGTCAAAAAAGGGGAGCTAACTATGGGGAAGTGATTTTCCTTATTCTTAAGTTTGTTCAGGGGGGTGGGGGAGGGTTCCCTTTTAAGCTCAAACCACAAAATAATATGCATATGTTTTCGGTTGGTTGACTTCAGATGGAAAACAAGGGTCGCCACTGGGCAACTGGGTGGAAGAAAAGTTCTGACAAGAGGGCCATGATTACCAGATCATGAGATTCATATTAGTTCTGCAAAAAAAGCCTTCAAGGAGACCCCAAGTTTTGACGTTGGGGAGTACCTCGCTCACTTGACTTCAAAAAGGCACTGTTTACATCCTTCAGACCACCCTGGTAACTGGGTCAATCTGAACGGGTGCCATCTATTTCTAACCTTAAACCACATCGAAAGGATACCTATGCTTCAGACCCCCAAGGCACCAATCAAAGGATAGCTAAAGGGTTTGCCCGCCCAATCCCCTGCGCATTGTCGTTGAAACTTTGACACTTGTGATGCCGAAATGGGGAATCCCTATTTTCCACTTTCGGAGATCCCAGGAAAAGCCAAACTCCGTTTCCCACAATGCCTCCCTGCAAAGACTCGGCTTGGGTCTCCTTGAGGCTGCTCTTGGTGTTTGATCTCGCGTCTTCCCACGTCTTTGCCGGAAGGATAAGTCGCGGGTTTAATGCCTTGTTGCCCGGCATGACAGCGCTGAACCAGAGTGGAAAACAAGAAAACTTGTTGCGTGGCGCGAAAGATGGTCTTAGAAGCGGAAACGGGATTTCAAGGGTGAAATCCATCCAACCGGGATGAAGGAGCAACTTCATTTCAAGACGTCCAAACTCATGTCAGGTGATAGCATAGGTCCCAACCAACAAACGGGCCATGGAAACCCGGATACTTGGAGGTGTCTGAGCTGTTCAAAACGGAGGGTTGCCCAATCCTAACTTCTATAGGGAGGCCACTACAAAGGGGACCAAATCCTTGCGTAACCCAAAGTAAGGATTAAGGATCACCTTTGAACAGCCCAGGGTGTAGTGGACATTCCTGACATATGAAGAGGCGACTGTATTCGCTTGGGCACATTCCAATAGGCTTTGGCTATCAAACGGGTATGTCTTTGGGGACCCCTGAGGGATTTGTATCTTCCCCTTCACCCCACCAGTAAATCCATCCATCATTGCCCTGACAGATTTAAACTGTCTGAGGTAGACAAAGATGCACATGCAGAAAAGCCTGGTATTTACGGTGCTTTGCAAGCATTGGAGCTGCACACATTTTTGTGAGCGCCCCTTCGCCCTGGCATCAAAAATTGGAGCCGACCGGAGCCAGTCGCCTGATCGTGGCGCTTCTCCAGCTCCGTCTGGGTGAAATCGAGCGAATTGAGCGAATCGAGCCGCCAAAAAAGCCGTGATGGGGGCGTCCGGCCAAACGATCTGTGAACGCACTTAGGCACCTGGACCCTCAAAACTACCCCATCTAGGATCTCCAGTAGCGAGGATAGAATCACGGTACCAACTTTTTCTGTTGTCTATTTTAGTAGGCGAACCCTCCCCAAAAAAAAGAGAGAGAAGGGCACTACTGGGGGACCTAGCCATTAAAAAAGGGGAAACTCTAGAAAACGCCCCAATCTTCTGGGGCAACTTCCTACTGTCGTGGGTTGCTCGTTTCACAATTGACATAAATATATATATATATATATACAGAAGGGGACGTTGTGGAGGCCTGCGTTTTTCAGTGATTGTAAGTTGTGTTTGTTTAGAAGTTTGCGATTTCACGAGCAGAAGTCTGTTGCCTTCACAAGTGTCCTCTCCCAATTTGTCGGCATAGACTCAAGAAACAAGAAGAAATACGCATGAAATGTAGCTGTCGAACCCAAGGCACCTTTTGCATTCCTCAGTGTAGCATCAGAAGGGCCGGGGGGGGGAGAAAGAAAAAAACAACTTGAACATGTCAAACCCGTTCTTTTTCCCCCCCCCCCCCAGGACCCCCCATACTCAGCCCAGGATCACTGGGGCCCCAATTGGTAGGCCAGGATTTGAATCGCCTTTAGTTTGTGTGTTCCCTACCACTCCCTAGTCCCTAGCGCCTATTTGCAAAGTTCCAGGATGCCTGTTTACTTGCAAAGCTTGCTTGAAGTTGCATGTGATTCAGTTGCTTGGATTTGAATTCAATGGGGCACTATATTTATGAATTGAGCTATGCATCTTAGTAGCTTGTACATTTAGCTTGTGTTTGCTGCTTGAGCATTTGCATGAATAGGACCATACTGGCCAGCCTCTTGTGCAATCCATGATGCAGGATAAGAAGTGGTCGCTAAAAGCAATGTTAGCTGCAAGAAACGGTGCAACTGGCACGAACCTCGATTGGTGCTTTGCTGAACAAACACTTGTGGCAAGAAGGGCTTGGTTGTACAGGGGCTAGTCCTAGAAAAAACATATCTATGCATGTTGCTTGTCGGCCCATTTGTGTGTAGCATTCTCATGGCTAGCCTTGTGCATCACACCCCCTATGGCAATTCAATTGGGTGGAATTGGATGGAATATGTGTGTGTGTGTACGTGGCTTTGGCATACAGCTACATTTGCCATAGGTTAAGCCAATCTGCAGCACTGGCATCAGGCTGCTAGCTTGCTATTGGTTAACATAGACAGTTTGGCTAGCATCAGAAATGGATACCTCGGTTCAATGAAATCTGTGCTTTTTCTCGCAAAAGACTAGTGTTTTTCATGTAGCGCAATCTAGATCAAAGCATTTTTGTGTTCCATTGTTTCTTGTGTTTCTGAACATATGTTTATTGGGGCTGACCATAGGAGGCATACTGATCAGAAATTCTGAAAAGTTCAAGTGACTAAGTTATTCTCTTATCTCCTCCCGTACCATTTATGGCATGCCACCAGCAAGCATGGATATCCGATCTCTAATGATGCAGGTGGTCTGCCTTGCCACTCTGATTTCTGGATCTACTGGCAATATGATTGGCTTCCTCCATTCAGCATATCAAGGGGGCAAAGCACCCTCCCCACATGATCTGCCAGCAATCGTGGATGTAGGGCCGGTTTCGCGTGGGTTTAAAATTGGCTTCGGCCACGGTTGTGTTTAAGCCTTGGGTGGCTTAAAACACAACCGTGGCCGAAGCCAATTTTAAACCCACGCGAAACCGGCCCTAAACCCACCCGAGACCAGCCCCAAGAAGCCCCACCATAAACCAGCACTGAACAATCTGTCGCAAGCACAGCCACCCACCATATAAACCATCGGATCTCTAGCTCCTATGCTTACTGGTGGCATGCAATAAATGGTACGGGAGGAGGTGAGAGAATAACCTATTCTACTTGCACCTTTCATAGGTCATCAACACAATTTCTGATCAGTAGACCTCTTAGCCCAATCTAAAAACAGTTTGTTCTGAGAGAAGCAAGAAAACAATGGAACGCAAAAATAGTTTGCCCCCCCAAAAAATGTGTTTTTGTTGTTGTTTGTTTTGTTTTGTGTTTTTACAACTTTCACTGAAATACGCAGGCCTCCACAGCGTCCCACACTCTGTATATCTATAAATATACATACACACGTGTTCTGGCTGAAAACACGGAAACACGCAGTGGATGGCCCTTGTGGACAGAGTCAAGCTACTGATAGGCTAGCTAGTACTATCAAACAAGCAATGGTGACTTGCATCCTCAAGGGCCCCTTGATGTTTCTGTTCCGCACGTAGGCCTCCAGTGAGCACTTGGAGAAGTGGGCATCCACTTTTTGGTTGAGTTTGACGAGACCCCCACCCAAAAGAAGGAAGAACTAATGCCATCCCAATTCTCTGCCCAGTTCAGACTCAGAAACACCAGGTGATCACCTTTTCGAGTCGACTCGACCAAATCAGGGAAACTTTTCAAGATCCGCTTTGGTCCCAGAGACACGGGCTCCCAGTCTTGGACTTTGACCCGACTGGGATTTGTGCATTGTGTGTCAAAGGAAAAGGGAAAAGGCAAAATATATTTCAAGAACCAACAAAAAAGAAAAAGAGCAAGAGGAAAACAAGTGGCCAAACAATGAATCAACATGCAAAATGCTGATTTTCTTTTCGCCATCCTAAGGCTACCCTGACTGCAAATGTTATTCCAAAGACTGAAGTAGAACTTGTATCCCCAATATGGTCTTCATGGCACAAAATCTGGTTACCCCCCCCCCCCCTCCCCGCCCGCCCAAAAGGCAGTTCGCGTGCCATAGGCAAATGGATGTCTGCTGAAACAGCACAAAACGGAGCTGCCTAAAGACACAGCACGCTGCAATGGGTCACAACCTGCTCCGTCTGGTGCTTGGCAGCTCCCACTTAGATGCACACAATCCATAAACAGAATCCGTGTTCTGCACATTTCCTCGCACATCCCCTGTATTTGCTTGCACCAAGCGCATGTTGTTTCTTTCGAATCAGGATCTCAAGCAAAATCAAGGGAATAGGTTGCTTGTTGCCCTGCAGATCTGCTGGCCTGTCTGGTCCATCCAACGCCCATGTTGAGTGGGGGTCCTTCCCTTTGGCCTAAGTCAGCTGCATTAATCCGACTATCCCAGCGTGCCTATGTGACAAGTCGCCCACGTCTGAGCCCCAAACCCGAGTATCAGTCTCCTCCTGTTCCTGCGGCCAGATCGAAGACAACATGTCACATGCCATGCGGTGGAGGCCCCTTGGCTGCTGTGAAACCGTCTGTCGCCGAAGCCAAAACCAAGCTGAAAGGTGACACGACAATATGTCGATCAATGTAATCAGCTGACCATGTTTTCAGCAGACACAGATCGGGCACTACGCACACGGATACCATTACCGTGGTGAAAGTGGACCAACACAAAAAATGTGCCAAGCGGGATGGATGAACACGCACCGCTAAATGTCCATCGGATCAATCCTCAGATTTGCAGCAAGGACAGGCGGCACTCTGGCGAAACCCCTGTGCTTGGCTGTTTGATTGAAAATACACACGACAAACCTTGTGACATTGCCGGACTTCACGTACAGATCGAAAAATCGAAAATCGCCCTCCGCTTGGGAAAGATGGGCCGCCGCCCCACGCCTCGGCGTCGGCCCTGCTGCGGGGGCTACCGGGGCTCGAGTGCCCATCCACCGAGATGTGGTCCACACCCTCAAGGATGGTGATCTCCTCCTGTCCCACGCGGCCAATATCTGGGGTTCAAGCCGCCATAACAATGGGCTTCATAAAATTGTGTACCTAAGGATTGTCATCATCCAGAATGGGGCATTTGATTGGGGTGCTGAACCCTAGGGTGGGCCGAATTGGGACCCACATGTCATTTGTGGCTCTCCTTTCTTTCCAGCTTCCCTGTAAAAACCGCAGAGAAAAACGGGGGCCCCAACAAAACTCCACTATGTGCCAGGGCCAATTTTTGCTCCTGGGTCATTTTGTACCCTAGGACGGTGGTAGAGAGTTCAATTGGGTCATTGGTACCTCAAGTAAAAAAAAGGAGGGCCCCTCAAGACAGGCGTTTGGAAACTCAATGTTAATATGCAGGGCAGTAGGCTCTACGCGCACAAATAATTTGTATTAGCGAAGTAGTGTCCCCGGAGGTTTGTTGAAACTTGAAGAGTCTCGCTCACAATTTGACCATGAAGTATTGGACATGTCGACCGAGCATCTGGATGCGGCCCTTTGGGGCTGCCATGAACAAACCGACAAGTGTCCCCCTTTTTTGTTGAACAAAGATGCACCAAATGGGTGTGTCTTGTGTTAGGGGACCCAAACAAACTTGATTCTCCTCTTGGTTCCCTTTGAAAACCACAACCAAGCGTGTCCCTCGGATGTTTTTTTTTTTTTTTTTATGATTAAAAACAAACAACTGACCCAATTCGCGCATGGAGGCTCTAGGGGGACACATCAGTTCATGACGGACCCTCACTGAACGAGGTGCTGGAGTGCAAATGCCGTGCAGAGGGGGGCTTGAGAATGCAGAGAAAGAAAGCAAGAAGGGAGAGACCAGCAAACATGCACACAAGTAAGAAAGTAAAGAAGGAAGGAAGGAAGGAAGGAAGGAAGGAAGGAAGGAAGGAAGGAAGGAAGGAAGGAAGGAAGGAAGGAAGGAAGATAGGAAGGAACAAAGATAGGAAGGTGGCAAGGCAAAAAGGCAGGAAGAAGAAACAACAAGCAGCGAGGAAACAAGGAAGAACGGAAGGAAGAAGGAAAGAAGGAAGAAAGGAAGAATGAACGGAAGAAGAAAGGAAGAAGGAGGCAGCAAGAAAAAATGAAGGAAGAAGGAACAAAAAACAGCTAGAAAACAAGGCAGCAAGGAAACAAGAAAACAAAAACAAGGAAACAAGGAAACAAGGAAACAAGGAAGGCAGGAAGGCAAAAAGAAAGGAAGGAAGCAAGAAAGCAAGAAAGCAAGGAAACAAGAAAAGAAAACAAAAAGGCAGGAAAAAAGAGTGGGAGAGAGCGGGGGCAGGAAAGGAAGGAAAGGAACGAAAAAGAAAGGAAAGGGACAGAAAGAAGGAAACACGGCAAACAGGCAGCAAAACGGGAAGGAAAGAAGCAAGAGAGAGAGAGGACGGAAAGGCGGAAGAAAGGAGGGAGGGAAGGACGGAGGGAGGGAAGGAAAAAAGCAAGCAAGCAGGAAGGATGTACAGCACGGCAGAAAGGAACAAAGGAAAAAAAGAAGGAGGAACTACTTGCGAAAAGAAGGCAGAAAGGCAAAAAGGCAGAAAGGCGGGAAGGCAGGAAGGCAGGAAGAATTGAAGGCAGGAGAAATTGCAGAAAAGCAAGAAGGAAAAAATGAAGAAAGCAAAGAGGGAGGGAGGGAGAGAGGGAGGGAGGAGGGAGGAAGGAGGGAGGGGAGGGAGGGGAGGGGAGGGAGGGGAGGGAGGGGAGGGGAGGGAGGGGAGGGGAGGGAGGGAGGGAGGGGAGGGGAGGGGAGGGGAGGGGAGGGGAGGGGAGGGGAGGGGGGAGGGAGGGGAGGGGAGGAGGGAGGGAGGAGGGAGGGAGGGAGGAGGGAGGGAGGGAGGGGGAGGGAGGGAGGGAGGAGGGAGGGAGGGAGGGAGGGAGGGAGGGAGGGAGGGAGGGAGGGAGGGAGATGGAGGGGCAGGGAGGGAGAGGGAGGGGCAGGGAGGGAGAGGGAGGGGCAGGGGCAGGAGCAGGGGCAGGGGCAGGGGCAGGAGGGGAGGAAGCAATGCAACGCAATGCAATGCAATGCAAGAAAAAGCAATCAGGGGGCACAGAAGCGCCGGAAGGCATGCTGCAACCAAACAACATTTCATGTTTTTTATTCCTGCCTTGAAGCAAACATGGAAAATATCGAACGCAGATATCTTCTGACTTGCTCCACTCAATCAAATGTGCTGCCTTTGGAGCTAATCAGATCCTTGCGACATTGCATTGCTGTTGTCCTGTGGTTCAAGTCCGAATTGGGAAGCCACGCTCAAGATGAGTCACTCACAAATGCTACTGCAGGTTGTGCCACAACTGCAGTACTGTTTTCACTCCAATTCAGCACGCAGTGCCCGCATCCTCTCCAAACTAGGAAGAAGCAACGTACAAGCTCAACAGAAAGAACCCGCAATGGTAAAGATGATATCAAGACAACAAGTGCTTCAGCACCAGCGATTCCCAAGATTTAGGCCAACAACATTCCGCATAAAACCAATGCTTGGTAATCTAGTCCTTTGCTCACCTGAGCCACTGTCCACAGTTTACGTGTTCAAGAGGGCATAAAACATTGGAACGCTTATATAGTCAGTCTGGTGAGAGACTTAGTGAGCTTCCCCATGTCACCTCAAACTTGTAAGGAGAGGAGCACAACGGTGTTTGGATACTACCTCAAGAGCAAGCAGTTCGAGCATGAGAAATACCGTTCCCTGGTTAAAAAGAAGAAGAGAATAACCTTGTAAAATGTCCGATAGGGGGTGTGGTCGTTGCGCATCTGATTCTCGAACACACGGGCCGCCGATCCGCTAGATCGCTCCTGCAGCTTGGTGCACTCGTCTTCGATCTCCTGGTCCCAGTCAGCGTGATTTGTTTGAAACGGTAATGCGTGGACTGAAAGATAAGCGGGGTTGTCCTCTTGCAGTAAAGACTGTCAACATGAAACATGAAAGTGCAAACTCATGACTTTCCAAATGGATAGTTGTCTTCCAAACGGCGTTTTTCGGCGCTTCCGTGTTAGCATGCACTATCCGGGGGGGTTGGGCTTGGGAAGTTTGGGAAGTGATAGGGAAGTGACAGGGAAGTGATAGGGAAGCCACCCATTTTGCTGAGAGTTTGGTCTGTTTTCGATCAGATTCCTTTTACATACCCATGGTCAGGGTTGAAACATGTAATTTATGTAATGTTGACCCCTTCAAATAATATGAATCAACACCAAACTCATGGAACCCCCAATAATAAACAGGGGTTTATGAATCGCAGGGTCAACATTACAATCTAATACAATAGAAAAAACGCAAACTTTCGTCTGTGAGGCCATGGAATAACGGCAAAATCTTATGAGCGACCTGACCGTTGGCCCGGGCAAGAACTGGGGCGATCGGTTGCCCCTTGGGCGCATCAAGCTTGGTGAATGATCACGCACACTTAGCTCATGCCAGAAACATCTTCTATGAGCCAGCACGGCAGCATAACGTCACCTTCCATCCCCCTTTGCGTTACATGACCAAGCCCCATCTTTGACATACCAAGTTGGGGCTCCGAACTATGCAGCAAGATCACCTGGTCAAGCAAACACAAAATACTCTTTGTCCGATGCAGGGCAAATGTGCACAAATAAGTGCTGCACCACTGTCACTGCGATAACCCGCTAGCCAAGTGGTCACACTAAGGGTATGTAAGACTCTGAGCATTTCGGTGCGGAGAGTTGCGAAAGTATTGTTCAATGTACGGCTCCAAAACCAGCGGCTGGAACGAATCCTGGGCTGCTCTTTTCAGCGGAGGCTCGTTTTCACGAATCAAGCAGGGCATGGTGGGATGTGACTGAAGCTTCCCCAAGGGGACACTTGGGATAGCCTTGACTACAATGCCCCCTGCCGGTTTATTTCTGAGAGGGCGATGGACATTTTGCCAAACCAGAGGGAAACTGTCTTGCGATAAATTTGGGGCTCCAAAATCGAAATCCGTAAGACACAATCACATGTCCTGTCTGGGACTCCAATCTCATAGGGCTCCATAGCATTGGAATCCCTAATCGTGGTATCATTGTAGTATTTGGGGGAGCCATTTGAGAGCCTTTGTTTGTGCCGGCTACGGATGCCACAAACCCTGCAGTTTTTGTCGGCTCATTGGCTGCCTGAAGCTTGCGCTGCCGTTCGATGGGATCGCTGCTCACCACGATCTCTCCCCCGAGCGTGGTCTCCTAGGCTAGCTGTTGCCGGCGCCTCATGTATGATCTACATGTGTATATATATATATATATATATATGTAGATGTGATGTGTATATATATATATATACGTATGTACACATTTGCGCGTAGCATAGGTATTGTATATCATATCCGATGTTGTCTAGAACCACAACGGTACGTAAAGTACATGTACACAAGGATTCTATATCTTCATCTGAATCTGTACGTATCGAAGCGTGGTGCAACGAAAGTGCTTGGAGAAAAAGCCGCGCTGCTGAAGCCATGCACAAGTGGCGGTCCCGGGAAAACAGAAGCAGCTGCCTTCAGCCAGCAATTCCAGAGCCCTCGAGATACAGAGCTCTCGATCAGAACAAAATTCTTGCAAGATGATCTCTGAAACAATCTTGTCAGCTTGATCAACAAGTTGATTCTGTAGGTTAATCAAGTTCCCATCGCTGGTTGGTCTCAGCTGCCTTCGTAATGAATCTAACCCTCGCCTTGCCTGCAAATTATGGAGCCCTTCCTCCCCCCAAAGAAGCACAGGACCCCAAAAAGGACAAAGAAGCACAGGGAGACTCATGGGCTAAGTCTGGCTCCAATCTGTGCAACATGCGCCTCCCCATCCGGAACCCGCTTGCGGCTGAGGCGCTGCGTGCTTGGGCTCCTGCATCGTGCTTGGGCCCATCTCACGCAGACGCTGAATTTTAACCCGTGCTGATATTCAGAAGTTGACAACTCAACATCGGCTGCTGTGATCGTCCTCAATGCTCACACGCTAGTGAGTCCGTTTTCTCTTTGAGGAAACTGGGCTGTCCTCAGATCCCTCGCTAAAATAGAGACTATCTGTTAGTGAGTTAAATGGACTCCCTCCCCACTAAACCCAAAAAACTAGAAACCTAAGGAATCGGACGACAGTCTGTCGTTCCAAAAAAAACGATGGCAGTGTCAAGCTACCAGTTTGGCATCGGATGTGCGCTATAGTAACCCTTTGGGAACCTTACTTTTTTTAAGGTTTACCATGGATGCATTGCCCTTACCTACTATAGTGGCTTGCCTGGAAGCACTGGATTGGCCGATCCGGCAGGGAGCGGATTGGATTTCCTAAAACGAAAGTTGATCAATTCACGAATGATTTCTGTTGAAATGATCGCCGCGTTGGAGGTTCCAAACTGGGAAACAGAGGAACCCCCATCCTAGTCCAGAATAAAAATGAACACTTCGCCTTCCGAGTGCGAACCTTTTGACAGGAATACATCCTCTATGACCAAAGGCGAATGGACTCACATCGCCATTAACAACGGAAGGGATCCCTGCAAACGGTGGGTGTCTTGTCAATCAGCATGTCTCCTGATTGGCTCAAACAAATTCAGGTGGGTGCCCCTCTAAAACCTTCCAAACAGTTTGGCTCTTCCTTTGCTTGGTTGACACATGGTGTGGCTGGAGGCTTCAAAACGGTGTGTGTTTTAGTCCCACTCCACTTATATAGTATACATATATACATTTCTTGTTTTTTACATTTCTGGTTGTTTTTTGGGGGGAGAGCTTCCCAGTCCCTCTCCAGTTATATATATATAGATATATATGTATATTAATATTCTTCCTCTTTCGTTTTGGGGGGGGGAGTTGGGTACAGCTTGCGCCTTATCCTGGAGGATGTCGTCCAGTCTCAGGAAGCCGTTCCTGGCCCTCTTCTTGCCTCCCAGCCCGGCGAAAACAGGTGAGCTCACAATGTGGATGGTTGCGAAATCCGTTCGCACGAATGGAAACCATAACGTTTGTATTTACAGGTTGAAACAATAGCGTGTGTTGGTATTTACAGGTTGAAACAATAGCGTTTGTTGGTTTTTTACAGGTTAAAACAATAAGGTTTGTTGGTATTTTCTTATTTCCAGGGGAATCGAATCATTCCAGGGTGTCTGAAAGGTGGTGCAGAATTTGGTCCATGCGACATGTTGCCACAAGAAACAGCTGGTCCGCCCAAACTGACCAGATAATCTACCGATGTCTTGGTGGTCACCTATTCACCACTCAGAAATAGAGACTATTCACCAACATCGCATGTAAGCTGGGGACACCAACATTGCCTGTCGCTCTCAAATGCGAGTTTCGCCTCAGCATGACGCTTGAAGTGCAAAAACATGAAGGCTCAAAGCCTGGCCCGGATCAGGGTCGAATCGCGAGAAAGGAGTCTAATGAACTGCAGCTTGCACTTCCTCAGGCTTTATCACCATAAGCAGGAGCTGGGGATCCCCAATTCCATTTATCTAGTGTTTCCCGTAAAGAGGAAAAGATGGAATTATCAATGGAATTCCAGTCACCTCCCTCCCCCAATTCCACTTTGGGGGATCTTCAGAGAAGCCCGGATTGAACGTAGCATGGGCTCCAAGAATGTGCTCTACGATTTGACGATCTAGGAGGGAACTAAAACATTACTAGCTGGTCCAGTCACAGGCCACGGCAAAATGACAGTGGTTGTGCTACGTCATTCCAATCTGGCCATAGTTCAAAACCAATGGTATGATTTTGGGATAGGTGCACCACCCATTTTAGTCTATTTTAGTGGGGATTGGGATGTTCACTGGGGGTACGGGGCTTTGACCCATGGCCATTTCTCTGTATAGTAAACAACCAAGGCGAACCACCCACGTGCTCGACCACGTGTGACTCCATGGTCCGGAATTCTTGTGCGAACATGCCTGTTCCAAGCTGGAACTCTCCATGCTTGTGGTGGAGAGAGTCATCTGGCTGATGGAGACGTGCTTCTGGAGTCTCGTGTGAGCGGTTGGTGTGGGCCTTTTACGACACTTAGATGGTTATGCATGAAACGGTTTGGAAGTTGAGTTGCCACGAAAGAAAGCAAGAATAGGTATTTTGCTCATGTGCGTGGATTTGCCACAAGAACCACTGCAAGACCTTGCTTTGGCAGGGCGACATCGTGCAACAGGGGCTGACTTCAAGCGGATGATTTTGAATGGACGGCCACCCAAAACGAGAGGCGAAAGGCCTCAGAATCTAGAGGACTTAGGGCCCATCCAGATACGTTGCCCCATTTGCTTCACGCCCACGTGTTGCGCCTCCTGGCCTGTTCGTCAAGCCTCAGCACCACAATATGTTCGCAAGGGTCCCTACATACCTTGGAAGGAGGCCCCAAGCGATCCATATTTACCCCTCAAACAGCCATAGTCAAAGGTCTTTGGACTCGTTGGGTTCTTTGCTCTGCCAACGAAGTTGAAAGACATGGATGCTCCGGTCCCCTGTTCCTGTGAATGAATTGAATCGTTCAAGTCCTCCATCGCTTTCCACCGAGAGCTGATGTCAGGTAACAGGGCCAAATCAAGCGCAACACATGATTCGTACAAAAAAGGCAATCACTGGACAGGATGGCATCAAAACATTTCAAATCCGACCAGGAATCGGGCAAGCGGACATTTCTGCCCCAAAGTTGCAAGTGATCTTGAACGCCCACTCGCCCTTGTGCTGTCAAAACCCTGCCCAAGGCAAATCAGGTGATGCTCAAGCTGGTGACCCCGGTCCCTGGATCGCCAGTTGCTGTTTTCTTCCATCCACTTTACCCCAACAGCCAGCAACAGTGACTGAAAAAAGCGATCGCAACTTGGCTAGGTCTCCTTTTTGTCCCCCAGCCCCCTCTCCCTTCCCCCCCCCCCCCCGAATCCGAGCTCTTCCGCTGAGGTCCGGGCTGATAGCGAGAGAGATGGTCTCCGCCAAGGACTCGTCCTCGAACATGAGCTGTGCCAAGACCGTCTTCATTGTGGCGATCATGGCCTGGCCGGATGCGTCAAAGGGCAATAAAACTAGGTCCTCCAGTGGAGAGGTGAGAATAAAGGTACCCCTTTTTCTGTAGTTTATTTTAGTAGGGGAACCCTCTCCAAAAAAGAAACGGTCAAAGGGCACTACTGGAGGACCTAGACGAAAAAACGCGCCCGAATCCTTCCCTTCAGCTTCCATTGTTGCGACTTCCGGGAAACATAGATCTTGTGAACTGGCAACTCAAACGAAGCGCCATTTGACAGCCCAATACGGGGCCTGGTAGCTTTTTTCTCTGGGTTTCCTGCCAACCCCTTGCCAAAGAGGCCGCCAAAAGGGTAGCCTTGCAAACGCAAACAAGAGGAAAGGTGCTGCAGGAATTTCACCTCAACGAAACGGATCAATGGGATGGGCCAATGCGTGCGCCGGATGCTGGATGTAGCTGGTGGTAAGACAGGCGCGTAGTGAGGGCCAGAGGGTTTCTCATTGGTCCAAGGTCGGATCCAGAAACCATCTAGCGGCGTGCGCTAGAAAGGCAACAGAATCAGCCGATCGGAGAGGTCTCTGACCTTGAACCGTAGGAACAAACTAGCAAAAATGATGACAACTCACAATGCACCTGAGACTGTTGGACACAACAAGCTGGGATCCACTCAAAATCTCGCGCTCGGATTCGGGTGGGGGTGCGGGGTGAAGGATCAAGAAAACATATTTTGAGGATCAATCAACACAGTGTGTGCACCCGGAGTATAAACAAATGTTGGGGGGATCAAACAAATACCTTGCAAAGGGTGACAGCACGCTGTAAGTTACATCATTAAGGCAGCAGAGCGCGCACTTTTGCAGCTAGCAGTTTTCGGCTTAAGGTTGAGTAAAGTGGTTCCAAGGTTGGTTTCAAGGTTGGTTTAGGTTGGTTTAGGGCGATTATAGGGTGGGTTTAGGTTGTTTCGGATGGGGCCAAAGTTTGAGTTTAGGGTTGGCTTTTACGGTGGGTTTAAGGTTGGTTTAGGGTGGGTTTTGGGTGGGGTTTGTTTAGGGTTGGTTTAGGGATGGTTTAGGGTGGGATGGTTTAGGCTGGGTTTAGGGTTGGTTTAGCGTGGCTTAAGGCTGTGTAGGGTTGGTTTCAAGGTTGGTTTAGGGCTAAATTCGGGTGGGTTTAGGATTGGGCTAGCTAGACAGGAAGACCAGGAGACTGCATGAGTCGTGTCAAAGGAGGTATCTCAAATAACATCTCAGAGTGGCCCGCTTCAAGTTCACCTGACAGCCAGGAAGGGACCAAGAGACCAGGAGACGAAGGACCAGGAGGCCAGGAGGCCAGGAGATCAGGAGACCAGGAGACCAAAGGAAGCATGAAATCAGGGGACCTGCGCAATTTGATCCCCTGAAACATCTGGTTTTTGATCCCGTCAATATGAGTGTTTTGCTCATCTCATGGCCAATATCAGTTACGGCTGCACGGTGCTGCCATGGCAATTCTGGTGGCCCGCAGTAGTTTTTGTCGAATTCTCTATAGCAAAATAGGCTTAGATAAGCAAATCAGTCTGGGCTGCCCTCAGATCCCCCGCTAAAAGCTTAACTTTTGGCGGGTTAAATGGAAACTACCACTGAACACTAAAAGGCTAAAAGGCTAAGGAACCGGATGGCTGGGAGCCACCAAGAAGTGGATAAGCTGTCCCGGCTGGCCGGCAAATTCACTCCCTGACTCTAACCCACGACGCGCTCAGTTGTGCTTACCTGAGTGGCCATCTCTTTCACTGTCCGGATTGCAAAATCCATCTAGTAAGGTGGACAGCTGTGGCTCGTAAGACTAGGGGTATTGAAAACCTGTGTCACATGTGTCAATGTATCTGGGCTGCTGCTTTGTGCCCAGAGGCGGCGAAATGCTGTCTCTGGTCCTTTTCCTGAGTTGCTGCGTATTGTGAAGATTGGCCAAGCAAGTCAACAAAGGCTGCTTCCGGCTAAGACGATCTCACCCCCCGCAAGTTCGACAACTGAGGAAATAATATGGGGGGGGCTGACACAACATTTAGCATTTATGATCATGACTGTGGCTTTCAAGTACCCCGCACCGATCGAAGTATGTACATCAGGGAGACACTGGATGGCACGATTTCTTTCAGCCAGTTGCTGGGATGACTAAACCTAAATGTGTTTGAATTCAGCCATCTGCTTTCTCAATTCCTAAGTGGACTGGCCAAAAGAGTCTTAACTTCATCTTAGCGTCTAAAACTGGTCTTTCTCTTTGCCACGATGGCTTTTCCAAGTTACAACCCAGGAACTCGGGGAGGCCTCATTCACCATCTCTCCGGCCGGATCCTGAAGCAAGCTGAAAGCTGAGGATGCTGAGGGATGTACCAGGTTTGGGACTAAGAGCCAAAAGCACGCCAAGCATTTCTGGGTTCTCCAGTTTGGAGACCATGGGTTCTCTACTTAGATCTATGTTTTGGCAAACGGGACAAACCTATGGGTTGTCTCACTCGCGGGTCTGACTTTGGGACAAGTTTCCGGGTCTGATTTGAGGCTTGGCAGTTCTCTGATGTTGCGACAAACCCACCATGACGGGCCTCTAAAAGGCAAGGAAGAGGTGTGGATTTTCAGCCAACGCGGCGCCGATCCTACACTTCGAGTCCTTTCCACAAAAAAAGAAACGTTTGGCGACACGATGAATTAATCCGTGCCGAGCTTCGTTTCCGAAATCGTTAAGTGTGAGTCCGTCGGTATGGGGTGAGAACCAATTATCCCCTTCCGACCTGATTCAGCTTCACTCCAGAAAGGGTCCCAACCTATTGAATTTGACGTCGCCGTGCTTCCTCCTTTCTCTTTGCATTTGACGTGGCCTATGGTCAAGGCCACCTGATATGTCGTGCACAAAACAAACACAAAACAGTTTATACCGACACCAAGGAATCAGACCATCCGAAGAACCAACTAGGAGCTGCCGAGTTTCTCCCGCTTGCTTCACATTGCTGACAAGATCGTGTGTCATACAGCTGAACTCATCAAAGGCTCCTTGTGCTTGCCGTTGAAACGTCTCTCTACCAAAAACAAACAACTGCTTGCAAGAACCATTTATTTTTCGGCAGCCTCCCACGTGCTATGGCTCTGCCTGCTTATCACATATCAGTCACATCCATGCCCATGTCCAACCGACTGGGACAAACAACTAAGTCAAAAACCGGACACGAGCATCCCCACGGAAAACACCACACAGAGAAAAACATAGAAAACCAGGATAAAATATAGAGATAGTGCTGGGACTCAGCATATGCATTCCCCTCACACCCGGTCGTTTTGTAAACCGGAGTTGGTGGAGGCACCAATGCCAAGGAACACATGCACACAGTAGACAGTTGTGCCTTGGTGAAGGGATATCTAGTGACACAACAAGCTTCTACCAACAGATCTCACATAGCTTTGGTGGGAGGCTGCGGCTGCTTTTGGTTTGCCTATAGCCGTGGTTTTTCTTTGGTTCACCTCAGCCCAATCTGGGCCAGCTGCAGGCTGTTAGCCAGCGCCGCGTTGAACCAAGACTCGAGTCCATGTAAGTTGAAACAGGAAGGGTTTGAGGCTGGCTTAGTGCGATAGGGCAGCTTTTGGGGCGAGTTGTTGCTGAATCAGTCGACAAAGGGCGAATCTCAACGCGGAATCAATTTGGCAAAGGGCTTACAGTTTCGGCTCCTGAGCCAATTCCCCAACCATGTCTAAGAAACGCATGCCGACCGTATTGTTTCATCTTTGACCTGGATTCGCAAATCACCATTTTCTTTCCGGAATAATTCAGCCAGTCAAAAGTGTCCACGGACTCAGATCCAACCAATTTTCGCCCAAACGGTCTCAGCCTCTTGCGAGCCTCGCCGCACCCCCCGACCGCACTGAGGACGCGGCATCAGCCGGCAGAGTGCGGACCTTCTTGTTCTTGAACTCAGCCCACTGGACATGGGATCCTTGTGAAATTCAGGGTAGCCGTTCTTATCTTGGTATGGTTGGTCGAAAGGGAAACCACATTTTTTTGAAGGTCCTCCTTGTTTACCGCACGCTTACCGTGGCCCTGGAATTGGACTAGGATATGAAATGGAGCCCTTTAGGAATTCAAATGCCCGAGTTGGGTTCGACTTCTCCATGGCTAAGAGCAGAGTGCCGTATGTCTGTTGGCACGAGATTCGCGTAGCCCAACCCCATAGGTCGCTCAATAGTCATCCAAACAGTACCAAGCTATTCACTCCTTTCCCAGACCCGCATCTTCCCGGAAAGACCCTAAGCTCTGATTGAGGCCCGGGCAAACTCGTGGAAAGGGGCGGGGGGAACAAACATCTATGGCCATCATTCCTGTTGCGTTCTTTCGAGTCAGGAACCTGCCTCCATGCAAGATGTGATCTTCACCATGTTCAAGGCAACCCTAAGCCTAGGATTTGTCTTGTTGACTTGCTCGCTGATTCTGGCAAGAGCAAAGATGGTTTGGTTCTAAATAGGGGGTCGGAGAAAAACTAAAACAATAAACATACCCAATCCCTTTCTACGACCATCTCTCTGGGACAAATAAACAATATTATCTTGCACCATCTGTAAGACCCTTTCGATTTCCCATCGGGTAAACTTGTCAAACAATGTCTATTTAGCACCAAGTACCAATCTGGGCTGTCCTCGGATCCCCTTAATCTTTTTCAGCAGGCCAAAACAACTGCCGAAGGAACCGGATGGCTGGTTGAGCCAAGACAAAAATATTCCTCGCTGCAACCGCCGTCTCGGCCATCGGAAGCTCGGAAGCCGAGGCGCCGCTGCGCTGCTGAAGAAGGCTTTGGCCTTCTCCAGCGCGTCTTCGATGGTCTGCGCTGGGCTCTCCGCCGGGCTCCGTGACGGGGGGGGAGGCGTGGGACCGTGGGACACGGGCAGAGTCTGAGTGAAACAAAGGGGGTCGTGCCGTGTCTGGAGTTCCAAAAAGGGGGTGATTGAAAAAAGGTCCGTCAAGGAAAAAGACGCAGAAAGTCTGAACAAAATCAGACAAAAGGGGTGGAGAAAAAAGGGGAGTCAAGGAACAGATGACGCAGGTCTGACAAAAAACATACATTCGCCAAGATCCAGAAAATCCGATTTCAAGGACTTTCTTAACAGTTGCTACAAATCCGCCGACCCCGCCTAGGAGCGTGCTCAGGCGGGGCGGCGCCTGGGATACCGAAGGTCCCATCGAATGGCCGTAGGTGCGCTAGCTTTCTGCCAGGCTGGTCGGTCGCTGCAATGGTGTTTGCTGCTGCTCTCTCTCTGTCGCCCTGGCCCTGCCTCGGCGGTTCTCGTGCTTGCTGCGAGGCTGTGGCTGCCGGGCTCTGGCTAGTCTGCACTGCGCTTCTTAGTGGTTTTCGAAGGTGCCGTTAGGCGCCCTCCGAGCGTCCCTGTTCGGTCCCTTTTCCGTCGCTTTTTGCACGCCGTGCCACTGCGCTTGGTCCAGCGGGGGGGCGCCCTGGCTGGCTGCGCCCTGGCCGTGCCTTAGCTGCTCTTGTGCTTGCTGCAGGGCTTTGGCTGCGAGGCCCTGGCGAGTCTTCTTAGTGGGTTTCGAAGGTACTGTTAGGCACCCTGCAAGCCTCAATTTTCGGCTCTTTTTCGGTCCCTTTTTGCACCCCGTGCCACTGCGCTTGGGTCTAGTGGAGGGCGCCCTGGCTGGCTGCGCCCTGGCCGTGCCTTAGCTGCTCTTGTGCTTGCTGCAGGGCTTTGGCTGCGAGGCCCTGGCGAGTCTTCTTAGTGGGTTTCGAAGGTACCGTTAGGCACCCTCCAAGCCTCAATTTTCGGCTCTTTTTCGGTCCCTTTTTCCACGCCGTGCCAATGCGCTTGGGTCTAGCGGAGGGCGCCTTGGCTGGCTGCGCCCTGGCCGTGCCTTAGCTGCTCTTGTGCTTGCTGCAAGCTCTGGCTGCGAGGCCCTGGCGAGTCTTCTTAGTGGGTTTCGAAGGTACCGTTAGGCACCCTGCAAGCCTCAATGTTCGGCTCTTTTTCGGTCCCTTTTTGCACGCCGTGCCACTGCGCTTGGGTCTAGCGGAGGGCGCCCTGGCTGGCTGCGCCCTGGCCGTGCCTTAGCTGCTCTTGTGCTTGCTGCAGGGCTTTGGCTGCGAGGCCCTGGCGAGTCTTCTTAGTGGGTTTCGAACCAGCACGGTGGCACCGGCTGTATGTGCGGCACCGGCTGTATAGCGGCACCGGCAGTATATGGCACCGGCTGTGTAGTGGCACCGGCTGTACTGCGCAATGGCTCTAGCTGTATATGGGGCCGGCTGTGTATACCGCCACCGACTGGGCATGGAGAATGTACAAATTAAGCGGGGGGTGTAAAAAATTACAAGGCTAGTTCTGCTAAAAAAGATAGGGGCTGTGTGAAACATGTTGCGCGTGTAAAATGAGTCGTTTTTCTCATGGACACATGGGTTGCGCCCCAAATGTTCTGCCAGCTTCTGCGTTTTTAAGGCACTCATATAAAAGCATGAAACAGGCTTTGTGCTCAAACTGCAGTGTGTGGACTCCGTTGTTCAACTACCATGCTTGCGACACGAAATGGCTTGAAGGGTTCCCGCATGTTCCCGCATTTTTTGAGACCAGCTTCCCTGCGTGACAGGTTGTTGTGGCCGCCGTTGTGCGTTTGCGCACTCTTTTTTTTTCGAAAGCAGTCGCTCGCCGCGAGCCGTGTACGGGTGACACCGAGGGGCGCGTCTTTGAATTTGGAACGGCTGTCTACAACAAGTGGTTTTATCGCACAACACAAACTCAGAATGTTTCTGTTCTTTGGATGTTCTTTGGTGTTTTTGGGAACCCCATTTGGGAAATCACGTTTTGCAGGTAGGTGTATATATATATATATGTATTGATCCTTGAACTTCAATGTGTTCTGGTAGCCCCTTTGACAAAACATGTGTAATGAGCTGTCCGAGACCCATCAGCCAGCGAAGTCGTGTTCGGCATCGCTCCGCTCCTGCGCAGCGTTTCTTTGCGGCTCGCCCCATGGAGAAATCGTGGCTGATCGCAGAAGCCCTACACAAGCACTGCATCCTCCCTGATAGCGAAAGAGTCAAAAGAACAGGATCCATACCGCCTTCGTCAACCTTAAAACACAAAAAAACCCGGGCGGCTTTTGCTTGGGCTCGAGTGGTGAAAGGGCATAAGTTTTTCACGGCCCGGGCAGTGAAGCGGGCTTTGAAACTGCTGGTCACAAAGTTTGAGGTGGCGATCCCTCGCATACCAGGTCAAACCTTTCAGGTGTGGTCGCAGGCCCAAACTGAGCTTATCCTACACCTTTGCCAACGCGCCCGAAAGAATTTTGGGTCCAGCCTACGGTACGCCGGCCTTCACTTCAAGATGGACAACGTAGAGACGCAAATGCTGATTGAGGAGCCTTTTGAGTAAACAGCTCTTTTTGGTTTGGCTTGCGTGCGTGATCTGCAGGACTCGCCCCACGAGGACAACTCCCAAGGCTGGTTTTCTGATCCTTTTCAAAGTTTAAGCAAGTTGTGCTCCATGCTGCTCAGCTCATCCCCAAACCGGTTGATCGAATCGTTGGGTAGGGTTCAGATTTGTTTGGCTCCACCCCCCAAAGCAGACAACATTCAATCTCAAAGTGCGTCGCAGCGGTCAGGAGTAAGAGGTAAGAAGTTTGTGGCTCAGCGCGGCAACCCTGCACACCCTCAATCTCATTTGTTTGGCCAATCCTTTTTGCTTCTGACTGGTAAGCAACTCTTGTGAAATTGGTGCGCGGGCTCGAACGCCCATTGCCTCGAACGCAGGAAGATGTAGTTTTCAGCCTTTGTCTGATGTGGCCTCTCCAACCCGTTTGGAAAAGCAGTTCAACTTGTCAACCCCTGAATCACAAACGCAAACGCAGTGAAGATGCAGTTCAGTTTTCCTGATGTAGCTGCTTCTCCAACCCTTGAATCGCAAGGCAAAAGTAAGGAGATTTCATTTCGACCGTGTTCTGAGGTGGCCTCTCAAGCCTTTTGAAAAAACAACAACTCAATGCTTGAATCGCAAACGCAAAAGTGGAAAATCAAATGTGCAGTTGAACATTTTTTCTGGTGTAGCGTCTCAACCCATTAGGAAGCCAACCTCTGAACTGCAAGTGCGAGCGTAGGGATCTCAAGGTTCAGTTTCAACCGTGTTCTGATGTGGCCTCTCACGTCTTGCTTCCCCACAACTCGTTGGACCTCTGAACCACAGCCACAAACGAATAGAAAGGTTAGAGTCTCAAGACAGGGGTAGCCTTAACCGGTTCTTGCCCTGGGAACTCAACCCCCGACAAACATCCCAAGAACCTCGAACTTAGAAAGGGGAGATATCAAAAATCAACACGCCAGCAACCGCGGTCGAAACCGCCTAGGACCATCCAATCGCGACCCCGCCGCGGGCAACCAAGCCGCTTGGCGACGGGTCTTCGACAACCGCATCCGCGCCTTGGCATTCCGTTCTGACCCATCGGCATCCTGCGCTGCAGGCAGGTATAGTTAGACGGCGTTCAACCATTGGTCATCGTCTCCAAAACAATTTCCTTTTGTAACGGCTAATTGCAAGCTGCGCCGTTCCCGGACGCTCAAGCCACGTGCGCAGCACACACACACATAACAAGGATTTCGGTGTCACGCGACAAGTGTGCATTTTGCACATATGAGGGACCGTGCGAAATTGCAGGACGATACTGACGAGTCCATGAGCGACCCGCGCGACTACAGCGAGAAGGCGGCGTGGAACTTGGAGCAATTGGGAGCCTGGCACGAAGCGCACGGCGAAGAAGGCGCTGAGGCTTGGCTTATCAAGGGGTTATAGCTGCTAGTTTGGGGTCTTTGTAGTTAAGGTTCCCTGGAAGCGCTATTGCTAAGGGCCAGGACCTGGCGAACTTGGATGCCGGAGCAGCGGGGCAGACTGAGGCAGGCGGGAAGAGGATGGATCGAAGGTTCGCTCTGCAAGCCGTATGGCTTGTTGCGTGTAGCTCCAACGAGCTACTTAGGGCGGCAAACAAAAACGAGTGGTTGAACTGATTGAAAACCCTCAATCCGGTCTCAAGTTTGGGGGAGCATTGAATTGATTGGCAAGGGTGACGCTTTTGGGGCTAGGCGTTTGATGCGAGACGGCTGGCAGGTGGACGAGTCGGCGCTGGGCAAGTTGACGCGCGAGCAGATGGGTCACATGATTGTCAGCTTCAAGAAGCAGCTCGTCCTCTTGGCTGGCGAGATCAAGGGCTTGAAGAGCGAGAACGAGGAGCTGAAGAAAAGGATCAAGCCCGAGGGCGACGTGTCGCAGGAGGAGCAGGCGCAACTCCTGGCGGCGGCCGACGGTGCGCCCTTGCCGGAGGAGGAAGTCTGGCCCGAGGAGGATGGGTGGCAGGGCTGGGGCGGTGCCTGGGGTGGCTCGTCACAGGGCGACCCTTGGAGTAAAGCGACACGAGTTGCGTTTGCTCTACGGCTTGCTTGCGCGATTCAAATGCATCCCATGTTGGCAACTAAGGACGCTTCAGCTATAGCTACGCAGTGCTGGCTTAACGAAGAAGGGGCTGCCGAGACTTGGGGCAGCGAAGAAAATTGGGTCGGCCGAAATGCTGATCCTGACGAGGCCTACTCCAATTGGGACGCGTGGGACGAAGACGATGCGTGGAGCCACGCCTGGTGTCACGAAGGCGAACAGGCGAGTGGCGAGATGGCGATGTTGGAGGACTTCAGAGAGAGCCAGGACGGGGGAGGGGCGAAAATGTACATATGTATCTATATATATATATATACGTACGTATATTTATATATACATACAGACAAATGTAGTAGGTGTAAGGGGTGCTAGCACTCTACTCTTGCAAGGAAATCCACTTGAACAAG